AGCAAATACCATAATTTATGATAGTATGTGTTTTCAATTATTAAAATCTAATTATTGTAATAATTAGTTTCGTTGTAAACAATTATTATTTTTATTTAATGTCATTGACATAGAATTTGCGACCAATAGATTCTAGAAATATTTAATAAATAACATAATGTATATCTTTGTACAGTATATGCCATATGTAATGTACTACCAATATATATTAAAATGAGATGTTACAGTATATATTAAACAGTAGTTTATAATAAACTTTATATCATATAGCGCTGTAATGATCAATTTTGCTATCATGATAGATTTTTGAATTTAACTTTATTACGTATTTTATACTGATGTTAATAATATATCTTACTCATTTACAAATAAACTATTACAGTACTATCAAAATTATTTGTTGTCCCATTATATTTTTAAAAATCTCAATACAAGCAAAACCAAAACAATAATAGCCATCACACAATGATACCCTATAACACAGTAGTTTATGTATATGCGCGCAATATTATTAGGTATAAATATTTATAAAAACATTATGTATTTTTCTATATATATATTAAGTGTAATCTATGTGTTTGTGATTATTGTTTTGGTTTTAGCGTAATTAAAAATAATAAATTTTTTTAAATAAATTTATTTATAATATTTTATGCATAATTAACGTAATAATAATAAACCTTTGAGAGCATTAGAGATATAGCGTATTATAATTTTTAAATAAATATTTATTAAATATACATATTATTTAACAATACTGTAAAATCAAAATATAAACAAAATTCAAATTATTAAAAAAAATATTTATAGACATCTACAAATAAGTAAATATAGAATATTATTAATGCTTTAAATCAAAAGTAATATACTATAGGTATCAAATCAAAAAAAGTAATAAGTTTAATAAGTCAAATAAATAAGTTTAAATTTTATTATATTTTCCATTAATAATAGACTAGTAATAGTAATAATAATAATAATAATAATAATAATAATAATAATAATAATAATAATAATAATAATAATAATAATAATAATAATACAGTACATTATTTGTTTTGGTTTTTAAAAATATTTTTATTAAAATATTTATTTATAGATATTTTCACCTCTTTTTGCAATCAAAATAAACAAATTGTATAAAATAAACAATAAAATTCAATAGTATGAGAAAAACTTAATAATTGTGGTGATAAATGTTTGGATGAAAACTTTATTTAAACCAAAATACTTATAAACAAAATACATTTGACGGATAAACTCAGATAATTCTTGAATAAACCATTTATATATAATATAAATATACATATAATATACATTTTATGATTATTATTAAAAATTAATTAGTGAATTATAACTTATAACAAATGTAAAGTTTAATTTAGGTCTGGTTTGAAATATGAAAATTATATTTATATTTAAAAATTTGTGATAAAATAATTTTCTTATAATGTTTAAAAACATCATTAAACTATCACTAATATCGATTTACATTAACTAAAAATATTATTATTACACCAATATTAAATGTACTATAAATTGAAAACTATAATTTAACATAAGAGAAAAATAAAATATTTGATTTATTAACAACAAGTTGTTTATAACATACAGTATTTATATATAATACTTAAATTTTATGGATTATTTAAGATTAGTTATCAACTATGACTTAAATGCATTATTTATACTGTAGTAATGATTTAATGAAATAAAATCAATAAAAATATTGACTAAAATATCAAATTTAATGCTTAATTCAATGAATTAACAAAATTAAAAACATTGACATAAATTGACAACTAAATAAATTAATGCTACACTTGTGAACTATTATAATCTAATCTCAATATATGTTATATTTCAAATAAATTATACCATACTATATATATATATATATATATATAGGATTAATATAAAAAAATATTATTTGTATTTATTACTCTACAATATACATTAAAAGCTAATATAGTAATAAAAAATACTGTATAATGTTAGCCAATAGATATTGAAGTTAATGTGTTGTACAAAATGATTTCAAAAAACAAATTAAAGTATATATTGTTCTTTTATTTTCTATAGTTTTATTCAGAAAAGTAGTTTACATTTATTTAGCCAAATGAAGTGGACTTTAATGTAATGATTCATTACTAATGGTCTCAAAATAATATTAATGAAAAGTTAGAAATTTAATGTTTAATCAGCAATACTGTCGCTTATAAATTACATTTGTGTTATAGTTATTTTGTTCATTATCTACAATATATCCAATTCATAACTAAATTTATACTATACAATATATTGCTACACTATACTATATATTACTATACTATGATATACTATATATATTAAATCGAGCTTTTAAATTCTTGCTATAATTTTTGAAAATTATATACCAATACATATAACAAAATAACTACTAATTATATATATTTAAACTTCTTATTTTAAAATGTTTTGACAAAAATATTATATTACAAATAATGGTAGATGGCCAAAGAAAAATTTCTCAAAATAAATAACTATAGAAATTTTACAATAATATAGGAAAAAATTAAAAATTAAAAATAATAAATTTTATTAATTTGAATATTTCTTAAAATAATAATAATATTTAGTAATTATTAATAATTATATGTTATATATAAGATAACAAATATCTAGAAAACAAAGTTAACATTGGGATCCCATAGACAGGAATTTCTTTTAGAAAATTTCTCAATTAATTTAGAAATTTCTCTTTTTTGCCAACTCTGTAAATATATTAAAATTTGTTAAATTAAGTTATTTCTAATAAAATTAAAAACAGAACCACATTTAATCTCAATTATATTGATATTGATTCATTAATACAAATAAATATATGATAAACCAATTTATATTTATAAGCAAAATCTTATTCAATATTTTTAAAATGCAATAACAAAATTTCAACAATTTTTTCAAATATTAATAACATATAAAACCAGTTGAGAATTCTAGAAAGCATTGCCCAGAAACTAATTTTAATTTAAATTACTTATTATAGTCATATTATAACCTAAATATTCATTGCTTATAACCATTAGTTCATATTATAATATTCAAAAAATATTCATTGTTTATGAAGTCTGTATGAGTACTATTATACGCAAAATAATTGTTGATTAAATATGATAGTTATGAGTAATATTTTATTTATATTATACTACACATAATTATTTCTAATTTTATTAAAAATTTTAAAAATAACTTTTTTACTAATGTTAACTATAAGATACAAATAACACCTTTTAAGACAAACCTATTCTACATTTGAAAGCTTTATATGAATTCATAGTCAAATTTTGCACTTTTTATACTTTGGCCACCATTATGACCATGGTCATTATGAGATAGGTCATTTTTACTGCTGATTCCCTATACATTATTTTTGATGTTCTAACCGAATCTGAAGTCTAAATTTAAAAAATACTAAATACTGGACAAATTCCAAGTAAATTCCAAAGTTGGTTATGTTTGACGACATTTGAAACTTTATAAATATAGTTTTTAATTGATATTTTGATTAGTTATTTTAGAGATTTTCGACAAAATTACAATTCTATAAATTTCAAATTATATTTTATCATTTTAAGTGTCATTTGAAATCATTGGTCAAGTGATAGTTAGTGTGAAAAATGTTATAATAAGTGCATATTATGTATGAATATTACTAAGACTTCTTAATTTTCTTTATATTGAAAAATATTGATATTATTAGTATATACTGTATATATATATATATATATATATATATATATATATATATATAGACCAATAATATGCTTATATTGTATACAATATATAGAATTATATTATATTTGTATAAACAGTACGTTTGTATCATTTATTTTTGAGTTTATATATCTTGAGAGCAAACAGTGGGAAGAATTGATGCTTTCATGGCTTCACTTAGCCTTACATTCGATTAATGGGTCGACTGTTATGTCTGTCTATAATATTACACAAAACTTTCCCTCTCTTTACATGTTTTTATGAATCGCTTCCAAATCATAGAGAGATTCCTATAAATTAATCGCTTCATTGCATTGGAATTCAAAACAAGAAAAAAAGTAAAAACTAGAGATGAAATGACTGACTCTATGAATGATAGAGAGAGAGAGAGAGAGAGAGAGAGAGAGAGAGAGAGAGAGAGTTTATGTAGATTTCATATAAAGTAATGTAATGTATGTAATAATAGAAAAAATTAGAGTAAAAAAGTCAGTTATGAAACTTCTTGAGATGTAAAGCTGGAAAACTTTCAATACATTTAATAAGTTTCAGCTGTGATTCAAATCCCATATTTGAAATCACTTTCACTTAAAAAAAGGCCAAAACCGGTGGCACTCAAACTAAAAAGCATTATTAAAACGACTGACTGAATGAATAAAACATTGAAAACTCTTATTATCAACAATTGCTATAATATGATGGCTTAATGTTCACCATCTGTACAATTAGTGAATCTGTTAAAAAATGTACATTCAATACAAGACAACAAACATATGCATAAAAATACCCGATATTATTATTATTATTATTATTAGTATTATTTTTTTTAAATATCTCGTCAATTGATAAACTAATAGTCATCGGAGAAATTCATCGTTAATGGCATCTCTTTTGGCAAATTTCTGTATAACTAATGTTATGAATGTATTATAATAGCCATATATTCATGCGATATCTCTCTCTCTCTCTTTTTATGCTTCTATGAATGCAAATAATAATAAGCCCTAAAAATGTTAACTCAGGTTTCTTATACATCATATACATCATCAGTTAAATAATTCATTCAATATTTTTTGTGTATATTTTAATGCAACTCAACGACTCAAAAATGTTTCCTTAATTTTTGTGCTTTTTTATGTATAATATAGTACAGTATTTTCATAAAGTGATGAATGTTGGCGACGGAAAGTAATTAAAATACAAAAACATACCATAAATGTTGGATAAGTTTATATTGAAAAGGATATGGATTGGAGATCATAGTTAAGCACCAGTTTCTTGGAGGTGATGTCTGTTTCATACAAAATAACGAAACGGACACATATTCAGGGTATGGAAGCTCTTCATTGCTGTTATTAAAGGACTGAGAGTTTCGATAATTATTGCCATTATTGCCATCACTTTTTGATAGTAGTTTTAGTCGTCTCTCTATTGGACTGTCGTCTACACAACAACTCGACGAACGCTTATATTTGTAGACTTTGCCACCACTTCTCTCGTTTGAATCAACTTCTTGTGTCTCTTCATTTATATCACATGAATATATTGTTGACTCTTAAAGAAAAAAAAAACAAAAACATCTTTCATTATATAACTATATAATATATAAAAAATAAATAGATATAAATTTTTATTAATTTACATACAGTATAAGAAATAAGTCATTTTTATTAACTTTAATAATTTTAATTAAGGAATTAATGTAAATAAAGATTTTATTCATTTTTATTCATCAAACGTGATTTATTTAATCAACTAAGTATTATATTGTTTATGTCATCTATAATATAAAGTAAATATGTAATTGTATTGATTATCATCTTATCGTTTCACTATAAAAATGATTTGAAATTTGACTATAAAGTAATATGTAGTAACAGTCAGTGAGTTATACTGTCTGGCAATTGAAAATATTTCAGAATATTGTCAATACATGTATTGAATTTATAATAAAAAAAATAGTTCACAATATCTGTTTAAAATAACATAAATTGAATCAAATTTTTCATATTTGATTGAATACTTTTGAAAATAATAATATTTTTTATATGATATCTAAAATATTTAGAATTTTTTTAAACAATATATTAAGAATTTTTATTAAAATTTAGAGACAAAAATCAAATTAATAGAAATGAAAAAATTGCAACAAAAAAATATATTCTTTAATTATGACAAATATGATAATTATAATTCAACTCATATTTATATGTCATTTTGCACACTATATTATCAATTAAACTTACTATCATTTAAATAAAAGAGTCATTTGGGGGAATAAATATGCATTTTTATTTAGATATTTAAATATATAATTTACTTACTTATAATAATATAATAATTGTAATTAAAAATGTGCAAAATACTGTATATGAATGAATATAAATAATTTTAATGATATAATTGATTATAATCAATAAAAATAAATCAATATAACATATATATATATATATATATATATAAAGCATTTTATTTACATTAAAGAATCTCATGAATAGATAGATTCTTTATATATATATATATATATAAATTATATACATGTAAGTTATCAATACAAGTAAGTTTATATTTTTAGTTTGAAAACATTTTATTTATGATAATCGGAATTTTAATTACTATTTGCTTGTAATCGACTGCATTGAAGGCGTTTCTATTCATATGATTTTTCAATAAATAAGTATTCAATCGATTAAATATCTCCACAAGTAGTTCAACGCTATTCTCCAGACAATCAAATTTAGTTTAAGTTTTAAAAAAATTACACAAAATAATGTAATGAATTTTTAACTGAACGAGTAATATGATGATGACTCATGTCATGTATTGAAAATGCATTAATCAATTAATAATTTATTAATTTATTAAATGTATATATATTTTTTAAATATTTCTAGTTATATTAAAGTATCATTTTATTTGTCATCAACAAATTTCTAAAAAATAATTTATTTAATTAAATACTTAAATTACTGCAATTTCTAGAAAAATGCTAAATTAATAATTTTTAATATGAAGTATATGTGTAGTAATTGATTTGTTATTCTTTTCAGAATAAACACGAATAATAAAAATTACAATTTTTAATACAAAATAAATTAAAATTTGTTTAAAATAGTAGTTAATATTTAAACAATTTTATTTAAAAATAACATTATTTAAATTAAGATTTTAATTATGTTAAGACGATATGCATATAAAGCTATAATATTGTACATTTTAGTTGATAATGTTTTTTTTGATAATGATATTTTTAGGTAACTACAAAAAATAATTAATCGAAATAATTAAACTGAAAGAGGAGAGTATTTTAATATAAGTTTATATATATTTAATGGATATTTTATGTTAAATGTAAAAACGTTAAAATGGTTATTATGAATAGCAAATATACCTTCAATTTTGTCGATCCCGGTGTCACTATGTTTGGATATATAGCCCATTTCAATGGCAGTTTCATCGTAATAATAGCGCTGTTTTGATGACCGCAACATATCCGACCTCACAATCTCTGGTCAATCACTTAAATACTTTATCACTGGAATGCTATGTTGTGTTCAATAGATGTCTAACAATGATAACGATTTTTAACAAATATCGCTTAAAATTATCGCAAACTTAACACTGTTAACAACTATGACAACAGTAAATCAGATAATACATAACAATAAGATAAATGATTTAATTTAAGTTACTTTTCAAAAACTTAAAAACTATTTTAATTTTAATAATTTAAAACATTTATCTAATTAAAGTAAGTTGCATATTGATAACTAGTTTTCAACACTTTTTTCAAAATTTAAAATCAAAATCAAAATTTAGATTATTAGGTTATTAAATGAAAACTTTGTTAAATTATTTTGTCACTCACATATAACACAATAAAAATCTAAAATCTCATCTAAAGTGACAAACTTTAACAATAATAACATGAAATAATTTTTTTTCGTCGATTTTGTATCAATAGTAAAGTATTATTGTTATGGAAATGAAGTCCAATGAGTGGTACCGTAAATGAGAGAAAAGATAAATGAGTGAAGAGTTTCTCGGAGGCAAACAGTGGATGCCATCGGACTACTGGTACAACACTATTGCCAGTGACTGTATGTGTGGTAATAATAATAATAAGAATAATACTAATATATATTCCTCTCAAACGGATTGCATTTGTGAGGCAAACCATTGCGCAGATCTCTGTCTCTCTCGACAACCGTTTCCCCAATCAGTCGACTCCAGAATCCAAGTCTCACTACTATTACAATACCATACAATATCACACTTTTAGTGCTTTTTGAATCATTTTTTTCCAGTTTTTTCAATCAAACAAAAAGTGCATAAATTAAAAGTCATTTACAATCTTTCAATTAGGGTCTTCACTGACACTAATCAACATTGAGGGGCTCAACCCTAATGGGTCTCTAATCTGATTAATTAAAGCAAAATAACTAAAGAATTCAATGACAAGACTGGAGGCAATTGTTTAGTCTTCTGATACTTGAAATAAGCGACAAATGTTTCCATAACTTCCATCTTTAGGCGTATCAGTAAAGTAATCATCATTTTTAATATTTATATATTAATATAAAATATTTCTGATATATATAGTACAGTATCCTATATTTACAAATATATTAACAATAGACGAGTAATATGTTATGTGATAATCTTGTAATTTAATGTTTGACAAACCAAACAAATATAGTTATTAATATGAAATATTATGTTATTATATACAGTATACTATACGTTATATGTTAAACAGTACTACAATTGTTTATATCAATTAATAATATACTACTGTACAATACAGTATATAGGACTCATATCACTCATGAGTAAAGCATGAAAAAATATTTGACATAAACTTAATAATATTCAATAAAATATTTACTAAAAACTAGCAAAATATTTATTTATAACTTAGAATAACATCGTTTTTGTGAAATCTTAAAAATATAAATTTATAATTTATTTAATTAAATATTTTTCATGCTTTACTCATAAGAGAACCTGTATGTCAACAAATTAATACAATGTTTGTTCATTTACTAATATTTGTAAATTTAATTACAGGTTCAGATTCATATCACTTTAACCACAATCACAATTGTTTACATTTAAGATTTAACAATAAATTGTAAGTTATTTTGTTTGTTATTATCATAATTATCTATAATTTTTATATACTATCTTCAATGAGATACAGTATATATTATATAAGTATATAAATTAAGTTTAACAATTTAATCCAAACTAATATTACGATAATATTTTTAATAATTTAGAAACAAAAATCTATTTAATAAAATCTATTTAAATTCACAAAATAATGTTTTTTTTGTAAATAATTTATAAATATTCATAAATTTTTTTATTATTTTTTATAAAACTTATCACATTTTCAAGATTTATGATTTTAAAAGCTATGTATTAAATAATGGTTAGAGTTATGACTTATAATAAACAGAATATTCTTGTAATGCATTGTACTGTACTTTACTATAATACACAATATTCTATAATGTATTGTATATAATATACAAAATAAATAACTGTTATATAAGTTTTGTACAGTATATAACACATATAGCACTTTATGTTATTTGTAAACTCAATGTACTCTCACTTATTATATGTAATACAAACACATTATATATGAAAATGACTATATTTTATATGAAGTGAAAATAGTTTCAGTTAATAATCAAGATATTGAAAAACTAGAATAAAAATGTTTTTATTATAAACATATTTTTATTATATATATACCCATAATAATCAATTTTCACTTCTAATTAAGCATTATTTAAATTTTTATACAATAATTGCCTATAAATATTATACACAATTTTATTTAATAAACATGTGTTTCACATAAAAGACTTTTATTTAAAAAAATCCTTTTATTCACATTATTTTGTTGTCTTTATCTAAATGTTTAACAAAAATCAATTTTTCATTATTTTTATTAATATTGTAAAAAATAATATAATAATAATATAATTAATAAAACAGTATTAAAGAATAGGTGACAAATGTAGAAACAAAGTGAGTCATATACTCACTCACCAAAAATAGATCAATTAATTAGATACACAGTAATTATAGGCATAAAAATAACAATTAAATTTCCTGGGCCTTTATTTAAGGAAATTATTTAATAATTTAAATGCAAACTATTGTAAAAATATATTAAAATGTCGTTGAAATTGAAGAGTTAATTCAATAAAAACAAAATGTAGATTTCATTCAATTTAAACAATAATTCACTAGAAACTAGCAATTATTGCGAGTATCACACAAATTAATTTAATTTTAATTAAAAAAAATATTGTAAAACAAAATGATTCATTTTTATTTTAAAACATTAACTTTATTGTTATAAAGTTACAATAAAGAAAAATATATGCAGATTAACATGTTAAAATATTCATCTAGAAAAATTAATTTTATAATTGTTGTTATAATATAGTAATAAAAAATAAAACTAAATTAAAAATAAATTTTAAAAACTTGGAAAACACTAACATAGTTGTAATTAACTCAGTTTTGAATACATTTGGCTATAAAATGCAATGCTTTTTCTAGCAAAACAATACTTTAATTTACAAGTTTTACAATTAATTTATTAATTAGTATACCAACAGTTTGGAAGATTTAAGAAACAATATATAATTGTCTCTCTGTTCACAATCTTATATATCATAAGATGAGGCATAACTTTGAGATGAAATATTAAACAACTTTGCGACAAATATAATCAATTTGTTAAACTCATTATTACTAATAATAAAATAATTAATTAATAATAAAAATGATAGAAATGAGAATATAATGGCAAACATTAATCCACTCATTAATCAATTAGTCATTTTTTGTTGAATATATAAATATATCATTTAAACAATCAATTTATGCGTGATATGGCAGAGCATAAGTGGCTGGAAAATATCCTCTTCGGGATCCGATCTCTCCCTCCCACCAGTTTTGGTCCGACCTATCGATTACAGTAATTATGTCTCCGCGCCTGAACTCAAGCTCTCCCGACTCCTGGGGTTGAAAATCATACATTGCTTGAACCAAAAACTATATAAATTCAATTCATCCATCAATTAATTATATTATTTAATTGAATAGAAAGGCACTCAAAAGCAATTAGTAAATTAGCATCAATTATGCATTTTGATAAAAGCAATATTTTTAAAACATTGTTAGTAAAAGTTATTTTTTATTGACATTTCATAAATTAATAATAAATGATTAATAAATTAAATAATGATTTTATAAAATAATAAAATTTGTAAATAAATTCTTCATTAATGACTAGAAATCTATCACAAAATGTACAAAAATCCAGATTAAAGACATATCTTAGACAATATTAGAGCTTAAGCCAAATTGTGAGAAAATGAGAGCCAATTGTTTGTAAATCTTAACGCATTGGTTAAGATTTTTAAGCCTTTAATTAAAAGCAGAAATAATTTGAAAAGAAATACCTCATCGTTGAGGCAAACCATGCGTTTACTTACTTCTTCGGGTTGCATATCCTTGAGCTTAATATCTTGAGAACGACTAACAGATGCCGACCGATGGTATTCAACCAATTCATTGAGTGAATTGAATTTAACGACCCATAAAAAGAACTTCCCTGAAGTGTCTCTTAACACTTTGAAATGTTGGACACCATCGCCACACCTGTCCATACATTAGATAACATCATATTAGCCAATCATTACACCTAATTTATGTTTAACTGATCCCATACTTGACGGATAGTGAGAAATCTCCGGGTGAGCTCTCACTAACCCGAATAAGGAACGCTCCCTCGTGTTTGTTCAGTAATAACTTCTCGGCGTCGGCACGTGTGATGCGGCCGTAGTACCAACTGTTTGGACAATTCAGACAATCAGTTTAAACACAACTATTTAATCAAATATTGCTATAATTACTCGTGTTTTTTCATTTCGATATAATTGCTGGGAATCAGTCCTTCTCTGGCATCGAGTTCTGCGCGGAACCAATTGGTGTCGTCTTCCATATTCAACACCTAATAATATCAAGTGTTAAACAATTCATAAATCAGACAAACATTATAATTACAACCTTAAGAATATCGCCTCTTCTGAAGCTAAGCTCGTCATCAGCGGTGGCGTTGAAGTCATGCTTTGCAATGGCTTCCATACCGACAACTATTAATAGTTTGATAGACAAAGACACATAACTATGACATAAATAAGACAACTAATCACTTAAGATCATAACAAATGTCACCAATTGTTGGTCACACTTACATATGGTTGGCGTTAGGTGTGTGTCAATGGCAGGTATGATGAATGCAGTCAACGACAAACATAACACTTTGTGGACACCAATTGACTGATTGTGTCGATGTCTTTGTGGTCAATGTGTGTGTTGTTTGTGTGACTAAACTATAGACAAACTAAAAGTATAATCAATGGTTAAAGTGTTGTCACATATCATATGACTGTCAATGTAGTCAACAATAAGTCAATTGTTTGAAATCAATAAACACTTTTCAATCACTGCTTTGCCTAACATTTGCACTCAATTTCAATATAACTATTAATTTCTTAGGAAATCCGTACCAAACAATCACTACATTATTGAAGGGCGGAGTCAGAGATATGAGAAGCGCTTTATGCCATACATTCACACTAGACATACATTACGACTATTGACAGCACAGTTGGTGTACAACAACAGTGTTATAGTTATACATTCATCCCTATGTTTGACACCATTTGGGCACAACTTTATTGCCAAACATTATTCAATTGAATACAATGTATGGACACGACTGCCACCTATGGGTACAGTCAGACCTATACAACCATTTATGGCTAATATTGGGTTCTATTGCTATTACACTACTGTATATGTATTATACATATGTATATATACCGCACGGAATCGCTATATACAGGTATATATCCATTGACATACCTTTTATGTGATTAATAATCACAGTATTGTTTAATAATTATTTAAACTATCAAATAGTTGCTAAAAAAGCTAAATAGAAAAATAATTATTTATTTTTTAGTATTTTCAAATCATATATTATTAAAAATGATTTACACAAATATACTAATTATTTCTATTGTCAACTACAGGTAAAAATAATATTATTAATAATTATAAACATTTTACATTTCAATATAATTTTTGTAACTATTAATTTGTATTTTTACATATATTTGTGCAATATTTTACAGTTTAATGCTTATATTTAAAAAAATCATTGAAATAGTTTTTATATTACTAAGCCATCAAATAGTTATTTATAGTTATAATAAAATTTCTGGAATAGTATCCACTGGTTATGTTCGGTGGAAATACTAAGTCTCAGTTATAAGAGTTAAACCGATAAAATAGTTTTTTTTTAGTTGCAAATCAAGACATTATTGATTATACAGTATTTCCTCATTTACTTTAATTTTATTCACTTATTATTAAATTAAAATGTAATAAAACTTTATTTATACTAATATTTGCTATTATTATAGATTTAGTTTGAATTAATTTTATTTAATATATTATTTTATATAATAATTTTATAAATATCTTTTTATTAAACTTTAATAAGAAATCTTATAAAATATAGTATTCATTAAATTTGAATTAACAAAACGTTTAGAATATATCAATATTAAAATAATTATAGAAATATTATTCATAATTATATAAAATTACATTTATAATCAATACATTTAAAATATTAATGATGTTTAATGGCTTCTCATTTATTGCTAATTCATGAACAAAAATCAACAAAATTTAAATAAATTTTTATATATTTATTTTTAATGACAGGTTTTTAGTTTAACTTTTGTGCTGTTTGCTAATAAATCTCTCTCTCTCTCTCTCTCTCTCTCTCTATCTATCTATCTATCTATCTATCTCTATCTCTCTCACCCACACACACACACACAAAGTCAACCCGAAATGAATGACTTAAATGATTTGATGCCGTAATGACTGTTAACGTCATTTAATATATTATTATAAAACCTAAATTGAATTCTTAACAATACTCTTAAAATTTATTATTACATATCATTAAAATTAAATTATAAATAGTTAATAATAATATAATAGTAAATAATTGATGTCATTCTTTAAATAAACTGTTATATAAACAAAATTTGTAATTTAATGCAAAATGTTTTATATAATGTGACAATATGTTGAAAATTAACTATCATATCGTTATTATTAATATTATTATCAGCTACACAACTATAATTAAAATATAATAACAATATTAATATTATTGTAGAAAATATACCTAGATTATTATTTGTCATTTATAATTTACATATAATAATTAATAACTTATATTCTTAAATAGATTATATTTTTTTGTAAATAATAGATATTTAATATTATTAAACTAATAGTTATAAACATTTATAATAAACTATTGTTATGCGTTTAATTATTTTTTTAAATGTAAATAATATTTACTAAATATGAATATCAAAATTTAATTTGATAAACATAATTAAGTTATTTAAAATTCAATATCATATTTAAACAATTTAATATTGTAATAGTTAAATTTGATTTATATATTTAATACAGTATATAAAGCAATCAATTATTGATAAATTTTTTAAAAATGTGCTGAATATTTCAAATAAAACAAAATTTATCTATAAATGATAACAATTATTAATTATTGATATTAAATAAAACAATGAAAATAAATTCAAATTAAATTGAAATACATTTTATTGAATAAATTTCTGCTTAACTTTTCTTTATTTTTATAATAATTATTGATATTATTGTCGTTATTGTCGTTATTGATGTACAGTTAAAAAAATAAAATAAATTGAATGTATTTATAATATTAATATTATTGGGGAAAACATTGGAGAAAATAAAACATTAACTCATAAATTGAGTCCCGATTTAAATGTTTTGTAATTTTTTGATATTTATATATTAAATGTAGAAAAATGTTATAAACTTTTAGTGTCGACGACTTTGAAAAGCCATCTCTGGTCTGATTTAGTGATAATACAAAATACAAACACAAAAAACTACTTATTTTATCACTCAATGTTCAGCCAATGATTTGTTGTTTAATTTCAGATATAAGTCAATAAAATCAACACAAAAAATGAGTCAATTTTTTTGTTTTTATTATTAGTTTTATTAATATTTTTTAATCGCTTTTTTGGAAATTTTTTTTTAATATCATTTCATTAACTAATAAACTGATTGACATTTTTTTTTTTGAAAATGTATTTCAAAGTTAATGTTATTTTATTGATTGTTTGAATGTTTTACATAATTTTTAAAAGCCGTGTATTTTGTTAACCAAACTATTATTGCATTTGAATAATAAATATCATAATAATCCTGTATTTCCCAAATTATTATTCAAAATTGATTTTTTATTACAAAAATGATTACAATTTTGTCTAATAATTTGTTATCCCTATAAATATGTCATATAATTGATATGATATTTAGTTAGTTAATGATTATTGTAGTCAATCCTATTTATTTGAAATTTATATTAATATTTAATTTAATAATAATATTAATATTGCAATAATATTTAGTAAACACATAAACGGGTATTTATTATGAGAATATAGTCATTAAATATTATTATTATTTTATATATAAATTGATAATCAAATTGAAGTGTTGGAAGTGTTGTAATTAATGGCAATATTTTGATATTTTACTGAAACTAAAAATTGATTGCCATTTAAGTCGTAATGGTTTTGGGCGAAAGTTTTAAGCCGTTTTCACCGAAACGTAAATCCGAGTCATTGGTATCGGAGCCGAAATTGGCGGACATTTCACCACCCGATGTATCAAACGAGACATTTGTCTTCAAATATACGCTGTCTTTCTTAGCCGCCTCTTGTGCTGAAACTAGTAATACATTAACACTTTTGCCACTTATTTCTAAATATATTTTATTTATATATCATATATTATATTGCAATTTGATTATCATTTTAGTTACATATCCATTGGATCTCATTAAAGGTATTTTTACTAAATTTAAATAAAAAATAAACACAAATTATTATAAGTACAGAAAATTATTTTTTAATATAATTATATTTGATAAGTTTCAATAATTAAATTAATTTAGCATAAATTAAACAAATAAAATATAAACTAGTTTTAGTAGTTCATAGATTAATACTTATAATCGATGAAACTTACATAATATTTAATATATATACTTATATGATATATATTTCTATTAACAATTTGTTTTATTTTTGTACTACAAATTTTGCGATAATTATTTATTGTTAACTAGGTCATAAATTAAAATAGTTAATGTGATTAAATTTACTATTTTTAATTAAATTATTTAAGTATTAAATCAATTCAGAATTATAATATTAAAATAATGATGGATTATATGTATTACATAAACATAGTATTTAATTAAATAATGATTGAAATTTATGTGTGTATTTATATATTTAAAAAAATATTTATCTAATTTTAGCAATAATACAATTGAGTTCTTATTATTATTAATGTGATTATAATAATTAATAAAATAAATAAATACTTTGAAGTAAAATTGTTTTTATTAAATTATTTTATTAATATTTGCGGATATAAGTTAGAAATTGTAATTTATATGATAAAGCAGACAATAATGAGAGACAATTTTGAATTTTAAACCAATTTTTAATATTTTATACAATATAACAAATATATAAATGTTAATTTGAAATATATATCATAATGACAAAATGTAAATATTAATATTTTAAAATGACATTATATTTTAACAATTTTATGTAAAATATTTTAAATAGATTTATTTTGATTAATTATAAAAATAAATAATATTATATTTAAACTGATTTCATGAAATTTCATAAAATTTCTAATTTTACATATTTGTAGTATTTATCAATTTCGAGATTTATCTATAATTTTAATTGCATTTTTTGCTAAAATAAAAATTATTATTATTAAAAACAATAGGAAGATTACAAATCCAGGGCGAGAAAGCACTGGTGAAATATGAGTGCCATAAAGGAAGTAAATTGATTGCTAACCGAGGAATGGCCGGTACAGCTGTTGGTATCGGTATGTTTAGTAATTTAAATAAATCAAAATATTTTTTTGACTAAAAAAATTATTTCTATAATTTAAGTCAATGAAGAAGGATTTTTTCGTCTTTGGCAGGGATTATCTCCCGCTATATATCGACATTTAGGTAAATGTGATATTTGTATTAAATTTTTAATTAATAATATAATTTTCAGTATATTCTGGAGTTCGTATGACTTTATATGAATATATTAGAGAAGAAATGTTAGGTAAGAATTCTGACGGAACGATACCAGTTTGGAAAGCAATCATTGGAGGAATGGCAGCCGGAATGACAGCCCAATTCCTGGCCAGTCCGGCCGATTTGGTTAAAGTTCAGATACAAATGGAAGGCAAACGTCGCTTACAAGGACTTGAACCCCGAGTTCATAACGCGAGTCACGCTTTCATGAAAATTTTATCTGAAGGAGGAGTTAGAGGCCTTTGGAAGGGTTGGGCACCTAATGTCCAAAGGGCTGCGTTTGTCAATATGGGAGATCTGACCACTTATGATACGGCAAAACATTTAATACTAAAACATACAAAATTAAAAGATGATGTCTTTACTCACGCACTTTCCAGGTATTAATCTAATGGTATTTATAATATCATAAGTGATGAGATTTAGTGTATGTTCAGGACTTGTTGCTGCTATTCTCGGAACACCAGCTGATGTGGTTAAGACACGAGTTATGAATCAACCGACAGATTCTAAGGGCAGAGGAATGTTATACAAGTCATCTATCGATTGTTTTATACAATCAGTTAAAGGCGAGGGATTTTTCTCACTTTACAAAGGATTCATTCCCTGTTGGATACGGTATTGAAAAAATTGACTTATTTTGTAGTAGAAAATTAAATTATTCACAATTGATTAGTTGTATGTTTTTAAAAAATAAAATGCAAAAATCTAATTTTAATTCAATAACATTTTATAGCTAACTATTAGAAATACCGTAAAATATTGATATTATTTAAAATATGTTTTTATTTAAAATATGTTTTTATTTACCAAAAGTATGGGTCCCTGGAGTTTAGTATTTTGGATGACATATGAAGAATTGCGAAAAGTAACGGGAGTCACGTCTTTCTAACTATTTATCAACTATTTTCCCAATCGTTTTGTTATATTCAAGACAATCATTGAACGATATGTTATGTGATAAAGAGTAATCTAATTTAAATTTAGTTTAAAATATCAACTAAAAGAATAATTTACTATTTATCTATAAATATAGTTATTGTTTTCAAAGTGAAATAATATGCATAATATTGTTGTAATTATGAAATAGTAAATATCATAAAATTGTATTTAATAGGTGTTTGTTAGAGATTTGACTGTCGATTTGGAAATATTTTTATTTTTTTTTGAAAAAATGTATGTTTAGATTTATAGAAATTTTAAATATATTTTTTAGATTTAATAAATATTTGTTATTTTTTTGTTAGTATTCAATACATTCTATGATTAAGTGATTTTTCAATAAAATTAAAGTTGCACTGCTCATTTTAATTGTACAGATATTTATCGATATCTCAATAAAAATTAATTTTTTAATAAATGTAAATAATAGCAATAAATTAATAATTATTGAATAATTGATAGTAATTTTATATTTTTAAGATGTTTTATAATTTCAGAGAAAGACTAGTGAAAAATGTGTAAAAATTAGATATTTAATACATTTTCTCATATGATTGAGTATATAATTTAATTGAAATAATTTATTATTGCATAATACAGTACAGTATTTACAGTACTGTTATAGTCATCATTGATAGTATGCAATGCATAGTGTTATTGGTTTCAAACACACGTGGTTTACATTATTTACAAATTGAATGGCATTTAAATTTCAATTATTTTCTTAATTATGTCCAAAATTAGTCTCAAACAAAGGTTTGTATCGATATTTTTATTATAATTTTAACATTTTTTGTTTAATGATTTCTATATTTTATTATTATTATTATATTTTTTGTTATTAGTTTTGCCGTCAAATCAAAAATCGATTCATTTTTTACATCAAATAAATTACAGGTTTTTATTGAAATTATAATTTAATTGATAAGACATTCAATAACGACATTAATATCAATGACAGATCACTGGCGATGGGAAATATATCTTCAGCACGTGTTTGGATGTACTTAAAGTAATAGATGTAAGCACTGGACATGTAATCAAAGAGATTAAATCGGAGGTAATGATTGATTTTTATAGTTTTACCGGTCATTTGAAATAATTTCATTAGAGGTTTAGCTTTGAACCCTATAAGTGGTGTATATTGTGTGCAATGAGGGAGGTGTGGGTTATACCCATATTTCAACGTTAAAAAGTTGAAAACTTGATAATACATTCATTACATTTATTTACCGAAATTTATTTGTCTATATTTAGACCGACGATAATATAATAGCATTTGGTGTGAGCCGTAGCTCTCATATAGTAGTGATCGGCCATCAAAGCGGTCTTTTAAGACAATGGATTTGGTCAGAGCAGAGGTTGGAGCGGACGTGGAAATCAATACATTCGGCACCTATTGTTGATATCATTTGCGATCCCACCGATACTTTGGTGGCCACCGCCGGTTCCGACTCGACAATCAAAGTATGGCATTTGGGTCGCAATTATTGCACTCACAATCTTCGTGGCGCTAAAGGTGTGATCAGTTGTGTTGTATTTTCGCCGACACATTCAGAGGAGAGTTATTATATTTACGGTGTGGGAGATGACTATAGTGTCCACGTTTGGGATTTGGTCACAAGTAAACACGTGAATCAAATGGATGGTCACTGCAGTAAAGTCACTGCTATTAAGTTTAGTCTCGACGGTCAACATATATTGACCGCCAGTCGCGATAAACTTGTTATAGTTTGGAGCGCTTCCGATCACCAAATGGTTCGGTCTATACCTATATATGAGGTAATGATTATTAGAATTTATATTAACATTATTTAACTTTATATAAATTATATATACCGTAATATACAATATATATATTATTTGCAATTTATAAACAATTGTTTTTATTTAGTCTTTGGAGTCGATTGAAGTGATAGATGGATCCAAAATATCAGTGATTAACTTATTGGTAAACAACAAAATCTTTGTAACTGCCGGAGAAAGAGGTGTCCTTCGGGTTTGGAATTATGGTTCGGGAGATCTGTTATATACACAACAAAATTCTTCATTAGTTATTAAAGAAGAAACTGAAGACAACGACGTTATTATTAATAGTCGTTTAATAACTCAAACACTTTATTCCGAAGAGCTTTTACAACTTGTAGTGATTTCGTCTGAAAATAATATATTGTTTCACAAAATCGACGATTTTTCAGTTGTTAAACAAGTTAGTGATTATAATCATATTATTATATCAATTAAATTTTGAAAATCTAATTACCGGTAATTGTTTTCTTAAGTTTGTTGGACATATGGATGAAGTTTTGGATATTAAGATATTGGGTATCACTGAGAGTCATATAGCTATTGCTACAAACAGTCCAAATATAAAGATTTTTGAGTTATCGACTTTAAACTGTGATCTTCTGAAAGGACATAAAGATATTGTTCTCTGTTTAGAAACATTTAAATCTGATCCCAATATACTTCTCAGTTCATCGAAAGATAATAGTATCAGAATTTGGAAGTTTTCCGAAACTTTTATTGACAGACACTGTATTTACTACGGCTCGGGTCACACCCATTCCGTTACATCGATTGCCACTCCATATATAAGTAATAATTTTTTTGTCAGCGGCAGTGAAGACACGACATTAAAAGTTTGGAAAATACCTAAAAAGACATCTGATTTAATGCCTGAAAGTCCAACCTCACTGACCTCAAAGTTCACTCAAAAAGCTCACGAAAAGGATGTCAATACAGTTGCTGTATCACCTAATGATCAGTTAATAGCAAGTGGTTCACAGGATAAAACAGCTAAAATCTGGTCAGTCGATGGACTTAAGCTATTAGGAGTGATGAGAGGTCACCGAAAAGGTATTTGGAATTTAAAGTTTTCACCAATTGATCAGATATTAGTAACGGCTTCAGCCGATGCAACTATCAAGATATGGGCTCTCATCGATTATAGCTGTTTGAAAACATTTGAAGGACACGACTGTTCAGTACTTAAGGTACTGTTTATTGATAGAGGAATGCAATTGATAACGAGTGCCAGCGATGGTAATATCAAGATATGGAATATTAAAGATAATGAGTGCGTCAAGACTTTAGACGCACACAATGATAAAGTTTGGGCTCTTGCGCTGACACAAACTCTTGAAGAAACACTTATGATATCCGGAAGTTCTGATTCTTCAATCATTATATGGCGAGACGTGACTGAAAAAGAAACTGAAGAATTGGCGCTTCAAAAGGAAAGCCAAGTGGAGAGCGAACAAAATCTATTGAATTGCATGCAAAAGAAAAATTGGTTAAAAGCTCTTAAGCTGGCCATACGTCTCGATCACCCATTTCGAGCATTGAATATAATAAAAGAGATTTTAATTGATAATAATGGTGTCAATGAAATAAATGAAATATTTATAAACCTAAGAGAAGATCAATTACTAAAACTTCTTGACTATTCAGTTGTTTGGAATACTAATAGTAAGCATTATATTGTGTCTCAATGTGTCCTAAAAGCTATTGTAGAGAAGATATCGCCTAAAGATTTACTTAAGACTCATGATTTGAAACAAACAATAGAAAAACTATTGCCATATAATGAAAAACATTTGAATCGATTAAATCGTTTGCAACAATCTGTTACTTTTGTTGACTATGTTTGGCAACAAATTAAATTACCGGATTTGAATGATAATAAATCGCTAACTATTGATAATAATGAAGATATCGAAGATATTGATGGTTCTCATTATGATGTTGTAGCCATTTCTGATTCAGATAATGAATCAAATAATTAAATTTTTATTTAGAAATTTTATAATAATATTTTTAAAAATAAATTTATTAAAGTTTAAATTACTACAATTATTGCTCATATAAACACATGAATAACAGAAAACTTATAATCCTTTTAAAAAAGTAATATTAGATTTTGGGATTATATTGGGGACAGACATTAGGTCTCATTGCAATGTTTGCCAATATTTATCAATTATTTAGCTATCATTCCAATCATTAATCTATATTTAAAGATAATATTGACTTTTAAATTTGAAAATCACACAAATGTGTGAAATTGGTTCACAAAAATTACAGACAATTAGATTCCATGCATTGAACTTTAGTATCAAAGATAAAGATTTGATTGACGATAATGTTTTGATTGCAATTTGCAATCATTTTTATGGCACCACTTTTAGCACTATTACTCTATCGTTAATCCTTAAAATTGAAAGGATTAGCATAACATTAATTGATATAAAGTGGTCACTAAGTCTCACGTCATTCACGATTCACTTAAAGACAAACAATTTACTCGACTATAAAAAGAAAATTTCAATCCTTTTCACATTCACTTGCAATCATCTATTCATTGGTTTCACTTAAAAGATATTTTTATCAAAATAAAAGTTTGTTATAAATGGCTGGTTATTATTACTCGTTTAGACCAATTGTCAAACAAAATCTGAATCTTCGAAACAACAGAAATCGTTTTTGTGGTTTCTGTATGACTAATGGAGAGCCGGCTCAGGTCTTCGAGAGTCATTCGACCAAAGATGTCAACGGAAATACTGTCTGTCCTCAGCTAATGAAACATATTTGCGAGCGTAAGATATCATTAATTGATTTTATTTAAATTAATTATTACTTTAATATTATTTTATACTATAGTATGTAATGCAACCGGAGATAAGGCACACACTAAGTAAGTGTTTAAATATATTTTTAAATTATAAATTGTATAACTAATCAATTATCTAATAGATCTCATTGTCCGATTGCCAAATATGGCCGATCAGATCCGATATTCAAAAGCATTTATCAAGAGGTCTATTTCCCCAACACTGTCATCACTTTTGACAATATGGTTGCGCTGAAGAAGACGAGAGTCAACTCTGCCGGCAAACGAGTCCGAAGATATCACTAATTATACGATAGAGAGTACACTAACTATACTTATTATACTAACTATACTATAATAAAAACTTATTGTTATATAATAGTCATGTATTCCTTATATAATATTTTGTAAGATTATTATCATTTTTAACTTATTTTATGATTATATTATCGTTTGTTTGCTATTTTAAATTACTTATAATTACTTTTTTAAAATTAATAATATTATAATGATATCGATAATTAAAATAACTTTAAATTTCAAATTCACATATTTCTGTTGTAATTCATAGCGTAATAAATGTTAGCATTTATTGAATATATTGTAATAAATAAAAAGTTTTGTTTATTTAGAACAGCGTTTGTCTGCTTATAGTGTTTTTAAGGCTATAATAATGTAAATTAAATGTCAATAATATTTATATCAATTGATAATTAATTTTAAGTACCAATTGATATGATATTAATAGTGACTATCATTGGACACAATGGATGTTATCATTATAGACCATCACTGAAGACATGGTCACATTGTTATTGGTTTTGATATACAAATTAGTGGCCAAAGAGCTCACATTCGGCAGTCATGGCTCTAACAGTCGTTGACGGCTTTCGATCGGTTCTCACAGCGAAGACATTACTGTTGATGACTGTCTTTGCTGTGTTTGTCATCGGAATCATCGACTACTCGTTGATCACTGAGAAGAATGGCTGTGAAATGACTTTTATGTTTCAATTTCCGCAATTTATTGTATGTATTAACCATTTATTAATAGTTAGCTATCAACTCATAATATATTTATTGGTATTGTCTTATAGTTGATCCCATTTACCCACCGATTATCGCAAAAGTATCCCAACTATAATCTATACGCCTATGGAGAGGGGTATTCAACAAAAACAAACTAATTGTTATCAAAATTTATCATATTTTTAATTACATTTTTTTTATATATATATATTACAAGATATTATGCACAAAGTCTTCGGTAAATTATTTATTGTTTATTTGATTTGTTTTATTAAAAATTTGATTATTCATTGAAGTGATGGTGACTTCGATGGCGTTCCCGTTGTATTTGTTCCGGGAAATCGTGGTTCATATAAACAGGTATCAAACGATACAATGATTAACCAATTATTAATTTTTTGATGAAATTACTGATATCAGGTCAGGTCATTGGGTTCAGTTGCTCTTCGCATGTCTGATAAATACTCGACATTTCATTTCAATTATTTTACTGTTGACTTAAATGAGGTAATTAGTAATAATAAGCCAAAACTGATATACAAATAATTGTTTTTTCCGTATTAGGAATACTCAGGAGTTAATAGTATTCAACTCCAAAGTCAAACACAATTTCTTAAAGAATGTATCATAAAAATAGTTGATTTATATGACCAAAGAGGAAGAAATGTAACACTTGTGCTCATTGGCCACTCAATTGGTGGTGTCATAATCAGATCTGTGCTATCATTGCCAGAAGTTGAGCCATATTTGAAAAATATTGATTTAATTATAACTTTAGCCACTCCACACAAATCTCCGGGTATTTTTTAATAATTGAATTTAATGTAATTAATAATTGAATGGCAATTTTAAAAATTTAATTTAGTTGTTCCCATTGATATTCAAATGACAAGATTTTATAAGTTAGCTGAAGAATTTTGGGACCAAAATCGTGATAATAGCTTAAGACATATTAATTTGATATCAATTGGTGGTGGCTTTAATGATAAGTTGGTCCGTTCAGATCTTACCCGATTGAACAATAATTATAGCAATGATTTAACAATAGTAACCACAGCTATCGATGATGTTTGTATTATATTTATTATACTCTAATAATAATATTTTAATTTCTATCGAAAATTTATATTTAAAAAATATAGGTTTGGGTTTCAACGGATCATTTATGTATTGTTTGGTGCAAACAATTAGTACTTAAATTAACTCGACTTCTCTTTGATTTAATTGATAAGAAGTCACTTAAAATGTTTGAAAACTATTCGGACAGAAATAGGATAATTCGTTACCATCTTTTGGAGAGAACTTTAGAGAAAAATTATCCCAATTTTGTTATTCCAAATACAATTAACTTAACACCAAATGGAGAGTGGAGTGAAAATTTTGAAAGGATTATTAAACTTAAGAAACCAAAGGTTATTATAGTTTAGTAAATAATTTAATATTTTATTTTTGTATTTTTAAATTTTATATATAAATCTAAGGTTTTAAACCAAATGAATATATTACTGCCATTAATACGAAGAGAAACCATTGTCATTCAATTTAAGGGCTATTATAGACATAATTGGCTTATGGCTTGTAGTCCAACCAAATTGAATAATAATATTACTTATTGGTATGAAAAATAGATTTAAGAAATTATAAATAATAATAATAATTGATTTATTTTTTTAAAAATATCAGCGAAAAGGGTCACTTACTTCACACATATGTCAAACGGATGCCATCAAAACCTCATGATATTGAACGTCGTGTTTACAAAGGTCTATCATCTCTCTTACTTAATAAAGGATATACACACCTATTACTAGCAATTAGTTCATCAGTGGAACCAATTGACATACAGATCGATCGGTTCACGACATCCATCCGAAGCAAAACTATAATTATGCCAAATCTAATGCAAAGTCTAACAATGGTATTCTCGCCAATCACTATAATGGACATTGCAGTCAGTGAAGAGACAACATTTTACAATCTTAGTCTTTCGGGACTCAATCATATTTGGCACACTTATTGGATACAAATGGAAACTATTTCATGTTATACCAGCGCTTCAAATATCGGTTATCTTTATTTTTCTATTCCCTGGAATAAAGAGAGTCAATATCAATACATATTACCGAAGCGCAGGTCATCCACTCAAATGACACTAAAACTAAATTCGCCGAAACCTAAAGATTTTAAAAGTTTAATTAATCCCACACTTTATATATTGGTTGACCCAAACTGTAGCTATAAACTACATTTAAAACCATCCATTTCTGAAATAATTGGACAAATACTAAGACATTATGGACTCATATTGTTACCAATGATTGTATCAATTGTGATATCTATGTTATCCACACAAATAATACCTAATAAACAAATCAGCTCAACAAACGGTGATATTCATAATAATAAATTTTTCAATAATATACCAAAATATTTATATATACAATCAATTGAAATAATTAAACAATACCGATTGGTTTCGATAAACGGGTTGCTTATATTATCACCTTCCAGTTTGGCTTTATATTTTAAGTAATTAATTTAAATATACATTTTATATATATATATATATATTTAGTGATATTTATTAATAATTATTGTGAATATTTTGATTAAATTACAGTTATTCAGAGATGAATTCGATGACCTCATGTCTAATGTGGTATCAGTTAATCATTCTCTACCTCTTTCTCTATTCAACAGCACTGTCGATAATATTCGTCTTTTTCTCAATTATGACACTAATATTCATCTCTTTGTCATCACTTGTAGTATATCTTAAAAGCAGGTATTGCTGTTCAATAATCATCAAAATTACGGTAATAATTAATTACTTATATGTGTTATTAAATAACAGATTCACTGTCAGTCTCAACAAATCAAACATAAGTCAAGAAAAAAGCTTTAAAATAAAATTAATTCCGTTATTGAGTTTATTTGTGATTATATTGATTGGCATTATTTATAATTCTGCTTTGGTTTGTATTATTAATTTTGAATCATTCAATTATATTATTAATATTAATACAAGTTTTTGTTTATTTGAAAACAGGCACTTTTGGTCACCTTATTATTGCATAACATTCAGGTTTTATTTAACATTTTTGTTTTATTTTATTTTATTTCAAAAATTAATTATAATAAATGTTATTTAATTATTTAGTTAATACACTTATGCATTAAGTGTCAATCAATTGAACGTCGATTGGGTGTGGGTTCAGATGTTTGCCTATGGAATCTTCACTTAACATTATTAGGACTGTTATATTTGTCAACCATTCCCTCAATTCCATTGTTATTGGATTGGATTAATTTGAAACTACCTGTTCTCTATTTTGTTTGGTCCGATCCATATCTTATACCCGGTTTAATATCGATGATTTCATTTCCGGTTATTTGGCACCAGTATTCTGTAATTAATATAAACAAGTAAGCATTAAATGCTATTTTTTAAGATAACAAAATATCATTGAAATAACTTTTTCCCATATTTAGTAATCAAAGAAACTATTTGTCGATTATGTTGAAAGCAATGGCTATATTGGCGTCAATTATATGTCAATTTAATTACTTGAATATATCGATAATTATATCGGTTTCGTTGCTATTATTAAGTATTCAACACTTTGTTGAATTGTTTGCGAACCGGAATCTAAAGTGTGATTAAAATTTATTTTAGTTTTATATATATAGTAATATATTTTATATTATATTTTATTTGTATAATTTTATTTTTATTACAAAAATCAATCCTATATTTATTGAGAGTTTATTTTTATTTTACTTCAAATCACAGTACAATTATGTTGGATTTATTACTTAACTTAATTTATTTAAGTTATTTCTTATTATATTATTTATTGTTTTTTAATGTTAAATTAATTAAAACATTTCATTATGAATTTAATTATATTTGGTTTGATTTATTTTATATTTATATTTACCTGTACATTAATTTTTTATATTTTAAATATCGCACATTATCATTGTCAATTTACAATAGAAATCAGTGTATTTTTCTCTAATTGTATTTTAGGAATATTTAGAGAATCATTGACTGTATTTATGAAGTTATATAAAAATATAGTTTTTGATAAACAAAAATTGTTTATAATTTTTGAATTATTTGAAAATATAAATTTACTCATTTAAATATTAAGATTACAATTTATAGTTTGAATTCATCTAATTGTATATAAGTGTTGATTAATTGTATTACAATGTTTTAATACAAATATAAATTCTAACTTTTTATGTAACTTTAGATGATAATTATCCATTATCTCAATTTAATATGAATAACTACATTAGAATATATACAGTACCTTTAATATATGTATATTTTATAAATAATACTAACAATTATTTATGATATTTTATGATAACTTAATTTAATCTAATTTAAATTATATTTTTATTTATTATAAAAATTATATATTTATTTATTATTTATTTATTTATTTATTATGTACCGTAATTATATTTTATTAAAAGCTTATTTAACTTATCAATAGCTAATCAACTACACTACACCCCATACATACAGTACACACTCACACATGACACGCGCAAATCATATAAAGTTAATTAGAGGTAAAACATTGAATGGATATTTAGATAAAAATTTATTATATTATATAAATGATGTCTATTAAGAAAATCAATACATTTATATAACATAAGGATTGACTGACTATTTTAAGGTTAATCGGGTGTGGCTTTCATTATGACTATTGTGGACACGGATGATATGCACCAAAACATTATGTATAGCCTTGACATTGAAAATTCAGACATATGTAGTGTATAGTACATCCCTGTATGCCATTCGGCAATACTAACAATCGATATACAATGCATAACATGTACACCGATTCCATTATGTAAAAAAAATCTGTTACAAAATACCAGTACATTGTTTTTTATAAATAATATAATTACGAACTTTTTTTGGTACAATAATTTTCATGGAACGGATACGACAATAGAATATACATGTATTTATTTTATATCAGCACAGTTAGGTTGGCTCATGGATATTCATATTTTAATATGTGATAGACTATCACTGATAGTATATATAAAAAGTTTCCAAAATAAAATGAGCTTGATTATTAAAAAATAGAATTGTGTAAACTAATACTGTTATATACTGGTATAATACTTAAGTAAGTAATAATCTGATTTAATTTAATTGGTCACATTAGTATTGTACTATAAAATCATAGTATCAAAATAAAATATTTTATTTCTATTTTTCAAAAGTTATTTTAAAAAAACAAAGAAATTGTATTTTAGAAAAAATATGTTTAAACATAAACATTAAAAAGCTTAAAATGACTTTGAAAATATCTCCACATAAACAATAAATACTATTAAAAATATTATATTTATCTAATGATATATTAGACTTTATAATAGATATATAATAAATAGATATTCACTTAACAAAAATCAATGAATAATTTAACGCATTTTGAAGTTAAAGTTTTATATACACTGAATTATATTATTAATGCATAAGAGGTTATACTGTATTAATAAAACATTAAATGTTAATCATTAAAATAAGTCATTATACTGTTTATGTATTAATTCAATATACAGTACTTTAAATCTATTTTAATTGAATTTTTTGTAATCAATTGTAAATTGTAACGGTTCTTATGTTATATAATTTATGAATATCAAGTAAAATATTTACTAAATAAAATTAATAAATAAATATTATAATATATTATATTTTAACTTTACTTTACTTATAGTGTAATAATAGAAAATATTTTAATATCACATTTCAGAATATGAACTGACAAATAATGATATAAAAATTCTTTTTGTAATTTTATTTAATAAAAAAGTAAAAAATAATATATTTTAGATTTTAATAAATTAATTTTAGAATATAATTTTAGATTTTACTGTTTTTTACAATATTATTGTCAAAATGCAAATAAAATTTTAATTTATTTCTTCATTATTCTGTTTTAAAATACCTAAACTTGAAATAACTTAATTAAAAAAACACACAATTAAATTATCAATATCATTTTATTTTACTCAAAATACCCAATTTATTTTAACTAACTTAATTAGAGTTGCAAAAATACATTGAAATCTAAGATTATGTGATAAACTTGTGAGAATAAATATTAAATTAAATTTTAGTTCAATAAAACAAATAAATATTTAAAAAATTAAAGATTATTTTAATCATTTTATATAACTTATTTAATATTTAATTATCTTTAATATTTTTTAAATCAAACTTTATTTATATGCTAAGTTAAATTATATGATTAATTTTTTATTACATAAAATGATCAAAATAATGTTTATTTTTATATATTTATAAATGTCAATTGAATTATAATTTAACTTAATATTTATTCTCACAATTTTGTCATATAATTTTAGATTCCAGTGTATTAATCTTCGGTTAAAGATATTTTTTAAAGTGATAATGTTAGTAATGCTAATACATTAAAAATTTATTGTTTATAATTGATTTTAATTTAATTAAATAATATAATTCATAAATATATAGTTGGTATAATTCGTCAAAAAGATATTGTTTTTAAGTTAATATTAGTGAAAAAATATTTTAATTCTCATTTGTAATTTAAGTTATCATTAATTAAAATAATTTTATATTATTTAAAATAAGTTCCCTCCTATCTAGAGATGGGCAAATAGAAAGTTTCTAATAAATTTCACTGAGAAAGTTTCTAGAAAATTTCTCAGGAATAAATTTCTATAGAAATTTAACTTTATTGTTATACTATGGGATCCCCATATCTATAGCTATTGAAATAATATATAAATAATGAGACAATACTACTATTCATATATCATTATACTATACACTACTATACAAAATGCGATACCTATATGTAAAATAATTATAATTATTTAATAATAATCAGTTTTTTAAAATTTTAATAATCATTTTATTATATATATAAGAATTTAAGATAATTAAATAAATTAATTTTTACTTTAATTAATAATAAAAATATTAATAATAATAATTAATTATTACTTGTAAAACCAATGTATTGTTACATAATAAGATATATCCAGAAAACAAAATTAACATAGGGATCCCATAGATAGAAATTTCTTTTAGAAACTTTCTAGAAATTTCTCTTTTTTGCCAACACTACTCATATCACAATGTAATCAATTTTTTTGTATTAGTATTTTTTATTTTTATACTTAATATAAGTATAAGTTTGGCCGAAATCGGAGACAATTAAAAATAGTTGACTTACTTTCTTTCTAAACTTACTCTTATTAAATTTATACAAATAAAATAAAATTTGTAATTATATATAAATATCTAACACAAATAACTAAAAGCATATTATAAATAATATTTAAAAATAAATTTAAGTAAATTAACAATGATTAAATTATGATTAAAGATTTTGAGACAAACATATTACACAAACTATGATTAACTTATTTTGGTTATTAGATATTACAAAGTAAACTAAATTATAATGTAATAAACATACATAAATACTTTTCAGTATATTTTCAGTTAACTTTTTATCATTTAAAAAATTAATTATTAAACAAACCAATTTATAACATAATTTTATAATGCTTATTTTTAAATATAAGTGGTTTATGAAATAAATAAATATTAATGAATTTAACCCGTATTTTATATATAATAAGTTTTATTTTTAATAAATTACTTAAATTAAGCTATATAATTTTAACTAAAAACCTTATTTAATTAAACTAAAGGCAAATATTTAATTTAAAAGGATTGCACTTTAAAGTAATTAATTTAGTTATTTTTGGCACACATATTATGTAAAATATATCTTTTATTAAAAAAGATATTTATATGTAATTTAAATACTATAAGCTTTGCATTTAAATATATATTAATAAGAAATGTTTTCATTACATTTAATATAATTTAATTAAATACAACAAAAAACTAATAAATTTTGAATTTTATTTCTTTATTATCAATTAATAAACAAAAATATGTTTATATTTTTTGTGTATATATATTCATTAATTCAAAAATGAAAACCTTTCCTATAAACTTATATATACTTTTTTTTGTTAATAATATATATTTATAATAATTGGGCAATCATTTCAAAAGCTTCAAAAAATGTTCACCAAATCAGTTATACAAATATAAAAATCATTATTTCTTATGTCTTTCAACAGTATTATTACAATCTGTGATCGTGTGGTTTATCTTTACATTTACTGTATTTTATAATTATAATTTTAAAATTGATAAAAGTGTAAAATGTTAGTAATAGTGAATTATTTATAATTAATAAAAGAGTCATTCATCTAAACGAATGCTAAAGTATTAATCTTTAAAGTTATTTAATAACATATTTTGTTTAAATGTGCAAAAGATATGACATTTATATAAAATGGAAGATTAATACCTGAATTTATTTAATATTATTAAATACAGGTTTTATATTATGAGCTTTTACTTAATTGATATTCAATTAAATTAATTTTCACTCAATTTCATGAGAGCTGAAAATATGTCATATAAACTACACTTTACTGTTTTATTTATATAATTACATTTTTAAATACTTTTTTAATTATTGGGATATCTTTGACGATAAAATGCTTTTAAATGAATTTAATTTTGACGTTAATTTATATATTTAAATATTATTGACTATAAATTTAGCAAAATCTGATATATTTGACAAAATTTTTTCTAACAAAATTCTTGTTTAATAAAAACTATTTTTAATATAAAAAGCAATTAATTATTTAGTTAATTATAAGCATAAATGTTAGAAAATAGTTATCTAAAATATGTCACGCAATGGGTATATAACTAGAAAACAAGCCATTTATCTGTCAAGAAATCCCAAGACATAAATATTAAAGACATATATTTATTATTAGTGTAATTTGTATTTAATTTGTATATATATTTATTTGATGTATAAATAATTATAATTTATATAATTTGTATATAACTGTACATATTTTGTGAGAAATGGAAGAACTGATTAATAAGTATTTAGTTGTCTGATCTGTCATTCAGTACAGAAGACAGAGGTATGTAACGCATAGATGTGATGAGTGGGCACATCAAACACTTGTCTGGTGTAACACCGCTTCAAGCTATAGGTCTGCTTCTCGAAACCCAACATTTTGAGCAAATTGATGGCCGAGTTGTTATTACTGGGGGTCTTGAGGACCACCCCTTCATCCAACTCAAGCATCGATAGGCCCGACAACAGGTCACATAAGAGCATACGTGCTATGTATTCATTGTCTGCATATAAGGGTGTTATCATCCAATGGTTTTGTAAATTAGGTTTAATACAACCGTAACCGACAACAGTGTCTCCCAAGAGAGCCACTCGAGTCCGGCATTTGGATTCCCTGACCGTAAGTCTGACAATCTTTGACCGGTCGTATGAATGCAGACGTCTATCATAAGCAATGACATCGGCTATCAATTTGTCATTTATGGGTTTGGTTCGCAACTTTGGTGATACACTAACGGTACAGAACTCAGACATATCATAGTTTAACTGATAGATAGGGATATCGGTATCACTCTTGTTGATGGAGTGATCCGATGCAATGTATTGGTATAGTTTATGCATGTGATTGAGTTTATATAAGTCGACTGTCCAGTCGGCAATGTGACAAAAGCCAGCCTTATCTCGATATAATTGGAAGAGATGTGAAACAGCGCTCAAACCGTTGTTTCGGTGACCCAAGTGATGAATGGCTGCGTTCCAGATCTGCTTCCCTATACCACAGCCTCTCCATTCAGCACTTACCACATACATCCCCACATACCCGTGTTGTCCACTTAATCGTATACCACAACAACTGCCCAGTATTACGCCTATATAAGAGTGATTGCAATTAATATTAAATAAATAATAATTTATATTATAATATATCATTAATTGCCAACTAATTGGTTTGTATGAGAATATCTGCAATTCTTTACTCACATCTAAGGCTACTAAAAGTAACCTATTTTTCAGTGAATTTAGACGAACACCACTGACACTCATCCCTTTCCAGACACTCATCCCTTTTGTCTATACATTTCGTTATTGTTTTCATTCATATTCATGAACACAGAGACCCAGATATGATGTCCGGGTCTCTCATGTCCTCACAATTGTATCAATAGTTTTGTGTAAAACTGATTGATATGTGTGTCGGAGTAAACCCTTAACCACTTAAATGCCTCTTCCGTGCAAATCATCATACAATGTAAACCTTGTGTTTCACATAATGTATTGAATGTGTGGCTAAACAAAATTGAAAACATTTTGACACTTATGTATGTTTAGCTTAACAATTGCTTTTGAAATACATATCAATTTATCATTATTATATCACTTTAATATCATTACATTTTTATTAACACAACTTTATTTTTAGTACAATATATTATTTTATTAAATATTTCAATTAAATATTAAAATCATTAGCAATATATTTCAGGATATTCTACATACTATTGTTATAACCATTAATATATTAATATTTTAATTAAATAGTATATCATACAAATAAAGTGCAATATCTAAAATTTTCAATAACTAAAATATATTATATTTAAAAATCAATATTAAACATAAAATATATTATTATAATATATCAGAAAATATTATATTACTGAAAATATATAACACTAATATTTTTAAATAGTAAAAAATCTATACATTTATTATTTATGATATAACTATTATATAAATGGTACCACCAATACACTGATGTCGGATTTAAGTCAAAATTATAAAATATATAATACATACCGTCGTCATCAACGGCCACAAAGAAACCTTTTGGATCAAATTGAAGCCAAGACTCAACCTCTTCGGTAGTTCCCATATGTCGTCCCTCTTTATGACAAATCTGAAGCAACTGAGGAATTTCATGTCTTCTCAAATGTCGTATTTTATATCTCTTTGTTTGAATTGGCATTGGATTAGTTCAGAGCACTTGTTTTATTTAACAATAATTTGTACGAATTTATCGCTTAAATAGTTTATCGCAATCAATATATCACTTCAATAAATCACAATATATTTAAAAACGATATCAATATTTAAAAAATAGTGATATGTATTATAAGTTTAACGATAAAAGTTTGAAGCAATTAATAAAATAAATGAAACATAAATTTGAATGCAAAGTCAACAGACAAATACTTGTGGCCAACAATTGGCTAAACTTTTTAAAAGAATGCAAGAGATGTGATGAGAGGTGACGTTTAGCACAGGTATGTGTCGGCGCCGGACAGAACCGGTCGCGTCAACTATTTTTAATCAGGTTTTTCTCAATTTAGTTATTTCGGAAATTTATGACTTCTCTCCAGGTATTTGATGGTTTGCTTGAAAAATGCAAAATCAAGTTCACGATTACTGATTACACGATAATAGAGTAAATATAATAACCGGCTTTTGTCTAAACTATTTATAGTGTTTGGAGAGGAGTGCCGTTTAGATGCTGTCCTCCACTTAGTTTACAAACAGCTATTAAACACTTCTCTCTCTACGACAACTAATTGATTTCATTTAAAATTTGAAATAATTATTAGATTCTTGTCTTCAAAAGAGATAAAAACTGGTTTTTATGGCTATAACTCAGTTAACAATAATGTTTCAAATGTTTGACAGCAATAAGCTATGACCACACCTTTCGAGAAAGTTTTATCTAAAGACCCGCTTATTATTTTAACAATTGTCTTACATATATCAAATCAATATCACAATTTTTTGAATAATTAATTGTCATAAAAATCAATTATATATATATTATGACACTTTGTTGAAAAACATTCAATAACCGGAAACTGATTGACGAGAGAGTCACTGATGATCACAAATAAGGTTATGAACTGAATTCAACACAAACGACAAATGAAATGTTCGCTATAAACGAGGGAATAATGCATTAAATTGTTGTCACCCGCGGAGTAATAGTGCCGTTCAATAGGTATTCAATTTGAATGCATTTGCGCGATCAAAAAGGACTCTCCTATTTTCAATGGATAACCTCATAAGCCGTTCACCAAATATTTGTACACTCCTTTGACATGCAAACCAATGTACTATCGGTTATCTCCAGTGTCTCCATCCAAGCAATGTAACCTTAAGACAAACATTGAATTTAATTCACTTACCATTATTACCACTACTAATGTACAAATCTATACAAATAAAGTACTATATTTAGACAAAAATAAACTATTAATTAAATAATTTAAAGTAAACATTTTTGTGTGAGATTTTTGGGTTTGCAAATAATGCCTTTTTATTTATCTTTTACTGGTATTGACCGGATTATCTGCATTTGAAAAATAATTTTATTTAACTTTATTTAGATAATGATTGTCAATGTTATATTTATCTAAAGATATCTAAGATTTTTAATGAAATCTTATTATGTAAATAGTATTGAAAATCATTTGCTTTGCTATAATAATTGCTAATTAAACACAAAATTATTTATTATTGAAATTTAAAACTTATACATTGTTTATGAAAACGTCAAATCAACAAAATTGTTGACTTTTCTCTCCCACAACAAAATACTTAAAAAATTTCAACAGTTATTTTTACATGACGTTCATTAACCTTATATCCTCAACCCATTATAGTATATGTCATATAAAAATTATTAGATAGATAGTAGTTTTAAAGTTTAAAATTAATATTTATTGTCATAAATTAATTATTATATATAGATATTGTATACTGTACAATTTTCAAAATATCTATAATATTGATTAAATGATAAAATTATTAGAATATCTTCTAATTACTGTAGTGTATACTATTTACACGTATCATATAATATCAATCAATGCTTTTTATACAAATATTTAATTTACTTTAAGATGATAAATAAAAACTATAAAATACCAGTATATTGTGTACATAACTGAAATAAATTTATTATTAATATGAATTCTCGTTTTGAAAATTATAGTAAATTTTGATAATTTATGTGTTACACAGTGTAACCAATTTACTATATAAATATTATAATCAGATTAAACAATTATTTTATTAATATTTGTTGCATTATTTTAAATATTTATCAATAAATAAACATTTGTTGCTAACTGAAAATAAAATTTAATTTTTAATTCAAATAATGTTTTTGTCATTATATGCAATAACAGTAATATTTCGAGTGTCATATTAACTAAAAATAAAATGATTTAAAATGTTGACATTAATTTGCATTAAATAAAAAGTACTGTTTTTATTCTTAGTTAATATGATACTCAAAATATTATAATATTGATATAATTACATTTAATAAAAAAAATATTATTTAAATTAAAAATTTAATTTTTAAGTACTTTTTATTTAATGGCAATTAATGTCAAAATTTATTCAATTACAAACTATTTCAATATAAGTAATACTTATTAAGTATCATATAACCAAAATATGATACAATTAATATACTGATATTATATATGTATAATTATTTATTTTAGAAATTTAAAAATAAATTTTATCAAAAAATTCCCATTTTTCCAACGCTGATAATTTTTAAAATAAACAAAGAAAACTAATATTGACATTTGATTTTAATCAGATACTATTTAAATAATATTATATAATATAATTTATATTTTATAACTTTAACTTAATTTTATAGTTATATTATAAACTCTTCGTTGACAAATATTTTTGCAATTATTTATCTTACAGTAAATATTTTATTTATATATTTTTGGTCTATAATTATTAATGTATTGTTATTTTTTATTATATAAATTTTTCTAATTCATTGGGTTATGAGATTACAAAAAAACTAGTAATAAACTTAATTTAGTTAACATTATCAACATTTGCAACATTTTTATTACTAATGGATAAAAATAACATTTTTAAAGTAAAGTTTGTGTGAATAACTTCTTCATATTACATGTCATTAGCCTTAAATAAACAAAAGTGTTTTAAGTGCCAAATAGTTTTTTAATATTAATATATTAATCAATATTAAAACTTATTTTTACAAATATTTTATAAACTTTTAATTAAATCGTCTAGACATCAATTATTTAATAATATAAGTTAAAAATACTCCATAACTTTATATATTGATTCATTGATTGATTGCAAAGTAGCATATAATTTGTAATTATATATTAATACAATTATGTAATATTAATGACATCTAATGGAATATAATTTATTTATTAAGTTATACTATACTTAGAGATAGACAAATAGAAATTTCTAATAAGTATGTCGAAGAAAATTTCTCAATAATAAATTTATTATTATAAATTTACAATGAGATCCACATATTTATAGCTATTGTAATATTTAATAAACACTACACTACACTACTATATAAATATGATGTCTATGTACAAAATTAATAAATTATACTTAGTTTTGTAAAATTTTATTTTTAATTTAAGTATACTTTTAATATAATTAAAATACTAATAATAATATTTAGTTATTATTTATAATTATAATGTATTCTTACGAGATATGAAATATTGAGATAACAAAATTAACATTGAGATCACATAAACAACAATTTATTTTAGAAACTTTCTAAAATTTATTTTCTTTCAAACACTAATAGACACCAATTGTATGTGAAATCTAATATTAATATAATAAATAATAATAATATATATTTAATGTTATGTTGATATCAGAATATAATTATAAAATTTTAATTTGACTTACAATTAATATTAGTTCAGATTTGTGGGTATGTTTGGGATATTTTGACAAGACTTACAATATTACAGAATATGTAATGTTTATATAAATAATATATTTTACAATTAAATTGCAATATTAAAATATAAAATTATTTAATTAAAAATAAACAATAATATGTTATGTAGTATACTGTAATCAAACAGTATTACAATTAATATTATGATTTAGTTGTCACAGAATTATAATACTCTATAATTGCATTATATTTTATATCCTTTCAGTGTTTATTTTAAATTATATTACAATTAAATGTATAGTTAACTATTATTATACAAGTTTTATAAATAATAATTTTATAGATAGATTCATGATATTTAATTAATCAAAGCAAACATAATTGAATAAATATAATAAATTAAATAGCGTTTTAAATTAAAAATGAGACTTAATATTAAAATAATTTCGGTATTAATCAAGTGAGATAGTTATAAGTTATCGCCATTTTTATTTTTTTATAAGTAATTTAATTTAGACTTTTATAAAAACAAATCTTTATTAATTTCAATTTATCTAACACTAGTATAACTAATGTTAAATTAGTCACTTATTAAACTGGATATAATATGATTACAATTAATTCTAGACTATGTAAATGTGTACAAAATATTCAAAACTATTATTTTATAATTAAGTTTAATATACTATAATTTAATATTAACTTTATTGGAATTTATATTTTTATAATATTTACTAGATTTAAACTAAACCAAAAATAACATTTTATAACATTTTTTAATTTTCAACTATTATTTGTTAAATTAATTATAAATACTAAAACATTTTTTAATAATATAATACTGATATTTTATTAGTATTATATATCATATTACCATATCGTATATTATTGATATATTATAAACATTTTACAATATATTAAATTTACATGACTATTGATAAGTTGTATTATTTCAAATAAAATAGTTACTGTAAATAACTTACTAACATAGACAATATGTAAGTAATATTACTTTTAATTATTATCTTATTATAACTTAAGCTATCTTTATATAAGTGGCATAATTAATATAGTTTTATCTTAAAATAAAATATTATTAATTATTGTAAATATTAGTATCATATAATAATTAATTAGATATTAATATTTAATTTAATTAAACAAATAAAGTATAGATTGTATAGATGTACTGTATTTCAATCATTTTAGAGCGCATGTAAAGCATATATAGCTTTTGAATATTTTTAAATAGTTTTTTTGGATAACACTATTAATATTATTCTTTGTTTTTAATGATATAAACGTGCGTTAGTCAGCATATATACAGTACTTTATGTATATATATATAAATAGTTTTTCTATTAAGTTATAAATTATAAAAATAGCATTCATTATATTAATAGTATATTAAACAACAAAAAGAAACCATTAATTCCAATGCAATTCTTTAAGTCTAATGATTCAAGTCTTAAGAGAAGAGTCGAGCGAAACATTATTTGCATTTAAAAAAAACACATAAAACACACATAACTTTAAAATAATTGTTATAACTTATAGACATTAATTAATTTGTTTGCAAACCAAATAAATAGTTGTATAAAAAACTAGTAAAATATCAAATAATAATATATATTGATTGTAAAGTTGTCAACAATCTGTAACTATTATTATTAGTTTTTGAATAACCTTTGGTTATTGCTTTAAAGCTATGTTTAAATTAAGAAATTTTATTTTATCTCATTGTTTTTCAAGTTGACATTTAAACCATCTGTGCTATTGATATAATCAAATAATGAAATGTAAATTTAAAATGAAATTAATGAGCGATGAGTCTGTCTATACATTTAACTGTATATAAAAGTTTTAAAAAAGTGTATGTAATATATGTAATGCATTTAACAACATGTGTTTGTAATGTATTATTCAATAGAAATTGAATGCAATAATAATAATAATAATAATAATAATAATAATATGGCGAATGAATTGAATGAAAACGATATTAGTATTAGTGTTAGACTCAGACCTTACAAGTCATTCAACAATCACTGTATCTCTAGTGATGTGTCCACTGATGACAACAACACACATATCAACAACAATATCAACAATAATAATAATAACACCAACGATAACAACATCATCGACAACAACATCATCGACAACAAGAAAAAGAGTTGGTTTACAATGAGAGACGGCATCAAACAGACACTCATATGTCTTGTTTTGGCCATCGGTGTCACCATTTTGGCCGCTCTTCACAACGGGTTTGTCATACTTTGATTAAATCCTCATTAATGATGCGGTCGTCAAATGCATCAATTGATCCCATCATTGATGAGCAATGCTATTATTGTTTACATATGAGAAATTTGATATCATATTTATAAACAGTTGTGACATTAGTTTAGCAAAACTTTGTAATATCATAATAATGAGTACCAATTGGTCATTAATGACACCTAATTGATCCCAATTGTCATCAAAATTAATGATAATAATGACAACAACATTATATTAATGATGACACCAATTGTATATAATATATTATATCATATATGATAACATATTTCAGTTAATACTATTTTGATAATAATTTTTTATTTAATTCAATTATAAACCTATTTATAACAAATTGCAATTTTTTTAGACATAAAAATATATTATTAACTCATACTTGCATTTAATATAAAATATATTTTATTATTTTTTTAAAATTTGATTTTAAAAATATAAATTGAATTACCGGTAATTAAAAGCATGACTTTTTACATAACATAACTAATAACACGTAACCAAATATTATTGGTTTAATCTCATAGTATATAATGTATTATTAAGTTTATAATAATTTATGAACACTTTTTGTTAACTATATTAAAACTTGATTTTGATATTAAAATATTATTTTTTATAAAAACAATTTAATCGTTTGAAACAATAACAGTCTCAGCCAACTGTTTTAACTTATAGACTTAATAATAGTTATAGCTTTTTAAATAGTTGGCAACAAATAATAATAATAATGAAATTTAAAAAAATAAATGTAATATTAATGATATCATTGATGTCAACATATGTCAGAACACTTCGGATCCGAAAGACTCCAAATCCGGTTAAGTTTTTTGATGAAGACATGTATCCAATAGTGGACTACGAGTTGGGAGATCTGAAACAACTGTCACTTCGTGCTCTTCAAAATGATGTCTCATTTGTTATGTATTGTATGTATCGATTAAATAGTTTCTAAACATTTTCTACAATATTTATTACTGGTATTAAATTTAATTATTGATTGTATGGTTTATTTGACCCCTTTAGACGCCCCCTGGGATTCAGATTGTATTAGAGTAATGAAAGAGTTTGAAACAATTGCAAAACATTATAGACATCAGGTTTTTATTTGTTTATCATATTTTGATTATTTTTTTAAAGCTGTATGTTTTTAATGTAGATATTTTTTGCGGCAATAAATTGTTGGTATCCCGATGGACAGTGCAGACAATATTACAATCTTAAAAGATATCCAGTATTGTTAGCTCACGTCCGAATGGCCGGTGAAGTCGAGTATAAAGGACCACTTGTGGCCAGTTATATGATACCATTTTTAGACAATCTATTGGATCCAATAATACCAGTACAAAATGAAGGCGACTTACTTGATCTCAGAGCTAAACACGATGTAATCTGAGGAATATTTTGTATATAATTAAAAATTATTTTGAATTTTTTAATTTTAAGGCTATTTTGATCGGATATTTCGATTTCAATGAATCACCTCAACCACCGGGATATAAGCAATTTTTCTCGACATCTGTTAAAGCACTATCATCTGACCCGTGGAGGACAGTATGTTATTGTGTAATATCAAGCAAAAGAGTAGCCACAAAATTATCACTTGCGAAGCCTCAAACACTGACATTATTTCTATGGAATACAACCGAACATTTTGGTACAAAATCTATTAAATCTGCAACTATTTTAAGTTGGGTTTACAGTCGAGTCCAACAAACACCGACATTGAAGTGGTTGATCCCATCAGGCATTAAAAGTAGTGCTCTTTCAGATATAATCACTAAAAATCCTACATTTGTTTTATTTACTCCAAGAAGTTTTGTATTGGGTATCTCTCCATACTATGATGTTGTAAGTTATGACATATTTTTTTGAAAAAGACATTTATTTTAATAATTATTTTATTTTAAGTTAAGAGAAGTGGTTATGGATTACTATAACTGCGATAACTCACCGCTTATTCGATCAATAATTCATAGAAGTATTTTAAGAAGACATTTATTAGAAGAAAAATTGATGGAATTGGAAGAGAAATGTCACGAATTGGTTCAACCGATCTCTACTATTGAAAGTACTTCAACCAAAAAACAAGTGACAAATGCCGACACTTGCTGTCACTCTCAAGTAGTCCGTTGGCGACCATCGAGTAAAGCGAGCGATAAGAAGTGTTTTTGTACGTCTTGTATTCACTTAAGTCTTGCAAAATGTCCCTCAAGTTGTCAACGCTTTAATTGTTTGGCCACTGCTTCACGTTATTTGACCGATTTTGATCCAAACAGTGCCAACAAAACAGCAACTTTTTGCAATCAAATTAAGTATTCATATCAACCAAAATATACCTCATATTATAAGATCGTCACCACTTGTTCTGGTATTCATCCATCGCTTAATGAAATTGACGACAATTTTTTTATAATGAATTCAGAGGATAATTCACAAACATTTGACGATACAATTACTAAAATGGTTGAGAACTCTGATTTACAACACTGTCATCGTCTTAATTTGGGTCTTAAATACAGTGATGTCAACTTCCCTGATAGTGCCGATTCAGGTAACCAACAGTGGAGGTCCAACTTTACAGGCCTTTCTTGTAGAACCAACCGTACCTTAAGGTTTGCAGCGTTGGACTCGATATTATTTCCAGCATTTGCTGAAAACATTGGAATAGATATCTTCAATCAAAGTCATGCGACAATTGGTGTTATAATTGATAACTCCAATGAAAATATTCATATTTTAACTAACGATTTAAGTGAAACGCAAACTATTAATAAAAGAAGTTTTGTTGAATTTATTAAAAACTTCACAAACAAGTCTTTGCCCCGATTTCTCAAAAGTTCATCTCTTCCACCGACTTCTGGTTCATGTCTTTCAGATAGTAAGGAACGAGTGATATGTGTTCCCGAACTCAGTGCCGAAACATTTGGTCGGGTAGTCTTGGATCCGACCAAAGATGTTGTTGTCATGTATTACGCTCAATGGTGTGGATTTTGCTCAACAATTGCTCACATTTACTTAGAAGTGGCCAGAATTTTCAGTAATATCAAAGGCATTGTCTTCACCCGGTATGGTATTGATTATTTGACAATTTAAACAATTGTTTATTAAATATTAATAATCAATGAATCTATCACAGACTTAATGGTGACGCCAATGACCTTCCCTGGGAGTATACTGTTGATAGGTTAGTGTACTGTTATATACCTTTTCTTAGTATTTAATACTAAATATTTTTGTTTTGCCAATAGATACCCAACTATTATGTTATTTCCTGCTAAAAGGTTAATACGAAATATATTATATTATTAACATTTATTAATTTGATTATTATTTTTAAATATTTAGGAAAATGGAGAGCATATCATTTGCATCAAATATGGCGATAACAACCTCGAGTTTAGTGCAATTTATTTGGAAACACTCGCAATCAAGCGTTCGTCTCCAGACATCACTTACATTATGTAACTACAAATGTCTTCTTAATAATCTCGCTTCGAGTCAATCACATTCACATCAAACGCGAAGAAGTCTTAGAAATCGTTTAATTGAGTTGTCATTAGTTCGACAAAAAATAATTGAATTGTTTGGTTCAGACAAAAAATTAACGAAAAGAAAGTCAACACAACTCAAACAACATTTAAATTATTTGATTAAAACAATTAGAAAATTGAAACAAAATATTTTTAAAACATCTCTTTTGCGTTCATTTATTATTGAAAAACTTAAAAACTTTGACCAAAACACTGACCGTTTGACAACTCAATCAATTAACGAATTTTTAGAGCTTTTTAATATTACATTACCTGTTGATAAAGTGGTCAAAACAAGAGAAAATAAAATAAAAAGTGAAACAAACAAAAAATCCGTCAAAAAGACAACGAAATACTCGAAGCAAAAGTCTTATACAAAACGAGATGAGCTATAAATGACACTAATTTATGCCTTAAAAGTCACTCATTTGTTACAAATCAACGAATTGTGATTTAGTTTAGTAACTAAAAGTCAATAATTATTTAATTTATTGTATTAATTATTTATATTTAATGAATTATATATATATTTATAATTAGAATATTAAACCCCATTTTAAACGTTATTTCATTTGTTATAGTTTTTGGATTGTGTTTAATTAAACTTATATGAAATTATTTTATTGTATTATTTTATTGCATTTGCATTAAAATAAAATGTTTAACATATGTTTTGATTTAAAGATTTAAGATTTGAAGTGATTAGCTGTTTGTGTTGTTTACACCAAACTGATGGTTCAGACACACTATTGAAGATCACATTTTGTTGCAATGCTGTCACAAATAACTAATATTTAATTCGATACTAATGTTAATCTATACTACTATATAATTTGGAAATGTTTATATATTTATATCTTGGTCACACTTTTGCGCGTTACAACAATTAAAAATGATTAAAATTAAAATAACGGTTAAATAAAAAGTATTGTTAATTAAACAGTTAGTTTTTTAATTTTATTATTGTTGCACGTGTAAAGAAAAAAACATTTAAATTATATTATTGAACGCGAAATTTAAATAATTTTTTTGATTTCAAATTTTTGTTTCTTTACACGTTCTATACATGTTGCTCGGGACAAACTAGTATTATCCACAAATGATTTAATTTTAAATAACAATTGTTTTTGTTTCAACTCAATCATCAGATTCTCTAAAAAATTATTTTGATCTTTCTTTTTAAGACTGAGATCTCATCAAACGGTAGGTATAATAGGATGGGATTTTGTCTTAAGTTTTATTGAGTTTAAGTGACGTTTTAAAGTTATTTTTTGGTTAAAAATTAAGTATAGATTTTAAATATTATTATTACGGTAAGTGTTAATTGAAAATATGTAACTAATTGTTTATTTATACAAATTAAATAAATTTTTATTATATATACAATTAATATTGAATGACAATAATCACTGAACGGTGAAAGTGATTAATAATAAATCAAACTTTTTGTTTTTGTTTTATTATTTTATAAATATTCAATATTATACAGTCAATCAAAATATTTTTGCAAAATGCATATATAATAGCACATTATATTTTTTTATTATACACTAGTTTTTAACATAAATTGCTAAAATGATAAATAGTTTTTAATTTTTTATTTAGTATTTTTTTTTTAAAAATTACAATTATAATGAAAATTATATTGAAAAATAGGTCGAAACTGAGATGATTTTTTATTTAGAGTAATGCGTGAAACATTTAAAATACTATTATTTTAATTGTTTTAAATGACAATTTTTACAAATTAAAACAATTTCATGCTTTTAAAATACATTAATTATTTGAGTTAATAATGAATGTTGTTAAAGTTATTTACTTATAAATTATTTATACTGTATATATATATCTAATGTACCGGTAATTTAAATTTAACAAAAATATTAATATATTAATCAAATGATGGTTTATGAATAGTTATTAATATTAGTATTATTATTTGTATGATAAATTGTTAGTTTTTAAAAAACAAAATTAAATAATTTTACGGATTTTTCATGCTTTCATTGTTTTGTTTAAGATTAACATTAATTGAAACGTTAACTCTATTTAATAGTGAGTTTGCAAAAGTCGAAAGATTACTAATTCCAGTGTTTATTGTCCTCAATGTCTTGACTGCTATCTCACTGTTTGTCGGCTATAAAAAAAATTGATTTATTTTTATAGACAAATATTTGAATAAAATATAATTAAAATTAAATGAAAAATAAGTAATACTTCTCTGAATATTTTGTCAGCCCTTTCCTTCGCTCCGTCCAATCGTCCATTGATTTGCTCTAAAATTCTTTTAGTCATTACATCTCTTCTATCTTTTGAAACCTGAATAGCAGTTCCAATAAGTGTCTGCAATTGATTCACTCGTTTATTGATCTCTTCTCTTAACTTTTCGCTTTCAATTCGATTGTTTTCCGGTTTAATTGTCGTTGAATTATAATCGACTATCTATTGTCAATCAATATAATCAATAATCAATATATAATATATATTATACATTATAATGAAAAATAAAATTAAAGCAATAGAAGACCTGTTTATTATTCGTGGAACTGGCGGTCGATAACAACTGTTGTAAAGCTCTTCCCATTCCTGCGACAAACTCCATGACCAACATCTTTGTTGCATTTGTTGTACTGTCACTGGCTATCACTTGTGGGTTCATATTTGGTGTCACTTTTGTTGAATTATTAGTTTGGCCTCAATTAAAAAAAATTATTAATTTAATTTAATTATTTATCATTTTAAATAATGCTTACAATTTGCAAAAACATATAATAAAGGTAACAAATAAATACATTTTGATATTTTCATTGTATTAAACATAAATATAATCTTTTAAATGACAACTTTTGACAACTTTTCAATGTAGTGATCGAACAGTAATTAACTAACAGTTAAGTATGAGTTTATAAAGTAAAATGCATTTCATTATATATACATTGAAAATGCATTTCATATATATATTGATATTATTGAATAACTTGTCTCTACTCTTCTTTGTAAATATGGATCAAATCATTGAAACATTCAAATGACCCAAAAATGTATATATTCTTTGCAAATAAATTTAAGGCATTGACCGAAAAGTAAGTTATTTTCAGGATTTCATTGCTTTCATACGTTAATATATTAGTGAAATTATCACTATTTTCATTTTTTCTTAACTTTTATATTCAATTGAGTTTAAACATCAGAATTTTAGAAATTAAATCAACTTTTTTTTATTATCATTAATGATTAATATTGCTTTATATATTAAAAAATTTAATAATATTAATTTAATAAATCATAATCTTGATTTATATTATAAAATAATAATATAATTAAATTTTAATCATATCCGGGATATCCAATGTCACTGTACTCGATAGTGTATAATAAATCAATTAGAATAATTAATCTAGGTAAATTATAACTATTGGCTATAAATGTATAATAAATAAAATAAAATTTTATATTTTCTAATTTTGTGCCTTTGCTTATCATTTACAATTTAAACAATAATTTTCAATATCAGTTATAATTATAAATTAAGAAAAATAAAATTTTATATAAATATTATGAACTTTCTATAAAGTTTCTAAAAGAAATTTCTCTTTAATGTGATTCCAAATTTAATTTTGTTTTTCTTAAATTATGTTTCTAGTAATATACTTTAATTATTAAATATTTTTAAATTATAATTAAAATTAATGAAATCAATACGTTTTGTCAATATATGTGTGTTTTTATCAAATATCTATTTTTATATTATCTCATTTATTTTAATTTTTGTTATAAAAATAAATATTTTACTAAATTATCGTTTTTTACTAACATATATTAAGCGTATATACTGTATAATACTGTAATATTTAGTATCTATAATCTATTAAAATTAATTTAATATTATATTTAAAGTTTATGATAAAATATTAATAAATTAAAATGTATACCAAAATTTATTAACCAAAAACATTTTAGAAAGTTATTTTAATGAAATTTATTAGAAAAATTTCATTGAAATTTCATTTATATCCCATTTATTTTATTTCAAAATAATTTTTCAATCAATTTACACCAATTTGTACTTATTTTTAATTTTCATTTAGTTTCCAATTAATATACTCTAATAAATACATAAACTGTATTATAATCTCTGTTGTTAATATGTTTTTTGAATAAATTATAGACCAGTGATAAAAATTAAGTGTTATCAATGATAACTTTTTCATTTAAAAATTAACGTTATTCATAGCCCATTTTAAAATTTGTATTTATATTTTAATTTTAACCAGGATCTTTACATAAATTATAATAAAAATATATTTTTTGTATTTGTAATTTTAATCACTGTTATAGACTATACCAGTGATATACAGTTTATAAAATTATACACAAATAAACTCTTATATATAGTACAAAATTGTTATGTTATATATGTTAGAAATTTAATAAAAAGTTATCATTGATATAACGTTACAACATTTTTTGACGTATAGCTGGACTATACACTCATAGAGTATTAATGTGTATTAATTAAATTTAGTATTATTTTCATTTGAGTTATTTTCCATTAAATAAGTTATGCTTATAAAAAGTTTGCATTAAAATCATAGCCTATTTAAATACATTATGACTAAACTTAACATTCAAATGTGATTATCATTCATAAAACATATTTACTGTTATATACAGTACAATATCAATACAATACAATTCAATCAATAATAAGTTTATATATAGAGAGTAATTAATTTAATTATTGTATATTTTAATTAAATTAATTGATTTCATTATAAAATAGCAAATAGATTAATCAAATAAAGTTTTGATGGATTGTTAGATAAATAAATGTATTTTTGATTAATAACTTGAATTTGGCGGCAATTAGTCAAACATTTTGAATGCAATAATACTTTACTTTATATTACTTTATTATACGACACGTGAACTCATTATTAATAACATTTCAATAGTCTTGTCATTTGATTGCAGTAATCGTTTGTTTGGCTAATTTGTCGGTAAAATTAGTGACCCGTAAATCAATTATTGACTGACCGGTGGCCACACTAGTGATGTAAGTATTGGCTATAAGTTATAAACATATGATTTGAATGTTTGATTGCAACCAAATGTGTGACCAAAACGATGAGCCAATCGGTTATCACATGATATACGATATGTTATAATAACGTAATATTAATATTAATACTAATATACAGTTTAATAGCATTATTGACACTAACATTGAAATCATTGAAACACTGCTAACGTGTCGTATAATCACTGATTGACTGGATTTGTGGCACTCATTGTCTAACTAGTTATCACTTCATTGACATCCGTGGTATTCATTGATTTAAGAGTTTGAATCGATAGTATTTCAAGTATTGGATCCGATTTATAGATATTAAAGATGAGCGACGAAAAAGATAATCTCATTTGTGTTGTTTGTTGTCAACACACGGCAAACACCAACAAGAAGTTGATTTACGCCATCGGAAAGTGTGACCATCGGGTCTGTTACGAGTGCTCCACAAGAATGAGAGTCCTTTGCAAACAAAATGAGTGTCCAATTTGTCGACAGATGTTAGATCAGGTATGCGGTCAATACAACTGTTGAAAACATTTTCCAAGACTCACATCAGTCTAATGTCTGTCCTTACGATTTAATAGGTTGTCTTTACATTAGTAAAGAATAGCAAGTTTGATGACTTTGATCTCGACAAATGTCTGTATCATAACAATAATGGCATCCATTTTGATGATGAATATGCTCTCGATTCTTATGGCAAACTTCTTGAACATCCGTGTCTTAAGTGTCACAATAGACCACCGTTTAAGACAATCCACGATTTATCCACTCATCTTAGGTATTGGTTTTTGTCATAATGATCCGACAATTGATCCGACAATTTGTTTAATTATGTTATTTAATTGATGAACAACAGGAAAGAACATGAATTATTCTTCTGTGACTTATGTGTTGAAAATATAAAAATATTTACAAATGAACGCAAATATTATAACCGAAAAGAGTTGGCCCGACATCGCAAGTCAGGAGATCCCGATGAGAGGAGTTATAGAGGACATCCATTATGTATTTTCTGTGACGAACGTTATGTCGATCAGGACGACCTTCTTTTGCATTTACGACGCGAGCATTTCTATTGTCATTTCTGTGATCCTCCCGGTCTGAACCAATTTTATGCCGATTATAAAGAACTTAGGGATCACTTCATTGCCCAGCATTATCTTTGCAAAGAATGTGACGGACAGGAGGAAAAATTTACCAATGCTTTCCAAAGTGAGATTGACCTCCAGGCGCACATCACTCAAATCCATTCACAAAATATGAGCAAATCTGACCTTAAAAAGGCTAAGACGTTGTCATTAGATTTGTTTATTAGTCATAGAAGTGGACATTTAGATAACGGACAGCAAAACAAACGCCAAATGAAAAGAGAACAACAGCGTAGAAATAACCGCAACAACGATGTCAAAGAGGATTCCGAATCCGATGAACCATCAGCTCCTGTCATTGTACAGCCTCCTCGACCCGAAGATTTTCCATCACTATCGGGTTCATCCAAAGCCATTAATATTATGAATACCAATACAAGTGACTCTAAAAAGTTGTCAAAATCTTCTAAGAAATCTAACTCTTATAGCGTTTATTTAAATAAAAGCCCAAAAATGAATGCTATGAACGATGAAGAATTTCCAGCACTTTCCGAACATAAAGGACCGGTATTAAGGGCTCCCAGTGCTGTCGCTTATAATAATTTAGCGAAACAAACGATTTCGAGACCACAAACATCGGGCCAAACAGTTAATGTTCAAAGAGTTAACTTAATTGATTCATTATTTACACCGAATGAACCAACAAAATCGGTACAAAAGTTTAAGAAACCGTCAATTAATAATAAAGAAGAATTTCCATCTCTTCCGGTGATGACTAAGAAAAAGACTGTAAAAAGTTTAGCACAAAATAGTGACAACAAAAAGATAGATTGGAATACATCTACAAGTTCTTCACATATCACAAATGATAGCAAAAATTCAAAAATTGAATCAAAAAAGAAAAATAATATATCAAACAATGCGTCCAATATATTACTGCCAACGAAGGATGACTTTCCTGTTTTAGCCACTAATAACAAAATGACAAACAGTGTTAAACAACAACCACTTCCCAAATCATTTTCCACTACAATAACTAAACCTAAAACTACAGGTCCTCCGCCCGGTTTACTACCAGTTAATAAAAAATCTAATTTATCTCTGAGTTCAGTCGCTGAGGTATTTAATAATTTGAATGCAAATGATTCGCTCGACAATAATTTCAAAGAATATTATTATATAAATCCAATTGATTTTAATGATCGAAACCAATCACTTGTTAGTGAAGTGCAAAATGTTTTGTCTGATTCAACAAAATTTTTATTATTTAAAGAGGTGTCCAAACAGTTTCGACAGTCGCGTATAAATGGCAATGAATACTATGAGAAGTGTATTGATTTATTTGGCAGAAAAAATTTTATAACTATATTTTCGGAACTTTTGGTTTTATTACCCGATATTTGTAAGCAAAATGAGTTATTAAGTGCTCAACAAATGGAAATGAAGAACAGTAAGGGAGCCATTCCTAAGGGTTCCCGACTTTTAGTCAATTGGATGTCTCAAGAATTTGTTATTTGCCATAAATGTAAACAAGTTTTAATCATTAAAGATGAAAACCATCACAAGTTAGCCCATGAAATATGATTTATATTTTTGCAAATGCGATAATTTTATTGTGAAATTTGAATATTTTTGTATATTTTGATTATTGAGCAGTTAATGTGACAAATATATGATTATTATTGTACACACACTAATTGAAAAGATTTATATTGTTGTTAATTAACATAAATTATAATATGATATTACTTTATATTGAATGTTGTAATCAGTATTGATTATTAAATCGATATACTGTATGTTATTGCCGTAATAAATATTTCTTTTTATATAAACAATAATTGTTTAATATTTTTACAAATTATTTTATATGTAAAATATTACGATATTTATTATACTGTATATACAATACATTACTAACGATGAGAATAAATGTTTGACTTATTGAAGCAAATGAAACCAATTGATAGTCAAATAGTTGGCAATTGGAGTACGCATTCGCAGACTCGCCAATAGTAGAGATGATATCAATGGACGAGAGATTTATTGAAATTAACAATTGATTTAATGTTTACATCATTTTATAACTAATTTGATGACTATTTAGTTTAATTATATGAATCTAAATAATAAATAAATATAATAAACATGAATAATATGAACGCAGCGTTTGGAGCGGCGAAAGCAGGTCTTTCCTCATATTACATACAATTAGATAATTATATATATATTTTTAATATATTTAATAATTAAAATATATTTATTTTAGGGTCTGCTTTTGATCCAATCGGTTATGTTATGCGACCACAAGTTATACTGCGGTTTATTTGTTGGGTTTGTCTATAAATATGATATTAATTATAATTTAGTCCAAATTTATTTGATTGAATGATTTTGTTTAACATTTAATAATAATTGTATAATTTATGTTAAATATACATAATGTATATAGATTTAATAGATTTTTAATTAGTGATTACTTACCAATTGTGTTGATTTATTTACACAATTAAATTGATTTTGATTTAAACAAATGTATAATTTTAATTTATGTATTGCACATGAGTTACATTTCGGGGGCATAACATTATGTAAAATACTATATAAGTTATGTATGACAAACATTATGTTTAATTAGAATATATGGTTAATTAAATTTGAAAAAATAAATTGATTTATTTTTAATGTTGCAAAAATAATCACTTAATTATATGAATAAATAATTACAGTTATGCTCAGTCATAGTGTTTGGTTGTATATCAGCCAAGGGCTGGTATAAAGAGGGCAAACTTGACAAATGTTTGTATAATAAGGATAACAACGCGTGTCGGTTGGGGTCAGGACTGGGTCTCATCGGGTTCTTAGCGAGCATTGCTTTCCTAGTATTGGAGGCATTGTTTCAAAATCTTTCGTCAATCAAAATCAGACGTCGAGTCGTTGCTTTTGATTTAGGATTTTCTGGTCTGATATTCGTTTATTTTGTTAATTAAAAAAAATATTTTTATTTATAATAATCTTAATATAATTTGAAAATACAGGTGTCTGGTCAGTGCTATACTTGATATGTTTTGCATATTTGGGTATAGCGTGGGCTAAGTCTGATTATCCGCCATTTGGTGAGGGCATCAATAGCTGTAGGGCTGCCATTGCTTTCTCTTTCTTTTCCATCGCTTCGTGGGTTTGTTGTCAACACATTCTTACTAATTGTCATTATATTAATAATTACTTAATTATTTCATTATTAATAATTTTACAAAAAATGTATATATATTTTGTTACATAGGCTGGCTGTACATACTTTGCACACCAGCGTTGGGTTAGTGGTACAGATATGACTCAATTTGCGAGTGGATTTGAAAACGAAGACATTGGTGGTGGAGGTGCCGGCTATTCGGCATACGGCGGGGCCACCGATGAACCGACTTATCAGGAAAATCCATTCACAAATATGCCGCCATCGGACCAGATGTCTAACATTAACTATACTGCGCCTACATATTAAATCAGTTATTTGTTGAATTTATTTAAATAAATCAATGCAATAGATTGTGGAAAGTATCCATTATATAACTATTGACGTCTTTAAACAAAACAAATGATGATAATATTGTTTAAATTTATTCACAATTGGTATTATAATTATAAATAATATTCGCAACGGTTATGAAACTAAATTATAATATTAGTGATAGCATTAAACAAATTCAATAATATAATATATTAGTCATAATGTTTAGTCTAATTTTAATTTTAATTATTGTAAATTAAGAAATAAAAATATGATATCAATGGTCACCAATTGAATGTCTTATTTAGTTTAATCACTGTCATAATTTATAAACCAAATATGTAAGTTTATTACAGTTATTTAAGCACTCATACAAATTATAGATTATTTTGCACTTACATATTGGACAGTGGTTTTAAAAGTATGTAATTCCTATATAAACTTAATTGCATATTAATTTTATTACTACCAATCGAATTAAAGCCATTTAGTTTCTATAAATAACCTAGTATAAATTAAGCAATAATTACTTATTATTATTAAAAATTAATTATATATGTATGATAACAACATAATTATTTTTTTTGTTTTATATTATGTGTGAAAATATAAATAAAAATAAGCAAAATAAATGTACATTAATATCATTGCATATCTAAAATAATGTGTTTAATTTTTATTAATATTTGTTGTCAAACAATTTTTTGATTATACAGTATAATTGATATACAGTCATAAAATAAATAAATATTACATAATGTATAATAAAAGTGATAAAATAGATCGAAATGACATATTTGTTAATATATGTACTTATTTTTGCTTTATTAGTTTTATATCAATTTAGTTTTTAAAAATATTGTTAAATGTTATTATAAAAAATAAAAATTAATTTTAAGAACAAATTAAATTATTAATTATAATAAAATTTAATTGAAAAGTCAAAAATAATATATTTATAATTTTATTTATTTATTATTTGATATACATATTACTAATTTTTAGTTGGTTTTTATTATATATATATTAGGGTTGTTAGAGATTTTTGATCTCAAGGGAAGTATAGGAGAATATATGGGATATAATTTTTATTGCATTTTTAAAATACAATTTTTATCAATTGAGTAAATTCCCCAAATATTACCCACAAAATTCCCGTAAATTCCCCCAAAAAATGAAAATATTCCCAATTTAATTTCTCAATACTCTCAAAATATTTTATATTATTAAATAATAGTTATTTTTACAAAAGTTTATAAAAATGAAGTTTTGCATAAAAAATATATTTATAAAAAATGAATTTATTTGTGAACTTTTCTGCCTTTTGGAGATCACTAACTCTAGAGATGTAATATTTATTAATATTTTGATTTTATTTTTTAAAATCATATTTAGCGTTAATTAATAAATAAACTAATTTTTATGTTTAAATTTTAAAATAAATAATATTTATGGTTTTGTAGCACTATTTGATTGTATTACTTTAAATAATGTTATATTGATGTAATTAATTTTTCCAGTATTTCACGAGTTTATAAATTGGTAGGGGGGACCCCCTTACTTTTTTGGCTTTAGGAAGAGGGGGTAAGATGGCTCCCCCCGTTAGCAACCCTGATATATATTATTTATAGTATATGTTTAGACTAACAAAATAGGTGTTTAACAAATTCATTTTTGTTTTGTTTTAATGATTTTACTGTAATATAATAATTTACTTTCTTAATGAATGAATGTTTTATAGAAAACAAAACATTTTGATTAAAAAATAACCACTATTTTTGGTTTATTTTAATACTTAATGTGTATTGTAGTAATAATGTAATTTAAGATCATATTTATACGAACAAAACAATATAAAATTAAAATATAAATTATTATTATTATATTGTAGTAGAAAATAAAAAAATGTTAATCACTCATAACTTTTTTTTTATTCAAAACATTATATTTTTATTATTTATAAACAGATATTGTAGTAATAAAAATATACTAAAATAACAAATTTTATTTATATCATACATATACTATGTATAATATATTAAACTATTTGTCATAATATAAATTTATTAATTAATCTTTAAAAATATCATGAAATACTTAGTTTTTTTGTAATTACATAAATTGATAATTTTGTTGTAAAAATTTAATAACAACATATAATGTACTTTTATTTTTGAAAACTTATTGATGATTATAATATCTTTTATTAGTTGTTAAGGTCGTGACCATAGTTGAGGAACTGAGAGTCTTTTGATGCTATTTTGGACGCTAATTGAAAATCATTGACATTAATGATATTATTATTATTTCCCAAATGATTCAATTAAAACAAATAATTATTTAATAATTCGACAAAAACACAATTTATTGTTGAGTTATTGTTGATTAAAGTATATAAACTTATTGTTTTCGTCAACTTTAATACAATAAAAAATTGTGTTTTTGGAAAGCAATTTATAGAAAAATTAAAGGAAATAACAAATACAGTGTTAGAAAATATTTATTAAAAATTTCTTTCCACTAATTTACTAGTTATTTATCTCAAAGTCAACTAAAATTAATTATTTTTAAAAAGTAAATAATATACTGTATATCTATATAAAGCTAATTATGTTCAACATATTATTTAATTGTACATATTTTAATAGTCATAATTTAATATTTGATTTTAAAAATATATAATATGTTTAATATACTGTAAAATTAATTTTGTAAATTATGTAATGAGTCAACCAAATAAATTTCATTAGAATTTAAAATAAACATATTTTAATAACAAATATTTATAATATTACATTATTTTGTAAACTAATTAGTGTTTTAATAAAATAGTGACAAATAGATGTTTTTAAATATTTAAAGCTTTAAACAAAATACTATATTTTTACTTTTTTAACAAATATAATTCAATATGTATTTAATATATTCATATTTATTAAAGAAATAATTTTATTGACATTACGATATGCAAATAAGTCAATTTTATTTAAATAAAATCAAGTTATTATAATACTTATAGAAGTAAACAATATATATATATATATATATATATATATATATGAATATATTTATGTTTATCATAAAGTGTTCATTGAAATACATGTAATATATTATATACTGAATAATATTGCAAATTACGAGATATTGATCGCTAGAAATATAAAAGTTGAGTCAAATGTTAGCCATGAAGAGGAAACAGAAATCGATTACAATATATATATATATATATATATATATATCGGTAGTCATGCGCTCCGACAGCATCTCTCTGTCCTCTCTTTCATTCAATAAATCCTTTTTGAATCGCTTTTTCCATAAGGTTTTAGTTGAGCTCACAGTAAGTGATGCTCCTCTTCAAGCATTTGTTGTGAAAACTATCGCTTTTATGAAACAAAAGATAAATAATAAATATTTTGTACGCTTTTGAATAAAATGATATCAAATATCATTTTTCAATTATAAGCTGCCAGATCTTATGGATCTACTATTTATTTATTAAACTATTTTTATGTGTAACTTAATTTTAATTGTCAAAAATAATTAATATATTTAGTAATAATAATCATAAAAAAAACACTAAATTTTAATAAACTCAAATCACTGTCACTTTCATCTATTACTAAACGGACAATAATTTTAAGGTAACATTTTGTTGTTTTAATATGTTTTAATAATTTGTATGTTAAATATTTTAAAAGTATTTTTCAAACTAATTAGTATTTATAATAAAATGATATTGTATATTTTTGAATTTAATATTATTTAAATTGAAAATTTGAAATTAAATATAAAAATATAATAATAAATATATAAATATTAACATTAATTGCACGTTGAAACTCTTATGTTTATTATACAAATAAATCATTTTTTTGTTGGTTTATTGAAAGTAAGGTACAATAGTTGTTTTGTTAATATATTGTTAGGCATTGAAAATAAACAGATTTTTACAAAATGAAATAAATCATTTTACTTTTTGTAACTTTTTTTTACTTAATCAATCATTACATTAGTCAGTACAAACAATATAACATATAATTATGCATAATATTTGTATGTTTATATAAATTACACAAAACAATTATTATAAACAGATTTATAGACTAAATATACTAAAATAGTTACTGAATAATTAACATTTGTTTAATTGAACATAAAATATAATATTTATTTGATCAAAGTAACTGTAGACAATGTAAATTAATTATAAATAAATCACTTAATAAAATTAATATTTAATACTTGATTCTATAACATACACTGCATACTATACACTATAAATTATATAAAATATTTGTATAGATAAAATGGTAGATAATAATTAGATAATTTTATAAATAAATAATTTATCAATTAATTAAGTTTGGCTTATAGTAAAAGTAACAAATAAAATAAACTAAGAATTTATTATTTATTGTAAATAAATCAATAAAACTATAGTTTACGAATCGCTTCATTTACTTTTACTCACTTTTCTGTCAAATTTTAACTTAAAATAAAAAACTCTTTTTATCTTAAAAATCAATAAACAAATAACACTAATGTCAACTAAATCTATATTAGCTGAAAATAAAATTGAGATTTGAATGTTAATCAAACTTTTCAAAACTTAGATCAAATATATTTATATACTGTGTATAGTATACACTGTATACCGTATACTGTATTTAATGAATGATATTTACTACTTCTACTGATAATAAAAATTTGTTGAAACAATGCTTTTGTCAAAATGTTTTATATTAGCTTTGTTTAAAAAAACATATTTATATTTAAACAAATATTTGTTGAAATTTATTAAACTATTGAAAATTTATTGAATTTCAACACAAGATAAAATATAGTATTTGACTTAAAAGTTTTGAATTTGTTGCACCTGTGGATAAATGAATTGTTTGCAACAACACGTGTGTCGCAAATAATTTTTTTATAACATATACAATACTCCTATATATTATACAGTATATACAAAAAACGTAAGTTTCTATGTTATTCACAGCAGTCATAATACTGTATCAATAATAATGTGTTGACATTTCTATTGTAAATACTGTATAATAGAAAATATATTGATATAAATTCTATATATACTTATACTTTATATATATCTTATATTCAATTGATATTTACTCATTAAAGAGTTTTTATTTTTGTATATTTCTAAACAGATTGCAATCGTGTTATTCAAATCAAACATCATTTAAAATTTTAGATCAGTTGAAAATTTATTCATTCATTTGTTAAACAAATGCTAAAAATTGATTTACTATACAATTATTAATACATTATATTTTAGCGAATAATTATTAACAAATCTAAATATTAGCATTACTTAAAATATTTAATTTTATTGCATCATTTTTAATAAAAGTTTTAAAAAAAATTTTTTTATCTAAATTATAATATTGCTCATCAACTATGAAGCCTATAATGAATACATTAATGTCAAAATAATGAATAGAAAAATAGTTATTATAATTTTTATGTCAATTTATCATCAATTAATCAGTTTTATTAATAGATTTATTATAATTTTATTAATAAATTGGTTTTATTATGACTAGAAATGATTAGAAGAAGAATAAAAGCAAATAGTCTTATATTATATTTATTTAGTGGAAAGTCTGAAATGAGAGGTAATTCAGGTCTGAGATCACTATATATAGCACTGGTTTTCGCCACACTATTTGTTCTCATAATTATTCTTCAAATATTATCGATTGAAACAAACAATAATAATAGCAGTAATCACTTGAATAACAATATTATGAAAAACAACGGAATGTCGGGTCGTTTTAAACTTTTTAGTAAAAAAAGTGATGAAAAAGATATTTTTAGCCAAAAAAATTCTGACAAATTAGAGAATATAATAGATTTAAAATATAGTACACATTCAATGAATGTTATGCTAACTGAAACAAATCAAAGTAATAAATGGGATCTTAATTTTGGTCAAATAAAATCAGATCACTGGCAGAAAGTGCCAAATTCTGGACATAAATTTTATGTATTCTCTGCCTATTATGACAATAGAAGTCTTCAAAATCGATTTATTCGTGTAATCGCCGCAACAAAGACCAGAACTAATGAAAAAGTTTGTGAGTATTACTCATATTATTATATTATATTATATTATAGTGTTATAACCGTATTATAATAAGTAATATATCCGTTACTGATATCTCAAGTGACTAATGCTGTCATATAACTCTTAGATTGTAAGTTATGGTACGCTCATACCTATCAAGCAGTGACAGTTAATGCCATCAATAAGCTGATCCATGAAAACTGGAATCTCAAATATAGTGCCTATTTTATATTGTGTCCTCTATTCACACACATACCAGTTCCTGATGCCGTCTCACTATTCATTGGAGACTATCATCATATCAACGAACAAACTCTTATGCATTCAAACAAACTTTTTATTCATAATAAATTTGAAACAAACAGTCAACCAATCGATAACCAGCCAAATGCAGAACATATAGCAGTTTGTATTAAACCATTGCATTATCACTACAATAAAGTCTTAAATTTAATTGAATTCATTGAATTGAATCGCATTCTGGGTGTCAGACACTTCTTCTTTTACAATCATACTATCGGTGCTGATGTTGACTGTGCTCTCAGGCAATACATTGATGAGGGATTCATAACGATATTGTCGTGGGATCTCAATATGGAGTCACAGAAAGAGATCAGAACTGAAGGACTGTTTGCTGCTCTCAATGATTGTCTCTATAGAGCAATGAATCGATTCAAATATGTTTTAATGATAGACATCGATGAACTGATCATCCCTTACAGACATAGCTCCCTAACCTTAATGCTTAAGACAATGAATAAAGTAAATGGCGACAGAACTGGTGGTTATTCATTCAGAAATGCATTTTTCTACACTCAATGGCCAGACGACACATCTGTAGCCAATTATATGGAGTATTCATTACAAACTTTGCTCAAAACTCGTCGCAAAAGTCAATTAAATCTTCATAAACAGAGATCTAAATGTATTGTAATACCGAACAGAGTCATTGAAATGGGAAACCATTTTGTTTGGGAGTTTATGGCCCCAAATATGATGGTTAATGTCGATCCCCGGTTCGCAGCCCTTCATCACTACCGGGTGTGTGAGTTCGGGGGCGACGACTGTATTAAAAGTGATTCTTTGGTTGAAAGAAGAGTTCACATTTGGAGACAACAACTCATCACTTCTGTTAATGACTTTATCACAAACAGATCCTCACAAAAATGTCACTTAAATTATCTCAAAACAAAGTAATTTATTGTATCATTAGTTTATTAACCATAAAATGTTTTATTTGAAATTTAATACATTGTATACATTTGTTTAGAGGAAGAGCTTAATGTTTTAGTAATTACTGTAAGTTATTTGAAAATATTACTTATTTTTATATATATATAAAGTTAAATGGTATATCAAAAGTAATCAGTGTCAAATAAGTAAAAAAATATTTTATTAGTTTGTAATATAATAGAAAATATAAATTTTAATAATAATAATTTAAACTTGTTGTCTTAAAATAAAATTTATATTATGATAGTCAAGATAAATTGTACAAATAATTAATATTGATGTAATTATATAAATTTTTGTATATTAAATTGCTAATTTTACAAATAAAAATATAGGAAAAACATTTTTTTTATAAAAATAAAATCATTTTAACTTAAAACAATTGAATTATTAAAAAATTTATTTTAAAATTTTAATTTATTAAATATAATATTGCCTAACCGGCAAACTTTTTTTTCATTAGGTCAAACACTTAAATCTTTTCTAATAAAGTTTACAATTAACTTTTAATTTATCTAAAATAAATAATTATATTAATTGAAACAATTTAATCATTATTTCTATAATAAGATAATAATTACTATATTAGACATGAATTATATAAAGTGAAACAACAAAAAATTCTTATATAATGTAGTGAATGAAAGAGCAGCGGATAATTGGCAGGTATTGTATGATTTGGTTGTATTGCATGTATTGAGTGTTTAGTTGTTTTGCATACATATTGAGTGGAAAACATTGAAAAGGAATTTACAAATTATTGGTCTCTGTCTCGACATATAAAAGCTTATGCTTTATAATACTCTATAGTTTTGACGGCAATATTTGCTTTCATAAAACATGTCGACCACTGTTTAAACAAAAAATGCTATTTATTTTTGTTGAGAGAGTTGTGAAAACGTTTTTCTCTTAAGTCAAGTCAAGCCAGAAGTCAAGGCAATGCCAAAGTAATGACCAATCAGTGGATGCCTTCACTGGTAAAGTCAATGTTTAAATCACAGCTTTCTCTCTCTCTCTCTCTCTCTCTCTCTCTCTCTCTCTCTCTCTTCGTAAATATCTTGAGGGCAACTAATGTCACACTCTCTCAACAGTTTGTAAACGATTTTAACGATATTTTTGTTGGTAAATGTGAGGCACAAAACACATACAACACATTACACTACACACAACACCTCGAAATATCATCGCTTATCGTATATATATTAATACACTATGTTTGAGGACTGGTCTCTCATTATAAAGCATATAATATATAATCTTAAGTTTTTTATTAATATGTTTTATTATTAAAAAGTTTATTTTTTAAATAGTGATCAAATTAATTTCAGGTAATATTATTTTATATTCAAACAATTGTTTATATAATCTTAGTATAATTACATAGTATATATAATATTTTATCACTAAATTTATGAATAATTAAACATTATCTTATTTGTCTATATCTTTTTTTACCTAATTTTTAGATTAAATATTTTATTAACTATATATATATACGGTATAATTTAAGTATATACTTAAGTTATATTAATATTAGTCTAGTATTGATAAACATCTCATTAACATTAATGTGTGTGCTTTGAAAAACTACAGTATATTTATTGATAATCAAATAGATATAATAACAGCAATAAAAATATTAGAGATAAGTTTATATATAAATAATAAAAATACTATATAAATATAACTAATTAATATATAATAAATACGTTTATTTAATTAAATATTTGCATTTTTATTATACCATAGCTGCTATAAATATTACTGTATTTATTAATATTTATTATTTTTTTAAAAATAAATAAAAATCTATAACACAATTTATTAATATTAAAATATAACAAACAATTGTATTTTTACTGAATTGAAATCTCTTTAAAGCTCATATAAATTAAATATCGATCTAAAAGTTTTTTAATGCATCAATTTATTATACAGTACTTTGAAATAAATCTGTTTTTTTTAAATTATAAACATTTATTTTCATTTTTTTATATAAAATAATTTTATAAAAATTGTTAGTTTTTTAGAAAAGGATTAATTAATTTTGTATATAAACTATTTTCAGTATAAAATAATTTATAAATATTTTGATAGATAAACTTGATATGTCACGTACTTTTAATCAAATACATGTGCAATCATTTTATAACAAATATATAATTCAATTACATTAGATTTTAATAACAAATAGCAATATTTATTAAATTAATTTTTAATAATACACTAAATTATATAATTATATAATACAATGATTACAATAATTGATAAATTATAGAATACAGCAAAGTATGGGAACGTGTTTTAGTCTACAAGACATTGAACAAAGAAAATCTGATTTATTAAGTAAAGAGATTGATAGACAACTCGAGGAATGTGAGAAACAGGACAGGAATGTCATCAAAATATTAATATTAGGGACCGGAGAGAGTGGTAAAAGTACTTTAGTTAAACAAATGAAAATTATTCACAACGACGGCTATACTAAAGATGAAATGAAAAGTTTTCGCGTATGTATTATACGTTATTATTATATTATATATGATTACATAAATCATTAAATAATTTTTAAGCTTTAAATTCCTCTTCTTTTCACTTGTATATTATCACTAATATTATTCATATAATGCCTATATATATATATATATACCACAAATGTGTATATCGTAGTAATTGCTATGCATAGTGTTAAAGGCATAACAATATAAAATCAACTTTTTAAATATGCTTTTTAAATAACGGACATTAATCTATATTTATGTTGTTTACGCATAAATATATGCTCTGGAGATCCTGCTTAAAATTATATGCCATACTATTTTTTAAAAATAAATTTAAATAACTATTTGTCATAAATAAATTATAATATGTATATAATAAACAAATATATGTATACTATACATACAATCTTTAAATTTTTAATCTTTAATCTCAAGTATACTGACTTATCATCTAATTAATGCATACAATAAAACCATTTCCATATGATTTTAATAGAAAACTTGAATCGAAATCTTTTGTATAATAAAATAACAATAAATGCCTAACAAATATATCTTTGCAATATTTTTTTAGTAAATTACATAATAATGAGTTATCCTAAACATATTGTAGAGTTTTTTGATGGCCATTACTTCAATATTTGAGCCTCTATTCAAATCTATATTACATGTATAGACTAATGTATTGTATAGTATTATAATGTAATGCCATGTAATGTAATGTGTTGTGAGTGTTGTGTAGAGCTTATGCATAGATAGGCACATAAAGTCCATTATTACTGTATTATATATATTATACTATTTGTTATTTAAGGAGCGTTTCATTCCTTAGAGAATATAAGTTATTAAAAATCTTTGTTTTATGCCATGAATTCATTATTTATAAAAATAATTGCATCAAAATATAGTATTGATTTTTATCATAATATAGTGGCCTAATATTTGTTATAATATATCTAATTAATTATTCATAAAACAATATAACTTAAGAATTTTTTATTAACAATTTAATTAGATAGTCACTAAAATTATATAATAATATATGTAAAGTTAGATTTAACATATCATTTATAAAATTAAATAATATATAGTATTTGAAGAATATAACATAGTATAATATATTTAAAATAATCAATCGTATTTTGTATAAGATTTTCTATAAAATTTGATAAAAATTTTAGTCAATTTTAACTAAAGTTTTTGTATTAGTACATATAGTACATAATATATCATAATTTGGTTTTAACTTTCAGAAACTAAATATATTTATTGTCAAAGTTTAAAATATAATGTTATATATGTTATATATAGATTGTTTTGAATTTTTAAAAAGACAAATATTTATGTTTGTCTAAAAATAATAGGATTATATGATATAATTTATATCGAATATTAGTGTACTATAGATTATATTGTATTTATACTGTGAAAACACATATTGTTATTATAGAGTGTATTATTTAGTGCAATAAACATGTTTTTATAAATACGAATGTGAAAACTAGTAAATAATAAGTATAGTTAATATTATATAATATTTTATTAAATATTAAATAAAATATTAAATGTAAATTAAGAACTGTATAATAATGTATGTGTACTATATATTGTAAATTTTGTTTTGTTTCTTTAATATATAGGACATGTACATAAAAAATTTATTAACTAATGTAATTCGTGTAACAATAAATACATTGTAGACTATTTGTTAAACTATTTAATTTATTTAAAAATTTTATAATTTTAATATTTCATATGATATTATTAAAAGTTAACAATTTTGGACAATTTGGTGACTTCTATGAAATATGTACTCATAGGGATGAGATTTTTGAGCATTAACTATGAAATTGCGGACAATAAGGTACTGTATTTTCAAAAAAAATATGATAAAAATTTAAATTACACAAAGTTATATAAAATTCTTTATATCTATACTGCGATTAAATTAGGAATTTGCTCAATTGATACTTAATTGTAATCAATATTACGATGAATTTTCAACACTTGTGCCAAATATTGTGACAGCATTGCAGAGCTTATGGATAGATAAGGGTGTCCGAGAAGGAGTGGCCCGAGGTTTTGAGTATGAGCTCAACGATTCTGCACTTTAGTGAGTAATTTATTTAATTTATATTTATAAATCTAAATAAATCTATTTTATAAACAATAAATTATTATACTATATGTTAATTTTATTTGCGAAATTTTATAGATTGTAGTTTTTTTTAAAATAAATATATAAAATTATATATACAGTCGATGACAAAATTGGTGATGAAGGTTTTTTAAGTATAACTCAATAAATAAAACAAATTCAAAAAAGATAATTTATATGATAGTATGGTTTAATGGAACGGATACGTTAATATACTGTAGGTGTTTCCAAAATTCGTAGCCTGGTAATTTTTTAAACAAAAATAATTATATCTCAAAATCTATTATAGATATTTGATAAATTTAAATTGGAAATAATAAATATTTTTTAATCCGTTCCATTAAACCATACTATCATATAAATTATCTTTTTTTTAATTTGTTTTATTTATTGAGTTATACTTAAAAAAACCTTGATCACCAATTTTGTCATCGACTGTATATAATGTATATTGTATTTTATAAAAAATATTCTATTAAAATATAGTTATAGTAGTAAGCATTTACATTAACTAAAAGATGTTTAAGTTATAATTATCATTATGTAAATTGAATAACTAATTTAAATTTTAACAAAATTTAGTTTTTTTGAAAACATTAATCGGATAACAAACGAAAAATATATTCCCAACACAACAGACGTATTGCGGGCTCGGGTTAGAACTCGAGGAGTGGTAGAGACAGAGTTTAAAGTCGAAAATCTGGTCATAAAAATGTTTGACGTCGGAGGACAACGATCTGAACGCAAGAAATGGGTCCAATGTTTTGATGACGTGAGGGCTCTATTGTTTGTGGTAGCGATCAGTGAATATGATATGACTTTAATAGAGAATCCAAACAAAAACCGTTTGAGAGAAAGCTTTCAATTATTTGGAAATTTTTCTAATAATATTTACTTTAGATTTACTACTACTGTAAGTATAACAATACTTTTATATTTTATTTATAATATATATTATATTAACGGATTGATATTAAATTATAGTTATTATTTCTCAATAAATTGGATCTGTTTCGAGAAAAAATCTTATTTACTGATCGACAGCTCAGATATTTTGTATCTGAATATACCGGTCCTGACAGGGATTGCGACGCCGCAGCACTTTTCATACAACACAGGTTTGCATTCAATTTTAAGTATTCATATAAATTATATTTAATTTCATTTTAAACTTTTAATTAATTAGCTAAATATAATTTTCAGATTTAATGACATATCAATTGTTCGCAATCAAAATAAACAAATTTATTGTCACTTTACAACAGCCACTGACACCAGTAATGTCAAAGAGGTCTTTCAGTCGGTCATCCATACAATTGTTAGTCAAAATTTAAGACAATCTCTATTAATATAAATACAATATGTCTACTGTACTAAGTGTTCAAAAATATTTTTTTAATAATTTTTTATCAGTAATAAATTACTAATTTGTTTATTTAAACTTTGAAACAAATTCAAAGTTTGTTTTTAATGATTTGAAATTAAGATTATTTTAATAATTAATAATTGTCAAATTATAATTGAAATAAAAGTTATGTGTAGAAATATAAAGTTTAATTTATGTTATATATTTTTTATTTTATTAAATAAAACTATTTTTAAATATGTAAAATTAAAAAATATAGTTTAAATTAACTTTTAAGAATATTCTTATTAGAATAAATAAAATAAATTACTTTTTAATAATAATTATATTATTGATTTATTAAGTGATGCCCTATTATGTAGTTTATAAATTTAAAAATACTTATCTATAATTAAAAAAAATAAGTATTAAAGTATTAATATATATATATATATATACTGTAGTACACATAAGTTAATAAAATATATTAATTTAATATTATATACAATATATAATACAATATAATATCATATTAATATATCACATTATCAATATCATATATACAGTATATATATATATCAATAATATAATATAATGATATAATTTAATAAGTACAGACTCTGTACTATATAGAGTATATGTCATATACTATATGATAACATACATAAAAAAAATTGCACACAAAAGTTGAAAATTTATTATTTAAAATAAACTTACATTAGATCAAAGTTAAAGTCAAACATCAAAATTGATATTAAAGTGTAAGTATATCATTGATTATATATGCAAAACAAATAATCTTACTGTTAAACGCTAACAAGTAATTATATAATCAATACATATATATATAAAACATAAAATGTGTTATAACTTGCATTTTATTCACTTATACAGAATATTCACACAAATTGGTCGTAATTTATAAAGTCATTCAATATAACAGTAATAGTGTTTTGTTTGTATGTTTCATATGATAGGCTCTACTGTTGTGTAATATTATTGAGTGATTCAATGTATGTCTCATTTGAGTTGAATTACAATTTGAATGAAATTGTAATGAAAAGTGATTTTGAATGTTGAGTGCAATGATTAGTGTTAATACAATTGTAATAATAATAGAAACTATACATAGATTTAGTATTATTTAAAATACAAAAGTGTTGTTTAAATGTTATAAACATTTTTTGAGTGACACATGAAATGATTGAACACTTGTTGTCATTGAATTTAATTGGTTTTAATTAGTGATTAAAAGTGAATGAATTGAGGAAACAATTGCAACGATTGTCTGACACTGACCTCCAATGTCTACTCCGATGTCTTATTTGGATCGTATGGTTAGTCTGTTCCGCAAAAATATTTCCGATTATCCGCCCTTTCAAGTGGTGGAAGTGAAACCCGAAGATTATGTCCACTACAATGTGGTCGCCAGAGAAGATCCCGTTGTCTTGTATTCAAATATCTCAGCAAATCATGAGATGAACTATGAAATTGTTGTCCTTAAAGATCTTCAAAGTAAAACTGCTTTCAGGTTTGTAAATATTATGCAATTAATCCAATGATTTGTCATATGTATTGTCAATTGATTTGATTGGTTAGGTTTGAACATTGATTAAAAATTGATTAACTTTTCAACAAAAATATTATATTTATTTTTATTATTAAATAATAGTTTGATTAGAAGTAAGACATCGACGGATATCGATATATATTACAAGAGTTTGAGTCAAAAGATTCCGCAAATATTTCTGATTTGTCCAAACAATATAACGACAGAACTTCTTCAAGAGATATCAAACTATGTTAAGGAACACCTAAACCAAAGTTTGGCTCATATTTGCGCTTATTTTCTTCAATTAAACGAATACTTCCGTCAATTGACTCCAAATGATAGCGAAGTAATCAACTGTCGCTGTCCTGACACAGGTCTGACACCACTTCATATTGCTGTCCGAATGGCGAGATTGCCAACAGTTCAGCTATTGTTAGCTCTTTCACCAAAACTAGATATTGTCGACAAAGAAAACAATAATGTCTTACATTTTGCTGCGAATACTACTAAAGAAATAATTAGTAAGATTTGTTTGAGTGCTCAAAGCAGTACAAGTGGTGTTAATTTGTTGACATTGATTAACGCCCGAAACAAAGACAACTTTTCTCCATTATATCTCGCCTGTCATAATGACAAACCCGACTGTATTAAAGAACTTCTTAAAAATGGCGCCAATCTTAACGCCGCATCAATTGTGAATGAGTCTCATCAAGAAGTGCGTGAAGTGGATGACAAAACAGTTTTCGATCAATTGGACACTAAAGATATGAAAAATGGCGGAACACCTTTGCATTGGACTAATACTCCTCAGTGTATGGAAGTGTTGATAGAAATGGGTTGTAATATAGACGCTCGTAATTTTCAGGGCGAGACTGTTCTTCATTTAATGGTTATGAGGAATAAACTTTCGTGTGTTATAACATTACTTAGTTATGGTGGCGATGCCTCTGCAAAAGGATCCAATGGAAATACACCATTGCATTTGGCTGTTAAATCAGGACAGGTATCAATGGTTCAGGCACTAGTAGTGTTTGGCGCCGATATTAATGTCCAAAATTCAAGTGGCGAAACAGCAAGACATATGGCAGCATCAGCTAAAAGAACATCACAAATGGATCTGATTTTATATGTATTACATTCTGTTGGCGCTAAGAGATGTTTATCCAATCGATCCAATTGTACTGATGGTTGTTCGCAATCCAATGGAAGTCATTTCAATGGCATTCCTCCAGAAAGCTCTCCATTTAAAAGAAGTGTTAAACTATATGACGAACTCTTAGGCGAACTCATTGTTAAAGAAGCCCTGAATAGAAAAAAAGCTCAACAAATGTCTGTTGATTTTGATAGCGAACCTCCAAAACGGTGTCGTGTGTTATGTTTAGACGGCGGAGGTATTAGAGGTTTAATTTTAATACAAATGCTATGGGTTTTGGAGAAATTAATGGATAAGAAAATGAGTGAATGTTTTGATTGGATGTCTGGTACGAGCACTGGCGGTATTTTAGCCCTTTTATTAGCATTGGGTCACTCGGGTACGGTATTAATATTGTATTTTGAGGTATTTGTCTGAATTAAGTGATATTTTTATATAAATATAGCTCATGAATGTCGTCAACTATACTTTCGTTTAAAAGATAAAGTGTTTGTGGGTTTACTCCGTCCATACGAATCGGAACCTTTAGAAAAGTTTTTGCAGAAAACCTTAGGAGAGGACACTCGTATGAGTGATATTAAAAAACCCAAAATTATGATAACGGCTACCGTTGCCGACCGATTTCCACCCGATATACAATTATTTCGCAATTATGAGTCACCAAATGAAATATTAGGATTTGTCAATCATATTGAGCCCATTCCTGATATGCCTAAACCTCACGATCAACTCGTCTGGAAGACAGCTCGCTCTTCAGGAGCCGCTCCAACTTATTTCCGTCCGTGCGATGCATTCCTCGATGGTAACAAAATTAGACTAATTCATTGAAATATATTTATTAAATTTAACTTTATTTTCCATAGGAGGACTTATATCTAATAATCCTACTTTAGATACATTATCCGAAATTTGTTCGTTGAATAAAGCTTTTAGTGTAATGGTATGTAAGATATTTAGTATATATTATTAATTTTTATAAAGTGATACAAAAAATGATTAAAATTAATATAAATTAATTTTACAGAATAGAAAATCTAGTGAATTGAATGTAGATTTGGTGGTCTCATTAGGAACGGGAGCCATACCTATCAAGCAAATGCCTATTATAGATATTTGTAGACCCGATACTTTTATGGGTAAAACATTTAACACTATAATAAAAAAATTATATAACATTATAAACATTTTCAAATTACAATTTATTTGACAGGTGTTGCAAAGACTGTATTTTCAGCCAATTCATTGGTACAACTATTAATTGAACAGGTATTGTATTGTATTGTATTGTACTTATATTTTAAAGATTAAATTAACCAAAAATTGTTAGGCGTGTCAGGCCGATGGACAAGTGGTTGAACGGGCAAAGGCCTGGTGCTCACAGATTAATGTTCCGTACTTTCGATTGAATCCTCCGCTCTCTGAAGACATACCACTCAATGAAATCGATAACACAAAGTTAGTAAATATGTTATGGGAAACAACGGCTTACATGTATAGCCGTACAAATGAAATTCAAGAATTGATATTATTATTATTTTAAGATACAATTTGATCTATAATTTATTTATAATTATATTTATATGATATGCGATAATAATGGGCTAAATTATGAGCAATCTATTTGTGATTCTGGACTTAAAAATAATTTGGACTCAAGTTTGACTCAATGAAATTTTTTTATATCCAATGGATATTATCCATACTCTATATCTCATATTTTTATTTAATCTTTTGATCATTTTCTAACTTATTATTAATTTAGTATTATTATTATTATTTAATAATTATTTGTACGTTAATTGAACCGATTTGATGTGATAAAAGTGATGTCAATGAAAATGTTAATTTAATAGTATATAAGTTAACTTTAATATAAAAAATATGGTATATTTGTATTTGTGAATAATGACAAATTTATTTATACCAGTTATTGACAAACTAATGTAATGTTGAGTATAATTTAACTAACAAGTAAGCTATACCTGTATATTGAAAGTTTCAATTTGAAACATAATACTGTAAAGTATAAGTTAATTAATTGATTACTGTAATGATAAATGTGATAATGGAAATATATATACAATATATGAATAAATTGGTTTCAATAAATGTTCATAAATACAGTTCATTTATATGGTTTATATTTAAACATTTGGTTAGTTTTAAACGTGATTTTTATATCGGTATTGATATTAGATTGAGTTTTTGAAGCGTTATTTTTTAAAAGTTTAATATTTATAATATTTTATATTTAAAATTTTTTGTTAACTTTAATCAATTATAAAAATGAATTAATTTAATAAGTTTAATATTTAGTATTATCATAGTTATATGAATTTATTGAAAAATGTGATTTAAACAATAACAACAAACCAAACATTATAAAAATACTTGTATAATAAACTTGAAGTTTAATTAAATATTTATATAAATTAAAAATACTTTTATACAAACACTAGTCATAATACATGACATTTTATGTATATTTCATGTCTTTATAACTGTTTTCCAATTAAATGATTGATTGTAATCAAAATATATTTAATAAAAATTAAATTTTAATTAAAACATTAAACTTTCAATTATTACAATAATTATTATTATTAAACATTGAATGACGTTATTGTCATGTAGTGTATGATTGTGTGATATTATTCATACAATTCATTGCAAACATAATGTTATAAAACAAACATTAAATGATTTGATAAACATTTGTAACATTTGTGACAAAACTTGAATTTAAACGACAAGTGATTTGATTTAATAATAGTTGACTTTTAAGTGTATGAATAGTTAGCAGCAATGGGTCGCCGATCAATAAATACGACAAAAAGCGGTAAATATATGAACCCGACTGACCAACACCGCAAAGAGGCCCGAAAAAGGGAACTCAGAAAGGTTTGTATTGAAACACACTTTTTGGGATCACTTTCGGTGATAATTTGTATGATTTACAGAACAAAAAACAACGATTGATTGTACGGACGGCTGTCCTCAAAGGCAAAGACCCGTTTCAGATCATTGCCGACTTAGAAAGGTTGGATCAAATGGAGTACAACGTGACGACACCGCCGCCGCTCAATGAAAAGGTCTTAAAAGATAAACGAAGAAAAATGAAAGAAACGTGGGATCGACTCTTAAGACTTTATGTAAGTGACCACCAATTGAGTGACTAATGATTTCTTTCTATACTATTAATCGATTGAAAGATTGTTTTATTGTTAATTAATTTATTGATTTCAGTGTAAAGACGATCAGCAAAGGTTTGTTGAACTGAAGAGAATGGAAGCGGAATACGAATCAAAGCGGAACCAAATGATTAAATTTTATGAATCAGTCAAATCAGCTCAAGAAGTATCTATTGATGACATTCCTTTACCATCGGCTCCAATGGAACCATCTTTGGCTACTACTTCAGTTCCAATGACGTCAATTGAACCAATGTTACCGCAATCGATACTTAAGAGATCAAATGTTTTAACGATGCAATCCGTACATAAAACGCCTCCTGGAGTACCTCCCGGTCCGCCACCAGTTTTCAGTGATTATGAAGACAATGACGACGATGACGATATAGAAAGTGAAGATGAAATGGATAATAATAAAAGAATACGATTTAGTGATGAAATGCAAACAAATGAAAAGGACTCAGAAGTTAATGACTTTCTTAAAGAATTAGAACAAATTGAGAAACCTGTTAACAATAGTGATAGTGTGTCTCAAACTATACAATCTATTCAATCATTGCCTGCAATGGTAGCCCATCAAACACAGGGCGCTGCTATACCTCCGCCACCATCTCTTCTAACAAACGTGACATCAGCACCACCTCAGCCTCGAATGTTTGCACCACTTTTTAGACCTCCAATTCCTCATCCATCAGCTCAACCACCAAATATGACCGGTTTATTAGTCAACAAACCACATATGTCAGCACCAATGCCTGGTCCACCTCTAGCTAACTCAATGAGACCAGGGTTACCACCGCGAATGATAAATTCAAGACCAGTGATGCAACCGATGCGACCAATGCCAGTGCAAACAACACCTTTTCCATCGGCACCGATGACAACAAAACGTGATGATAAAAAAACACACATTGTTTCCGATAGAGCGACCATTGAAGCCAAACCTCAACTGAGAAATCTTAGTGCAGATGCGACAAGATTTACACCGGTGGCACTTCGGGTCAAACGGGATGATAAACATTTCAAGAAACCAAATCCAAAAATTGGTATTTATTTGCATATTGTTTGAAAATATTTTTACATTAAAGTAAAACAATTTTTTTAAATAAAAAATAGGTTTTAGCGAAATGAAGAAGTATTCATCTATTAGTGATAAGACTGGTCTGAACGCACCGACAAAAGGTGACGCTTACGACCAGTTTATGAAAGAAATGGAAAATCTATTGTAAAAAGAGTTGACCACTAAATCGGATCTCAATTTATAAGACAAATCAAAGACAAAAAATATTTATTAAAGTTATAATATATTTGAAGCCAACAACAGATGTCGCTCTCAATGTGTTTACTGGAAGTGAACTCAACTCGTGTTTCGGCTTTTCTTTGCTTTTGAAATACATTTTCAATGCATTTGTGTTTAACACTAAAGTAAAGCCATTTTGTATGAATTTATAGCATTTTAATGCTTTTTGTTAATCATTTAACTTAATTAATGACATTATTTTAATTGTAAAACCATTTTATATGATGTTTGTGACCAATAAATGATATGTTGGCCATCACTGGTGGACAACAAGCCGTTAAAAGACTGGTTTAATACTAATATATAGTGAATGACATTAAAAGACACGAGTTTTTTGAAAGTGTGTTTCAATACGATATGTCATTGAAGTCAACACTTGATTTCAATTATCATTAACTGACACTTTGGTCGACGACTGTAACAAATGATGGGCTCTTTGATTGAAGACAACTCGTTTAACATCAATAATCAGGTATTTGTTTGAATAATTAATGTCAATCACATCTTGATATATATCACATGTGATGACGGATCAGATAACAAGTGGTTCGCGGTCTTCAATATTATCGTCTCACGTGGACTTCGTGGCCAACGACGACGATGACGATGATATCATGTCTACTAAAACGCTTCAAAACAAATACAATGTATTGACAAATGATAACAATTTGGTTAATAATAATAATAATCACACAATGAGTACAAATAATAATAATAATAATAAATTGAATAATGAATTAGTTATTAAAATGAACGGACAAAACAAGAGTTCAAATTTTAGCCCAAATTTCAATTTAATGAATGGTAGCGACAATTGTAATAATACAAGTGATGGCATACCGGTTCCCAAACATGTGTTATATCCGCGCGAAAACATTATATTAGAGTGGAAAGAGGTATTGATTGATGACATTATTTGATAATTAATTGATAATTAATGACAATATGTTGTATTAATAGCCCCATCGGATTGGTGCCGGTCTGTCCAATCTGGGAAACACCTGTTTTCTTAATAGTGTATTACAATGTCTTAGTTATTGCCCTCCTTTAGTCAATTATCTCTTACACACCAACGATCACAACCAAAACAAATGTAATGCTATTAACATTAATTTATTACTTTTAAAACTAATTGTTTTTTAATGATATTTACTGTTAGGTAATATAAATAACACATTTTGTATGGTTTGCGAAATGATAAGACATATTCGTCAGAGTCGTATACATAGCGATAAAGTCATTAAACCAATTAATATCTGTCGACGCCTTAAATCGATAGCCAAACACTTCCAGTTTGGCCGTCAAGAAGATGCTCACGAATTTCTGCGTTATGTAATCGATAATATGTGGAAGTCATGTCTGAATAATAAAGACACAGCGAACTCAAAATTGGATCCGTTAAGTAAAGAGACGACTGCCATAAATCAAATTTTCGGAGGTTATCACAGAAGTCAAGTGATTTGTCTCGAGTGTAAAGCAAAGAGTAATACTTATGATTATTTCATGGATTTTATGCTTGATATTAAAGTAAGTGTTCATTAATTGTTGATAATTGCCAATTGATTTAATGTTTTTTTTTTGTATTAAAACAGAATGTGTCGAGTCTTGAGAAAGCTCTGGATAAGTATGTGACACCAGAACTGTTACAACACGAGAACGCCTATAAGTGTACGCGTTGTAAGAAACGGGTTTTAGCTAAGAAACAGTTCACAGTGTTTAGGGCCCCAAATGTGGCCACTTTTCAATTAAAACGATTTGATTACAATCGCATATTTGGCGGCAAAATTACTAAACCTATTACTTATCCCGAAAAACTCAATCTTAGACCTTATATGTCTGAAAATAAGGTATTATATACACATTGATTATTTGTAAATGAAATAATTTTTATTGTATTTTTTTAAAAAGGGTCCACCAATATTATATAAGCTTAATTCAGTGTTGGTTCACATGGGGCCCACCTGTAATTCGGGGCATTATTTTTGTTACGTTAGAAATTCTAATAATAGTTGGTATTTAATGGACGACTCGCGTATAGTTCAAGTAAATCAAAATCAAGCGCTCAACCAACAGGCTTATGTCCTATTTTACGTCCGCGTTGATACCGATTTTCATAAACCGGCGCCCGTTAATGTATGACATTATATTATTTATTATAATTACCGATAATATTATATATTCATTACTGTTTTCTTTTTTAGAAATTTGTCTCTCAAATTACGCCTAACGGTATTAAATTATCAAAAGTGATCATTCCTGAAGTGACCAATAATTGCAATCAAAAATTTAAAGATGATTTTAATTCTCCGAAAAATGTTAGTCCAAATGTAACACAAACTCAAAATGGCATTAAATCACCTCAAACTCAGAAAAATCATTTCCTTTCAACTAAGCCTACGATTAACATTAAACTCGGGGGACAAACACTAAAGAATAGTATAATTCCCGTACAAAATCAAAAACATTTTATTGGACCTCAATGTGAACCAAAAACCTCAAACAAACAATTAGATCCCACGAAAGATATGACAGCTCTTAATGGAAAACACAGTAATTCTAAGTCAAATTCAAAAGGTTTAGTGCCTTATTCTAGCGATTCATCCGATGACGATAGTTATAAATCAACCACTTTTTACTTGAAGTCATCTTCGGGTACACTATCCGTCACAGCAAATAATGTCGACAAAGATAAAGAAAAAATCAAAGAAATAGAGAGCGATGTTAATGTCAATGGATTTTTACAATCAAATAATAATAGAGTTTTTGGAGATAAAGGTATATTAAAATTTATAAATTTGTTTTTTAAAAGTGAATATTAAATTAATTATATTATTTTTAGTTAAATCGTGGAACGGAGGACTTTCCTCTATTGACTGTTCACTAAATGATGAAAAACGCAAATTAGACGAATCTAACGATGATTACGACAATGAATTTGATAGGGGAAAGGTTAGCATTTTTGTTGTATTGTAATTGCTTTTTAAATTTTATTTTTTGTTTTTATATTAAAATTATTTAGACAAAGAAAATAAAGACAAAACATCCAGAAAAATATTACGAATCCGGTATTAATCCATTTCAAAAACATCAAACAGAAATGCAAAGATTTAACGGCAGTTTTAAAACTAACGGTTATAACGACAGACAATTTAATGGAGATAATAATATTAACGATAATAAGTATATCACAACTAATACTGAAGAAGACGTTGATTTTAAAAGTGATACTTCTGCTAAACAAGAAAAATGTGGAGAAAATATTGATAAAAATAATAATATCAGCGAAGGTTTGGATAAATTTAGTAAAACTAGCGAACAGTTTGATAAAAGTATTAACAAAGTCGAAGAAATTGTTGATAAATTCCATAAAAGTAATGAAAACGGAGAAAAATATCAGAAAAGTGAGAATTTTAATGAAAAACATTTAAAAAGCAACGGATTTAATGATAAACAACAGAAAATTGATAGCTATAGCGACAGGTATTTTAAAAGCAATGGATATCTTAATAAATATCCTAAAAGTGAACATTTTGATAGACATTATAAATTTAATGGACATTTTGATAATAATAATAAACATTTTAAATTTAGTAATAATAATAATAATTATAATTATAATATGCATTACAAAAATAATCGTCACTCAGATAATTACAACAAAACTAATGGCAATTTTGACAAATATCACAAAAACAACGGAAACTTTTATAGACATAACAAAAATAAGAAACATTTTCATCCACAACATCATAAAAACAAAAAGCATTTCTATAGACAATATAAATAATATGAAACATTAATTAGTCATAAATAGAGTTTTCATTTTAGTTATTGAGTTATCTTGAGTTGCAAAACAAATAACTAAATACTGAAATAGTATTTAATTATTTTTGTAATATATTTTATAAATTTTAAAACAATATAAACTATTTATAAAAAATAATGAAATAATTTTTGAAGTATGTATTATATATGTATATTTAAATTTGCTGAATTTTATCGGCAAATTAATCACAGTTTTTATTAATAAATAATATCATAACACTTACAAATTGCCCTTTCCTTACACATTGTATATAAAAATATTTTTAATTTGTGTTAATTGTTAGTTATAAATAATAAACATATGTATGTTTTATCGATAAAAATTTGGTCTACGAAATAACATTAATAATGTAATAACTTATTTATTAATTTTATTCATTATAATTATTAATTAAAAAGATTGTATATAAATTTAGTCCAATAATAACCGGTAATAAATTTTTAATTATTAATATTTATGATAATAAGAAAATGTTAAATTATATTTAAATAGAATAATAATAATAAAATTACTGATTTTATTATAAATTTTTATAAGATTTTTATAAGTTATACAATATATTTATTTTGCTGAAATTTTTTAATCACAAATATTACAATTAAATATAAAATTTATTACATTTAATTTAATTTGAAAATAATAAAAATCAGCTAAACATTTGTATATTTTGTTTTTTTTATAATTTTTTTGTGTTATATATCCAATATCTGTCATTTGATTGTAATAATTATTGTTTTTCATAAAATATTTTTTTATTTGGATTTCATTTGAAAAGCAAAACAGAAACACAAGTTTTAGTTGTTTGGCAACACTTTTGATGTAAAAATCGATTTTATTTCAAAAAATAATTGAAAATATATTCTATGAATGAATGAAATGAGTGAATGAATGGATGAATGGATGCGATGTATGTTTGGAAACAAGACTTGGAGTGAATCCAAGTTCTGTTGTTTTTTTGGATCCAAAATCACTATTAAAGCAAATGATGACAAATGTGTCAGAATTTCATGATTTGTGATTTGAAAACAAATGGATTTCGACGACAATTTCAGCTCTTCTTCGACGAGTTTACGCAAAAGATATTCTTCGACGAGAAAGAGCTCATTAAAGGCTGAAATTAAGAATATTATTGAAAAGCAAACTCAAGACATTCAAGAAGCCGGTGCTCACCTCTGGCACAGACAAAGTCAATCATCGGTTAAATACGATGTCATTTTGATAATATCGCCAAAAGGTTATCATATAATTGATTCTTTAGTTCAAATTCTGACCGAAAGATTGCCGCAACTGGTCGTTGAAATTAAACCTCACTCTCACTATAAGGAACAGGCATTTTATCTGACGGCCACCGATGACTTTTTGGTGTCCAGTGCTCACCAATTGGGTTATCGCACAGTTAGTACCGGACAATCTCTGACTAGTCTTGAGAGACAAACACTAATTTTACAAAATCTCAATTCTTTACGTTATAATCAAAGCGATGAACAGATAACTGAAAATGAATTAAAACTTATGAAACTTAAACCAAACGATGCTATTATTGCGAAACTAATTTCAAGTAATCTTATAAAACAAGTCCTTCCGCTTCACAACGAAATTGATTTATCATTATTAAGAAGACAATGGGTTTCAGCTTTTTTCTCTTTTCAACCGTTGGATAAAATTTGTGAATATTTTGGACACAAAATTGCAACTTATTTTGCATTTTTAGGATTTTATACGTTAGCGTTGATATTTCCATCAATTTTAGGCATTTTTATCACATTTTATGGCAATAATAACAATGCTTTTGATGAGATATATATCCTTTCGTTTACTGTTCTTAACATTATATGGTCGACAGTATTCCTCCAGAAGTGGAAACATACAAACAATCAATTACTTCAAAAGTGGGGCTCAAATCAAATCCAAATTAATGAACAATCTATAAGACCTTTATTTCGAGACAAAAGTTTATTTAATTTATTTAATATTGAATTTGAAAGAAAATTAATTAAATATTTTATTTCAATTCCTGTTATTGGCATTTGTCTTGTCGTTATCTTTGGAGTAATGATTGCGGTCTTAAATTTTCAAGTAATGTATTATAACGTAAATTATATTATATTTTGTAATTAATTATTGAAATTATTTAATTACAGACTTATTGGGATAATGTAGTGATAGATGAATGGCAATATCCCATTTGGACTAAATATATACCAAAAATAATATTAGCCATTCTCATCAATATATTTGATGCTATTTATTATTATATAGCTGTTTGGCTAAACAATAAAGGTATAATAATATTAATATATTGTTTATATAATTTCTAAATTTCAAATTTTAATATTTAGAAAATTATGAATTTGAAACAACACATGAAAATAATTTGATATTAAAGTTAATTTTGGTAAGAATACAATAATTGTAATAATTATTATGAAAAAGTGCATAATTTATTACTAATTTTTATATTTAATTATTTTCAGTTTCAATTTATGAACTCATTTGTATCTCTGTTTTATATTGCATTTTATATCGGAGATATGGATAAACTTCATGAGGTATATTAAATATATAAATTTATTTTTAGTAAAATTAAAATTAATTGAATTGTGAAATGTTTTTTTGTCTGTAAGCAATTGGCAGCCCTTCTCATTACACGACAAGTGATTGGAAATATAAAGGAAACGCTTTTGCCTTTTATTTTTGAATCCTATAAGTTATCGTCAAAATTGCATAAAATAAAGATCAATGAAATTTCAACGATTGAATTGGAGGCAAATATGCCGCGATATGAGTCTACTTTTGATGATTACTTGGAACTAATCATACAATTTGGTTATGTTATGCTTTTTTCGTCTACCTTTCCATTGGCCGCAGTTTTTGCACTTTTTAATAATTTAATTGAAATCAGAAGCGATGCCTTCAAGTTATGTGTTTTATATCAGAGACCATTTGGTGGCCATCGGGTGCAAAACATTGGCCAATGGGAGGATGTCCTCAACGCTATCGCCTATATTGCTATTATAGTCAATTGCGCTCTGATTGTCAAAACCAAACAAATCTCAAAGATTACAGCCATTGAAGATGAGGTACAACTGGTTCTCATCGGAGTTATACTTGAGGTCTGCGTTTGACTATTGTTTCATCAATTGTTAAATTAATTATTTTTTTATATCTTATTTTATAGCATCTATTATTGGCTCTTAAATGGTTAAGTCCTTTCATTTTTTAAAATTATTGATTTTATTGTGATCTCAAAGTGTCTTTCAATTTGAATATTAAGTCATTGATTCAATCAATTCATTTACTATTATTACATGTATTATTATAATAAATTTTATAATTATATCATATTTATTATATTTATTAACATAAAATGTTTTAATTTTAATACCTATACTTTTTTGTATATTTTAATTATTTTATATAAGTTATATGAAAATTATTGGAACAGCTTCGGTATATATATATAACCCATTTGTTGTTGAAGTTTTAAACGCTTTTAAAATGATAATTTAACAAGTTTTATATACCAGTCCTCACCTCCCGTTCCTTCCCTCCCCACACACCAGTTCCTAACCCTCTACACCCACTCCAACCTAACCTAAAGTAATAAAATAGCATTTGTCATAAATATAATGGTTATAACAGCGCGCCTGAAATTTCAACAACAAATGGGTTACATATACCGAACTTTTGGCAAATTATTTATTTATTTTTATTTTATTTGAAGTTTTATTTGAGTATTAAATTTTGAATTAATATAAAATAAAAAGTAATTTATTTAATAAAAAAATTGTTTAATTCTGTAAAAAACATGATTTTCTCGATTGAATTGATATTAATAGCCAATGGAAACGATATTTATTGTTAGACATATACTAAACAATATTAATAAAGTAATAATAATAATAATAATAATAATTAATATTATTTGGAGTGAAATAAATAGCGATCAATAAAAATCACAAATTGTTTGACAAAAATTGTATTACAATTGCTATGACTTGTCGTACAAACAGTGCATACAATTGACAACGTATTCAATGGAATGCATTGAATGTATTGAATGATTGAATGATTGTTTTGAATGTATTTTAATAACAAATTGTTTACCAAATCGTGTGATAATTAATACTCAAATGTTTTCACTGATACCGTCATCGATGGTAACAACAATTGATAACTTTTTTTGATTTTGTCATTTGTGTCAATCGATTGAACTAAAGATTAAGTCAGTGATGAGTGAAATGGAGGTCGAGATGGAGTCGGATTCGGGCGGCGATATGTCTGCGGCTATCCGTATGTCCGGTCGTCCAAATCGTCCCAATAATACTGGTTTTGGTCTAATCGGTGATTTGTCGCAACCGAGCGGCCAAAGTATGCCGTATTCAACGCAATCTCTGAGCCGAAGAATGGCTCCGAATTCAATTGGTCTTCAGATGACACCAACAAAGATGTTATCGAATACATTAAACAACAGAAGAAGTAGTTCTGGTATATTCATCACAAGTATGTTTAGCTCCCGATTCAGACATTTACAGAAATTACATTCCGAGGCATTCCTGGGCCTCAACTCAATCTGTTTGCCGGGACTTCCAATGGGCGCCGTTTTTCGGTCATCACTTCCGGCTACACCTGTGGCCACACCAATACATCGCGAGGCGTTTCAACAGTTCTCAGAGCAGGCGCTTCGCGACAGACTTTGCAAAACTCCTTCGCCGCGAAAGAATCGCGGATTTCTTCCTTTGGGTTTACAAACTGATCAACAGATGAGATCTGATTCACGCTGTAGTCAATCGGGTGGTCACGACTTGACTGATGTTCAACCTATGGATATTACTTCTCCTATCGATGAACCAGTCATTGAAGACACTAAAGGGGAAGAGTGTACTAATGGTGGAGGTTTTGGTGATCACCCGTTTGGATACAATGATCGGTTGCATCGGATGCACACCGAGACAGACATTGATGGCAACGAAAGGCGACTTTTTGTAGGAAATATTAGTTATAGAGTACGTTATGACTAAATCTAAACTCGTTTTTGGCTTTAATTTTGAACTTAAATCTCATTTTATTGTATATACCGTGCGATATATGGTTTTTATCAATCGTTTAATTTAAACGTTAATGTAATGAATGTAATGTAAATGATAATTCAATATCATTTCACATTGTTTTTTCATTAATCTCTAGTCAGAGAAATGATCTATTGTTAACAAATATATATTAAAAATGATTTTATTAATGAAAATATACAAAATGATACCAATTATAACTATTGTATAATAATAAGATTTTTTTTATTGATACATATGTTTACAAAAATTTATTTAACACTATAGGTAACTGAAGCACAATTATCGAAATTTTTCAACAAATTTGGTAAAGTTTACAATTGTTGTATAGTCAAGGATCACATTAAAAAGTTACCGAAAGGGCATGTAATTTAACCGATAATTTGATTGGACTTGAAATTAATTGTCATTAAAATTGTTGATAACATAGATATGGATTTATAACATTTAAAAATATCTGTGATTTGCAAAAAGTTTTGTCTATCGAACCAAATAAACTCATATTAGATAACAGGTATTACTTTAACAGTCAAATGTCTTGTAATCCAATATTTCTAATATTGTTGTCATCAAAGAGCGCTTCGGGTGTTTTTAGCCAAACCTAAAGTATGCAAACAAATGAAAGAAGAAGTTAAAGAACTTATCGATGAACGTCAGGTTTCATTGGAGTACCGAAATTGCCCTCAAAATACTGTTATCACAAACATTGTCAGACATAAGTTATCACAAAATGGGGTCACTTTTGATGATTTAGACGACGACTCTATTGTTTACATATTTAAACTGTTGGACTGTTTGATAGATCAGACAAATCTTGAAAGAGGTATAGTATTGATAGATAATTTAGTTTTGTTATTAGAATTATTAAAAGAAATGATAAAATGATTATCAGTTTGCATCCGATGGAAACTACTTATGAATCAAATGTGGTCAACTCGTACTGGCATTTCATTTACAAAATCGTTCTTTAGTTTTGGATCTCCTGGTAATACAAATTGAATGAACAGTTAGAAAATATTGTAACAATTTTAAAATATATCTTCAGTGTTGACGACATCTATTTTGTTTACCATTTTGAAGAAGTGTCCAAATCTCAAGTCTATTGATTTAAAACATGTGACTAATTATCTCGATATCAAAGCTTTGGAAATAATTGGTATTCACTTAATATTTGATTAATTAAAATGATTACTTAAATTATAATTTTTATTTGCAAATTAATTTGTTGTTAAATTTAATTACCGGTAATCGTAAAAAATAATTGATAGCTGTTTCGTGTTCTTTATTGGAAACATTGATCTTTGATAGCGGCGTTACAACTGATTATGCGATTAAAGTTTTAGGACAAAAGTGTCAACATTTGAAAGTATTGTTTCCGATCTGTATTTCTAATTGAACTTTTTATTTAACAACTTTTTATAAATAAAATTATATAAAGATTTTACATTTGAACGATTGCTGTCATTTCGGTGAAGAGGGCTTTTGGTGGCTAATCAAAAGTGCGACAGATATTCAACACTTGGAAATCACTAATAACTTTAAAATTAATGGAAATTGTTTTAGACTATTGAGTACTTCATTAAAATCTTTAAACATAACTAATTGTCCAAAGGTTTATAATAATATTTTATTCAACAAAAATTGTAATAATAATAATAATATTATTATTTTTTAAGATTAGGGAAAAGGGTTTCAAAGAGCTTATTGATGGCAACAGAATGTCATTGGAAGCACTTTCTGTGTCAACCGTTAACCAAAACATTATGAAAATGATTTGTTTGGGTTTAAAATGTTTGAAATATCTGAGGATTTCACAGTTTCCTACATTATATCCAACTCAAGGTTTGTTTTTAATAAACTGATAATTGTTTAAATTATTTTAACAAATGTAATACAATACACTTTATTAGACAATTATTAGACAATATACATGTGTATATGACAACAATTAATTGTTAAGCTTTAAAACTTTAAAGCACTGGTATCTCTATGACTATCAGTGCAATAGTGCTGATCAGTGCGAAGTCATACTAAATGACTACTAAAACACTAGTGTGTCCACGAAAGTCAACACTAGATAATTGTTGTCTTAACTATTGTCATAATAAGTTAATTATACGTACATTAATTAGTTAAAGATAATTCAATATAAACTTTATTCAGTATTTAGTGTGAAATTATAATTACTTTTTTAATTTATAATATTTTAGACACACATACGACAGGATTTTCGTATTTAACTTCATTAAATAATCTCAAAGTTTTGGATGTTTCGGTAGATTTTGATGATATTAACGACGAAACACTTTTATCTATTTTACAAAACTGTTGTAAAATTGAAGAATTAATTCTTGTATTAAACAGAAGAGTAACCGATTCTTCAATTTCTCAAATTTACAAATATTTGCCTCATTTACACAAACTAGTAATCACTGATTCATCGGTAAAATGTTTGCAATTTTTTTACTAAAATACTAATTATTATTATAATAACTATTTTATTATTATTATTATTATTATTATTATTATTATTATTATTATTATTAGATTACTAACAGCTCTCTTGCATTGGTCTCGAATCTCGAAGATCTGACACATTTAGATATAAGTGGTTCGCTTAAAGTCACTGATAGTGGTTCTCAAGTTATTGTCGATAATTGCAAATCTCTGAATTTATTTCAAATGAATAGATGTCCAGAAATATCGAGTGATTTCCTTAAATATTCTCTAAAAGTCATTCAAAACGAACCATTGATTCGCGATCTCACTATTGTTTACGACTGCATCCGATTTAATCTTAAAAACGAAACGATTGATGGAATCGACGATATGTTGAAAAGTGATGACTATTTCAATGATAACAACTGTGAATCAAACGAAAATCTTCTCGACTATAACTTTGATATTGATAATCAAGATTTAAATTAATATTATTTTCAACCCACACAAACACACACACATACACAGTTACATATACATTAAAGTTTGAATTTTCCTATATATTTTATATATTATTTATATTAAAATATTTGTTAGTAATATATCAATAAAAATTAGACATTTGTTTATATAGTAAATATTTGTGTAAAAAATATTACTTAAATTTATTTAATATACAGTATATAAAAATGAAGGCAATAATAATAATACTTTTAACATATGTACAAATTTTACCGGTTGTTTGTGTTATATAAAAATTATATTTTAAAATTAAATATATATTTAATAGAAAGTGGTATAAAAATTAATTAATAAGTAAAATAATGCGTTAATATTCACATTTCATTTTCTTAATACTGAGAATTTCAGTTACTTTGAAAAAATATTAATACTGTAATAAAATATATAAAAATTATAAAACAATATACAATTGAGCAAAAACAGAGTTATATTCAAATTAGCCGAAAGATGTGAACTCAAGTTACCGATGACTTGAGGACTGGTAGTCTTCATATTACGACATAACAATGACTGGAACCAAAAGGGACCGATATTTTGTGGATAACTATCACTTGTATGCATCTTTCGGTTATCAAATTTCCAGAATTGATGGCCTTTGAAAAAGTATGTCTGACCTGAAAAAAATATAACGTTTTGATGTTAATAACACTTTGAAAAAATGATAGATTCTATAATAAACTTTACTTATAAATAGTACCCGTAATTATAATAATGAATAAATTAAATTTATTAATATAAAATCAATAACTTTTTAATTTTAAACTAAACACATACTATCTTTAGACCATTGAAAGGCAGAGTCAATGTTACCGGGAATTCCTTTCCAAGCGGTAGATATAAGACGCGGATAATCTAATTCAACTCTATTTTCTTGTTCATCAAATCTCCAATATTTTGAACCACTAAACAAATAAGTCTTTCCGTTGTGACCCCAAATCATGGCCACATCGACTCTCTCCAAATCAGACGGCAATCCTTTTTTTAAATTTCAATTTAAAGTATAAATCTATTATGAATTTACATTAAAAAAATTACCGATTGATGTTAAAGGTTGGGGATATCCGTGATCCACACGAGTTTGACTAAAAACCCAAATTTGTTTTCCGATAAAAAAAACAATTTTACTGTCAGTCAATCGCTCATAAACGGCGTCCACTCGTTTTAAGTCTTTTGGCAGATCAGTCCAATATCGGTATATTTCAATTGGTTTCGCCGAAGTCATAGATCGGTTAGGTTTCAACCACCAGAAGAACTGTTTAATAAATAGAGTCAATTGTGTTAACTATTGAATTGCGGTTATAATATAATTAATAAAGAGATACCTTATCCTTAAAGACAAAAATGTCAGAACGTATGGTTGCGATGGCGTCTATACTCATATCACATGCATTTGGATATTCAGTCGAAAATTTAGGAATCGTTGGTGTATTTGGGCGGTCAGTACTGGTATATTTGGGTGTTGGCAGTGATGAATGTGGTGACCAATTTTGATCAGTTGGTGGACCTTTTGAAAATAATATTTAAACAAAATTAAAATATTGTTTTTTCAACAAAAAAACATAAATACCATAAAGTTCTTGAATTGCTGATGTATCGTCATGTGGTAAATGAAAATTATTATCAAGTGTTTGATAATATGGAAACATTAGAGATCCAGAAACTGATGAATGAGCCAAACCCAGTGAGTGACCAAATTCATGTGCTATTCAAAGCAGTTTGTATTACATTACTGTAGAATAAATATATGGATCAAATGATATATGAATTACCGGCAACTGAGAACAGACTGACCCCTAAAATATAATTAACACAAATGTCTTCTCAAATTCATTCAACGGATATACATCACAGACATACCGTCCCTATTGTTTGGGTTATCATTCGGATTGAACTGTCGCTGATCCCATTGTTCATCGGCATCAAAGTGTGCGTCACCACCAATATCATCACCGGGAAAGAATGCGTGACCCAATACAAATCCCGGGCCATCAAATGGATACACATCGCCATGAGATCCTTTGTAAAACGATATAACTATATCGGCGTCAGCTCTACGGGTCTCAGTAAAGGTCAGTCTCGAAGCATCCGACCAAACCTTAAATGCCTTCCGAAACTGTTCCATCACAAACTGTGGGTCCAATCCGGGTGACCAGTCTCTCACACTATCAACACATTTATACATCAATTTATATATTAGTAATGGAGACAATAAGTTAAGATTTTTTTGTAAAATATTCTCTCAATTTTCATAACCAAAACTTTTAATAAAATTATTAAGTTTTATGTTGTCTTCAGAACACATTATAGTAAACTTTTTATTTAAAACTTATAATTTAAGACAGTTTTCGGTGACAATCTGTCACACTTTGGGAACACTAGTATTTTCGGTCTCAATGTCGAACTCGGCGTTGATAATGGTCTCAGATTGAGACCGAAAACACTCGAGTGTTCCTCAAAGTGTAACAGATTGACAACGAAAACTGTCTTCAATTGTAAGTTTTAAATAAAAAGTTTAGTTCAATAAAATGCTTTTAACAGAATATTCTGTAATAATTCAAAAGCACTTCTAAATAATAATAAGTTTTTGAATTTAGATTTTTAAATCATATTTTTAATTCAATATATAAAAACATTTAAGTTTTAAAAATTATATAAAATATTTTACTTTTAATATAAATTATACTTATTTTATCAAATGTTTTACAGTTTTTATCATTTAAGAATTTATTTTCATCTATAATATATATATCATTTCATTTTCATAATATAATTATAATGCATAAGCAATTGTTAAAACTATAATTTAACAATAATTTCAATTACATTTACTGTTACTTATGCTATAATAACAACAAATTTTGAAATAGGACTCAGTTATGATTTAGTCTGTATTTCATATTTTTTGTTAAATTTATGAAAAAAGTATTGCTTTTGACGTTTTAATATGAAATGCTTTTATTACAAAATTTATGTCATTTTATTATACAATATCCATTTGTCGGAGAATTTGACATTTAATATGAAAATTGATTTCTCCATTTAGTAATAACCATAAAAACATTTTATTTTTGTATAATTTATTATAAAAGTTCAATATTTTAAGTAAATTTGATATTTAACGAAACAAATAACAGCATAAAATTAATTATCAATATGTTTGACATGAATTTAATGATAGTAATGATGATTATAGAGACGACTGTCACTCACTCAAGGAGGTTGTGATGGCTTTACAATGGCTTATAATACACCACAAACTGATTGAGTGAGTGATAAATTGTCTCAATATTTAAGTTTAATTGTTTACAAATTAATTATTGTTAAATATGTAATACATTAAATTAAATCATTAATACACTAACAAGTTCTTTCATTTAATAATTAAAAAAAAATTAATACAATTATTTATGATTAATTACTAACTGACGGCAAAAAAATAATCAAAAAATTTAATTATTTTGATTTTTTCAAACATCTATTTCAATATATTTTGTTCATTACTTATATCAAATACAATGAAAATGTTAAAGCATTTGATTTATACAGTATTTACACATCAATTCACAACATATTTATTTAATAAAGAAATCAATTCTGGATTCACTTTATTAAAGTACTGCTATTTCCAACATTTAATTGAAATCACATTTATTATTAAATTTCTAATATTTCTATCAACAAAATCAACTGTCAATACAATAAATAGTACAACAATTGACAATTATTTTAAAGTATTTTTAAATACAGTACAAGTAGTCTAATGATTGAACATAGAAACTACATTATTCCTAAATTCAAATATTTTCTACTATACTATAAATAAATAGAAAATATAATTAGATATTTAGAAAATTTCAAAGTTTATGTTTAACAAAACTGTTAAAACTACATAAATTTAGCCTTCAAATAAACATTTCAATTATATAAAATCAGATATTTATGGCATAATTAGACAATTGAATCAATTTCTGTATATGATCTTAATAGAATTTATGGTATTTTATATTTTTAATATTATTGAATTAACTAATATTTTAAGTAATTTCGTTTGTATACAATATATGGCAAAAATAATAAAAATCTACAATTGATATAAATATTATTTATGACATTAAGTTATTTCCAATATTTCATGTAATGGTTCACTAAACTTGGTTTACATAAAAATCTGATATCTTTTTATGTCAGTGATATTATCAATGACTCAAATAATTTTTTATGAAATATTATAGTTTTCAATCAAAAGATTTAATGATTTATTGAAAGTAGTTATAAGTTATAACTTTGAAGGCGTCAAACATTTATTCATTTTTTATATCGAAACAAAACATTGAAAATGATTGCAAATTGCCTATAAATGGTGTGATAAATATTATGACTGACCTCCAGCTTAGATTTGTTTTATCCCATTTGGATCCTTGAAGTGAATAGCGTCTAACTCTTCGACCATTGGATATAAAGACATCGGGAACACCACATCTTTTTCTTTTCATAAGTTCAATGGTTTTATTATCTAAAAGACCGGTCGGACGTAAATTTGCAAACGATTGCATCGCACGGATGGCATCCTTAAGCTGTTCATCACTTATCAAATTCGCACTGTTTTTGGTTGATTTCGGCAAATATCCAAATTTAACCAAAAAATCCTGTTTTAATTAAAACAAAATCAAAGATTAAATAAATAATTGAATAAATATAATATAATCTAAATCTCAACAATTGACAAAATAATATCATCAAAGTTACAACAATTTATAAATGTAATTAACATTACTAATAGAAATTAAAAAGATAATAAAAACAGCAAACATTTCTATATGAAAACTTTTAAAGTGAGTTATACACTGTAGTAATATACAGTATATAATTTACAGTATTAATAAAACTAATAATTTATAAAGATACTTAAAATTTATTTTATAATAATTTAAAATTTGTTATTGTACAAATTTTAAATAGTAATTTAGTTTTTATTTTGGTTTCGCCTATAATTACTGGAAATTTCAATTAAGAGTAATGGCATCTAAAATTAAAATAGCGTTTTGATGAATAACTTAAAAACAATTTTAATTATTCTGTCCTAAAATCATAAAGAATACAAATATTAAGGATTAGGATTACATGTGATACATATGAATACAATTAGATACCATTAGATACCATTAGATAACATCTTTAAGACAATTTCATTATTTTGTTTTTTGTTGAACGATGTAAATGATATAAAAAATTCATTTGTTTTCAACAAAGATTCATGAATTTTCAAATATTTTCAATATATATATACAACACATGTGTTTCTGTAATCTACAGACAACTAACAAATGCCTTTATGTCTCATATTTGCTTTTTAGACGAAAAATCTGTTTTTGAATACAAGTGTAAATAAAAAATTTAATTTATTGAATGCAACAAAACAGTGAAATAACTGAAAAAGTGAAAACTATATTATTAGCAAACAAATAGATAAAAGTCAAATATTAACATTTCTCCCTTTCAGGCCATAAGTCATATCAATTGTTAACTTAATTTTAGACAATTTTACTTATAGTCATTGATCTTATAGTTCACTGAACTAAACCAATAAAATATAAATCATAAATTTACAACTGATATATTGATTAATCATAAATTGAATGAAATTCATGTGTTGAACATAACTAAATTCATTAAACATTTTTAAATCTCTTATGATTTATTATAAACATATAAAGCAATATTTACGTACTTGAGTTTAATTATGTGCTTAAATAAAAAAAATAAATTATACATTTGAAGGATTTTATTTATAATGAATTTATTAAAAAATTTTGAAAATAAATTGAGTGAATGAAATACATTAACCTGTTTTGTAGTCAGCCTTGTGTGCAAACAATCCATTGACTGACAATTCAAGTAATGTTTTCTCACTTTTTTTTATTCAAATTATATTCACTAAACACTTGCTTATTAAATAATATTTTATGTGTCTATATAACTATGATAGTAATTTATAATTTGTACATTATTTAATATAAATAATAAAAATTTAAGATTTTTTAGCAAATTATTTAATAATCCAGTAATGGTTTGTCTCAAGTGATAAATATCCGGCAATTTTAGCTTTAAAAGGAAAATATTGTCAAATGTATGTAAAAATAATTTTAGATAACATCATATAAATCAGATTATTTCAATTCAATGCAAATCAATTTCACATGTGTTTCACTTAAACCATTCATATATTCAATTTGAATAGAAGATAAAATTAATGATTTGAAAAATGACAATAAAATTTATAATAAGTGACAGCAATATCTTTTCAACAAAATTTGCATTTATTTGTATTCATGAAAACTAGCAATGAGTAAGTCGTTGACAAAATGATTGCATAAAGTTGTAACAAACATATAATATATTCGTGTAATAAATATAAACAAAATTTTAAATTAAATTATTTAAAAATTTAATACCAACTCTTAAATTTATGCATTGCCTTAAGCTATGTAAACATTAGTTTCAAATATTAGGATATTTACTATATATTGAGTCAAATATTGTCAAGAAATTCAATAAAAATAGAATAAAAAATTATTAGAAATTTACAGTAAATTTATATCTTATGAGTCAATACAGTATAATATAAATTTTTGTTTTAAAAAAGTCATCCATAAAACACACTTTTTTCACTTAACTTTAAGATTGCTTTTTGTGTCAATTTATATATTATTTTAAACTATGTCTTGAAATGGCAACGAAAAACTAAACTAAATAAAATAGTAGACATTTTTCCTAAATTGTAAGTTATTTATATGATTACAGTAAATCTTCACAAAAAATGACTGTAACCTTATATTGGCATCATTTCTGAGACATTTATATAAGTATTAAAACTTGTAAAGTCTATCATTTTAAGTAAATTTACTGTTAAAGTAATTTATATATTTTGTATATTATAAGAAATTCATATCAATTATATTATAATATTCTATTGTAATTATATACACCTAAGTTAATACACATAAGATATTAATAAAATCTAATAGAAAATACATTAATATATATTTTAGTTAGTTAATAGCTACTATGTTATCAAACATTATTTGATAATTTAATTAGTATTACAGCTAATGTAATTTATAGCTATTACATTAGTGTTGGTCAATATAAACAATTATTATTTGAACATTAGCATTTTATTAAATGTCATGCAAACAATAAAATATATTACTTAACTTTTAATTTGTCTACAATTTTTAATTAAGTTATAATTAACTAATTAATGTCTAAATGTTTGTAACTTTACTTTTAATCATTTGTTTTTTTTTTGTAAAATTGTGACTTAATATTTGATAGATTAAAAGTATTATCCCATGAAAATTGCTTTAAAAGTGATATTAATATAAAATATTAGTTATTGTCAAAAGTAGATCTCAATAGTTTTTAGACCAAAAAATCAATATTTTGTCATAAAATCATCACTAAATTGAATCAACAGTAACACACTCTAGTATTAACTGTCACTTAATATTGAATCCAATACTTTCTACATATATTGGCTGAAATTCAATTAAATTAAATCTCATTATTTTTATACATTTGTTTCATTATACCCATAGAGTAATATATTTAACATAAGTTGAAATAAATAAAATGACATTTCCTTATAGTTTAATATGCTTTTCCTGAACACAAAAAAAACAATAGAAAAGCAGTGAAATAGTGAAACAAAATGCATACAAAATATTGCAATAATAATAATAGCAAACAATAAAAACGATACATTTGTAGCAATAAATCGATAGATTATTAAAATATATTAATAATTATTTTATTACTACATATATGAAGTATATTTGAATCTGACTTTATATTTGACCATAAATTTGATTATCATTTCTATATTAATATACTAAAAATGTTGTAAATATAATATGATATATAAGATGTCATACCATAGCATGGGATGTGTTGTCCATCAATTGCATAGACAGCTGACTGATCGGTGCATCACTTAATGGCTTACAATTGATGAATGAGATGATTACCATCAATATCACAGTTTGGACAATGGATTTAATAAAATGAGTTAATTTAATGTTATGTTGACTTTGTCTGTGTCTTTGTCTGTGTCTTTGACTGTCACTATATTTGCAACTATTTTGACAAACATTGTACCAAATGTTGTGCCAATCGATAGCATTGAAGGCATCACTAGTTGTGTGAATGCATTGACTATTAATCTTATGTTCCATACATTGCTTGCATTTAGTCATCACTCGTATGATTAGTACTGTATTTATCATATATTGAATACACAAATATATAAATTGTGTTCAAAATGATTACATTTTTACTATAAATCATAACTCAATTCATTGTTTGATTGCTTTCATACAAATAGAACACAAAAATCATTGCAATTATATGTATATATCATATCATAGATTGGATGCAATCAGTGATCACTGTATTCATCACTGCATTAAATGCTCGCTCACAACAACATGAGATCCCAGTCTATACATACATACAGTCATACAGTAGTAGAGTATTATAGTATTAATAGCATTGACAGCATTGACTGCATTGAATGCCTAACACAGAGAACCAATACTTACAATACAATACTGCCTATAGTTATGACTGCCTCTCCCTCTGCGTCAACACTGACGACGCAAACGCCAAAACACAATCACTTTAATGACTTGTAATCATAAACTATAAGTTATACTAAAAAACAATAACTGATTAACTGTTTTGTCTAACAATATATGTATATAAAAATAATAGCACTTTATTATAGCTTTCAATGAAATAATTGTGTCGAGCATTGAGTCCAGTGTTTGCTCTAACCATTCATATCTAACCCAAACATTTGAAATAACTTTTATGTATTTTTGCTGTTATGTTATGTTTTATAAGACTTATCCTATTTTATGGTTAGAGTGTCCATCACTTTCTAAACCCAAAGTTCGCCAATAATTGTCTTTTTTATTATTTTCATTTGCATTCAAACCGATAAACTATTTCAACTAAAATTTCGCATTTCTAACTAAACCATAATAATAGAAATGTTTTGCACCGGGAGGTCATTATCCTTAGTTTAAAACTTGTAGTATTATTATAACAGATTAGTTAATAATAGAAATCATATTTTTTCAACTAAACTTAAAATCTTTAACTAATTTATTAAATTATACTATTAATTGATATAAATCAATAATGTTATCTAATAATTAATACTACAAATATTACATAATAGTAAATTAAAATTACAGATATAGCCAACAATTTTTTTTATAGAAAACAATTTTTTTTATAATTTTAATAGTAATTCATTTGAAAGCGTTATAAATCTTTTACCAAATTTTAATTTCTAAATATGGAATATACTATTTAATATTATTTTAGTCAATAATATTAATTTTTCTAAAGATCATTAAGTACTAAACTTTTTAATTTTAGTACTAAAAACTACGTTAAGTTAAATATTTACTAAAAATTGGTAGAACATTAAATTTAATGTTATTTATTTTGATTAAAAAATTTAATCGACTAATAAAACTATAATATAATAACTATTTTAAATACTATATTACATATTTCGATAACTATTGACTAAAAATCAACTATCGATATATAAATTATATTTATTAAATAACATTCAAATACTAAATATCGGTAGAAATCATAATCAGTAATTAATTAGTTTTTCTTCTATCGAATGCTAAAATGATAATTCTATTAATTTATTGATCATTTTTGATAATAATTAGAACAACAAAAAAATTAACAAAATGTTTACTAAGTATTAATCTTAAAAAAGTTATTTAAAGTTAAAAATAACTTTTTAGTTTTTTAACTTTTTTTTAAATACAAATTTATTACCGTAATTACAAACTCATATCATATGAGAAACATTTCAGATATTAGTGAAATGCATAATTTGTTAACATTTGCATATATTTTATAATATTGTTTATAAAACAGTTTTTTTTAATATTATAATTAAGACTTTTGCGAAATATCTCTGGCGGTCTGAAAAGCGCCGATAAGTGCGGCTAATTGTAAGCGTTCGGATGAACCCGAAGATAGTTGATATCTAAAAATTATTTAAAATAAAATTTGATAAATCAATCAACAAAAATATATTCAATACTCAATAGACTTACTCAATATTTGCCATTTTCTCTAAGATTTCAATTTTAAGATAAGTTGGAAAATCAACTAAAAATAAGTGAATGAATTACAATAAATATATGATAATTATTGAATATATGGCAAAAATGTATATATAATATATACTTCTATTAACATAGGGATGCAAATCAGTAATTATGTCTTGAAGTGCTAACCCTTTCTCTCTTTTCATTTCCATAATACCTTTGAAATAAAACAAATATATAAAAATTATTAAATATTTCTTTACAATTGATAGACATTAACATACTTTCATAAATTGAGCTAAACTTCTTATTAAGAATTAAATTAAGAATGTTTTCGATATCTTCTTTCAATGGATGTCCACAACAAAGATAAACATTGTGTTCATTGATCTCATCAAAAGCAGCGGAAGTACTCTGCAATATATTTAACACTTTTCTCATATCGCCATCCGATAGGTCTATAAGAGCTTTGATACCATCATCAGTAGCTTTAATTTGTTCCTCATTTACAATATATTTAACTCGAGGAATGATTTGTGAGGTACTTAACGGCGCAAATCTGAATCGAGTGCACCGGGACTGTAGGGCTGGTATTATTTTGGACAAGTAGTTACATATCAAACAAAACCGGACGTTCACTGAAAACTTCTCCATTACTTTAATAACAATGAAATTATGTCAACAATTAATAGACAATAATAAGTAAACAAACTTCTTCTGAGAGCATTCTGTGCGTCGTTAGTCATGGCATCGCATTCATCCAAAATAATGAGTTTGAAACCACTTTTGAAGACAGCTTTAGTCGACGCAAAGTTAAGTATCGGTCCCCGAACCACATCAATGCCCCTCTCGTCAGATGCGTTCAACTGATCCATATTATGACCAATCAATTAGATTATAATAGGAATCGCATTAAACTATTGTTTCTAACAAACCTCAAGAACCATAGATGCCATTTGTTGCGGTGAATACAGTTGTTGAGCACAGGCCAGGATTGTCGATGTCTTGCCAGTGCCCGGCGGGCCATAGAGTAATAGATGTGGCAAACGGTTCTCGGCTATGAATTTGCTCACTAAAAGTGACAATTTAAACATTCAAACTATTAATAGATGATAATCCTTAAGAAATGGTTAACATTACATGTGTTGATAATATTTTGGTGTGAAATCAATTGATCCAATTGTTTCGGTCGGTACTTCTCAACCCTATATATATATATATTTATTAATATAATATTTCAATTAAATTGTTATTATAACTGAAATAACAAATCAATACTAAAATTATTACCAATAAATGTTTGAGTTGTCAGACATTGTTTGATCCTTTTCTGGCATTTATTGCATCAAATCAGTGGACAAACTATTGATTCAGTGAAGACAACACAACATTCAGACAATGCATTCACTGATTGTGTGTTTGTTTGAAAAACCGCTCAAAAATTTGACAAACATTTGAAAAGCGCTTCATTTGAATGTCAATCGAGTGTTCATTCATTGATTCAATCAATTAATTATAATTTTATATTAATTTATATATAATTATATTTTTTAATTAATAATTTTAATTAGTTAGTAATATTTGTTTTAATAAATATTGAATATTATTTAAATTTAATAAATGATTATAAATTTAGTAGCAAACACTGTATAATTTTTGCTTAATATCCCAAAAAAACTACCTGTATTTAAATTAGCAAATTATAAAATACTTTACTAATGTTTTTTGGGATATTAAGCAATAATTATACAGTAAATAGATGATGAAATGTTTTATTTAAATTATAAAATTAATTTAAATAAATAGAAAAATGATGCCCTTTGTTGTTGTTGTTTTTATTTTTATAAAATGTTAAAATCTTAATTTTTAAAACCATCAAGGTTGTATTATTATTTGAAAGTTATTTATTATAATTAATAAAGCTATATAACACTTATATTAATACAACATCTTTTATTAAATTAATTTAGTATATAATTTAGATTTTACAAAATTAGATAATCTCTTTAAATTCTAAAATACCATATTTTTCTGATCCCATTTTACCGATATTAACATAACTTGAATGTATTTGTAATTAAAAATCCAAATTTGCAATAAGAAATGTTATTATGAAATCTAATTTTATAGAGAAGCTATTTTTTAAAAATAAGTCCACCTATTTTGCAAATATGTGATTCATTAAATTCACATTAATTTACAAATATTTAAATAGATTCTACTTTAAATATATAAAAAAAACATTATAGTTACATTATAGTTAAATTATCTAAATTATCTTGTAATAATTTAGGTAATAATGCATTGCATTTAATAACATAATAACATATAATACATTTATACTGTATATTGTAATTTATTGTATAATAAATGAGAATTCAATTACAAATCATTATATTTGTTTTATTATTTTCATATTAGAATATCTAAAATATAAAATTATTTAATATATTTATAAAATATATAAAAGTTTTGGCACTTTTAATAAACTGAGCATTTATAGTAAATTAATAAAATTGGTAAATATAGCTATTTAAATATAAATATTGTTTTAGTAATATAATTAATAATATATAATTATGTCATAGATATGTACACTTGTCAGGTGAGAGACTATTTTCATAATAATTTCAATATTTATTTACTCGAAGTCGATATCATTTCAACGGCTTTGTATTTCTGTCTTTGACTTATATGAAGATTCTGTCAATTAATTAATTAATTTATTGATTATTAATATTGATTTTGTTTTTTCGGAGAAATATATAAAACACATACTCTTTTGCTTCTGTATGTAAACACAGCAGATATAGTAAGAGTTAAAAAGCCGGTTATTAATAATAAAATTGAGATTATGTTTATATAATGAGGTACTAAATTGACCAAAAAGTTTAATTGTTCAACCATTTCATCATTGACTTGAGCGGTCTGAATAAATTTAATAAAAATCATATTTTATTAAAAATTTTTATAATTTATACATTACTTACAGTACTGAACCAAAATTGTGGAAAATATAAGGGATTATTTGAAAAGTTTTTAGCGAAATCCATTTGATCGTTACGTTCAATCACTGTATTTATTTGTAGTCTAATCGCTATATTGAGTGGTATTCCCAATGTCTGCATTCATTAACGTTATATAATTATCATTAAATATTTTTATATTAATAACAAACAAAAAATTTATTACATTTTCATAATCCATATTAAACCCGTGTGACGATAAATTAGGTGACAATCCATCGATTGATTGTAAATAAATATTATCGGCGTATAAAAAATGTGGATATGATATGGCAGTAGGAGATCCTTGTGTACAAACTGATACATTTAAAACACCATTTGCTGGACAACTAACAAAATAAAATATAAGTTTGAAATTATAAAATTACATATTATGACCAAATCAATAAAACCTGGATGTATGACAATAACATTGATTTTCAGGTAAGTTATAATTAAACAAAGCCGATGTAGCCATATATCGGTCGCATTTAATGTTATTATAATCAACTTCTTCAGTAAAGTCTAAAGTTATGGGTCGACACATATCTCCAGCAAAAAAATCAATATTTTTAGGTTTCGGGTGCAGTCTATATGGCGGCTGAAAATCTCCACCAGAAATGCCTTCAATTTTTTCACATTGACTTCCAAACCATTTATTGTTAATCTTGTGATTATTCCAACTATCCATAAGTCCTAACCTATTAATACCCTTTTCTCCGGTAAATATACGATATATTCCATCGGTCGACGTATTATTTCGCATATAATACCAACCAAACCGAGTAAACGGTGTCTCCGGGAAAAAATCTTTGGCCGCTTCCAGCAGAACCTCTTCGTATCCGTCAAACAGCAATTGTCTGACAGTATTCCTCTTAAATATCAAACTCTGAGATTCTTCTATTATAACATTTAATGCCTCCGATATAAAACTTTGGTCCACAGATTTGCTTACTTTATTGGCTGCACTCTATAATCATATTTTATTAATTTAATATATAATATAATTATAATACAGTTTTACATAACAATCTATATATTTAAATCATTAAAAAATTATATTTTTATTTACAATAATTAAATATTTTAAAAATTTAATTTCCATAATCTTTGATAAAACTTAAAGAATCTTTTATTAATATTATTAAAATACATTTAACTACATTATAATTTTTTAAAACTGCATATATTAATCTAAATATTATTTTTATAAATTCTAATCAATGTTTTAATAAATTTAAAAATTACTATAGTATACAAATTTCGCAAAAAAGTAATATTGAAATTCATTAAAATAAGCTGAAAATACAAGGACTCAAATAAATACAGTATTTCACTTGTATTATACTGTATTATAATAATGTATAAATGTTTTCAATGAAATACAAGTTTTGAATAATTGTTTTATTGGTAAAACATCACAAGATTTAGTGAAGGTCTCATTAATGCAAATAATATTATATACATTTTATGAGAAATTATATATTTTAGATAAAATTTTAAGGAAATCATTAATTAATAAATATGTTTTACTAATAATAAAATAAATAGGACTTTAAAATGCTTATATTTTAAATTAAAATTATAGTACTTTTTAGATATTGATATATCATATATAATTTTTTAAATACATTAATAATTTTTATAATTCTATCTAGATTTAAAAAATAAGATAGCTAGATTTGTTAAATTAATTAGATGATTCAAAAATATAACAATACTTAATAAGTTAACAATACTATAAAGTTATAATAATTAATAATTTTTATTATAATGCTTATAAATTCTTAATATTGATATTTTCAATTAATTAATTAATATAAAATTAAAATAATTATTTTTTATGAATTTCTTAGATTTTTCTAAATAAAGTTATTTTGCCCTTATTTTTCTTTCAAGAAACAATAATTTTAATAATAATAATAATATAATTTAATATAAATAATAAAAATAATAAATAGATAAAAATATATTAATTTTTAATATAATCCTATTTTCTGGAGTCACCAATAGTCACAAAAAATTTTCTAATTTATGATATATTCAGACAATACAATAATTTGCATATAATTTTATTTCCTATACCAATATATTATATTTTGATAACATTGACAAATTAATCGGTATAATTAGACTACTTATTAAAAAATCTTCTAAATTATTGATATTTAGCCAATTAATTATATTTATCTTATATTTAGTTTGAATAAAGTCTTTTTATATTTAAAAAAATTATTAATTAAAAAAATTTATTATCTATTGAACCTTAAAAGATAAGCTTCTCATATAAGGTCACAAATATTCAGAATTTTTTTAATCCTTGAAATTTCATTCATTGCAAATACTGTTTGTATGTGAACTATATTTTAATATTTTTAAATAAAAATATTTTACTAACAATCATTGGTACATTCAGATGAACCACTTCATCGTCTAGACTGCCATTAGTTTCTTCAGCGACATAATGCCACCGACGGATTGTTTTGTAAGAAACGGTTCCATTCATGTGATCCCAACTTATATTTACTTTTTCATGAGTTTCTCGGAAAGTATAGGGACCTCAATATATATTAAATAAAAATAATATATATAACCAATTTTAATTTATATATAATAAATAATATAAAAAATTAAAAATTTAAAAATGAAATTATACCTAATTCTTGTAAAATTGGTTTTTGTTGTTTATTGAGAAATGCATCTGAATTTGTAACATTAAAAATATAAAATTTTGTATAAATAGCAATCGATGGTCTTTGCCATCCATCAAATGTCATTGAAGTCGGCGACAAAACCAATTGCTAAATCATTTCAATAAAATAATTATTATTTTCAATTATATACAATCAAAAATATCCTCAATATAAACATAAACAGCTTAATTTATTATGGGATAACAACAAATATTTAAAAAAGATATATATTTATTGCATTAATATATCATTAAATCGATAACTATTATAATCATTAAGTGTCAACCAATACATTTGAAAACTTGAAAAATTGTATTTTTTATTACCAATTATCCATTTAAATGTCTATTATTAACATTTGAAATATTCTAATAATGACTAATTTAAAGTAATAAAAGCTAACTTATTATTTATTATATGATTCATTAGTATTGAATTAGTATATAAATAATTGATTGAATGACTTATCCATTTAAATTGATACAGTTATCTGAAATCAACTTATTGTTTATTTAATGAAATGATAAAATCAAGTTAAAAAAATAGTTTCATTGGACTATAAGTTATGTAAAATATAAATTTTTATGAGAATTTATAACATAAAATAATATTATACAGTATTTTACATAATAAATAGTTTAGTATAGTATGACATACACTAAACATTTTCAGAACAAACTCGGTACTTTTTTATTTATGTTACTTATGTTTTTTGTGCTACATTTGGTAATAATAAAAGATACCATATTGTCATGTGTTGTTTAAAAAAATGCGACATCATTTATGTAATTATATAATTATTTAATAGAGATATAGTTACACAAAAAACATATGTAATATACATAAAAAGGGCCCGAGTTTTCGATAGCTCATAAGCCGTGTACAGTATGTAAATTTAATATTAATAAAATTTTATACTTTGTTATGACTAATCAAATATAATAATTATAAATTATATAATAGTGTTAATATAATTTGACAATAAGTTTAACTATTTAAATTAAATCAATCATAATTTAAACTTAAATGCATTTAATCACACACTAATTAATCAAAATTGAAAATCATATTTTAATAATAAACAATATAAGGAAATCACTTGTTTATACAAATATTAAATTAAAACTTTTAATATATTAATTTATATAAATATTTAAAATTTGTTTAAATTAAATCTTAACTACAGTACTGTATATTGAAAAACTTAAAAATTATAAATTTGACTATAGTTTAGTATATGGGCCAACATTTAGTCTAAACCCCACCCAATAAACCCCTTTCTATAGCCTAAGTGTTATAAACTTTGCCAAAACATTGAGCTTTTGATGTCATATAGAGTACAATATAACCAAAACATATGATATACTGAGTGAGTGAACCATAAAATTGTTTCATTTTATTTTGAATTGCAAACTATTTTTAGAGGTATTTAAAGTCAATAACATATATTATATCTTTAAAAAACCAAAATATAAAACACGTGTATTTATTATTAATATTTATTATATAATATATGAAATGAAAAATTTGGGTTAAAATAAGAAAAATTATAATATATTAATATATGAATAAAGGGAACGACATATAAGGCAAGGGTCATACAGTTTGATAGGACTTACTTGTTTGACATTATATTCAACAATATATGGCAAAAACAGATAAGACATGAGTCCAGTCAATGACAATATGAGACCAATTGTCACCAAAAATGCAATCTTTGTGGTGACTGAACACCAATACATTGTTATTAACAAAAATATAATGCCGTTTATATCACTTAATCATAACATTATGAATGCATTCAAATGGTTTTATTAATGATATATTTTAAATAAATATTTGTTTGCAAACTTATATAACAGTATAACATAAAAGCATAAAATTAAGTAAAACACAATTTTTAATATTTTTACATCATTTACATAAGTATTACTAACTTATTTAGTTATGAATTGTTTAAGAGACTAAATATCATTTAATAACTTATTGTCAAATTAGCAAATTATATATAAAAATGATTGCCTTTTATAAATGATTGCTTAATATACTGTATATCTAAAACTAAAAGTTTGTTTTATGCGATAACTTTGACTTATGCAGTGAACAACAGCTGTAGTCATGTTATTGTATGCATTGATTGTACTGTACTTTAAACTGACAAACACTTTGTGTTGTGTTTAAACATCCAATCAGTTTCAATGACTCCTTACGTCACATAGTATTCAATGATTTTTCAATCTCTTTATTTAAATAACATATACTGTATTACATTGTATTGTAAATATAATATCAATAATATTAAAAAACTATTTTCTATTACAAGTTCTTATATTTATTTAGTATCAGTTTATGTTAGATACAGTATTTTATATAATTAACTATTAAATATACATTAATTAGTGTATATAAAGTATAAATATTTTTGTTTAAAATTATAAGTAAATATATGGAAAACAATGCAAAATAATATGTGATATATTAATATAACATAAATTTAATGTAGATTTGGTCATTTTTGTATAATAAACAAAAATAAATGTTATACTACTAATATAAAACTTTTTTGTTATTATAAAATTTATAATATAATATAAATATATAGTTTTAGTTGTTTTTGATATATGTTTCGGTAGTAACAGTTTAGTTGACATTTTAAAAAATAGATTTAATAAAATTGTGTCTAAGTTTAGGAATTGGAGGTTAAGGTTAGGTTAGAGTAAAGTTTTGACTATTAAACACAATACGACAAACTTTGATTAACAATAATTAATAACATATTTTATAGGACCAAATGATATCTCTATTGTTTATGTAATTATTTGTATTAAAGTATTTGATTAATTAATTTTAACAAAAACTTGACTCAATATTTGATATACTGTACAATCAACTAATCACACAATCAAACCCAAAACCAATTCAATAAAATATAATATAATAATTAAAAAAAAAAAAAAAACTAATTTATTTATCAATTTATTTGTAAATTATATTAATATACTGTATTTACTGTACAATAAATTTTATTGTATTAATAGTAAAAAGTTTACAAACTTTTGATAGCAAATTGAAAGCTATTTTATTGGTAATAATAATAATATTAATTTAATATTAATATTACTGTATTTTATATAAATCTATATAATAACAGTCTGTATTACATATAAATACAGTAAAGGTTTATATAATAGACGTAATTGTTTTGAATATGAAATCACATGTTATATGTGTTTATAAATTAAAATATAAATTGTGTTTACATTTAGTAAAATATTTTTAAAATATTAAACAATGTTTTGTTTAAAATCAAATACTTTTTCATTAATTAATAGACAATTATATCGATATATGAGTTCATTTGATAATTTGCCGGTCTTTAAGAGTCAGCAAAGTTTGGATAACTTGTATCCCAAATCACAGATCTCTTCGGACATCAAAACCAATGCAAAGGTTTGATAAAGATTTGTGAAGAATATTATTTGAACAATGGTTTGATTTAATGATATTTATCATCACTTATAGTCAGAAACAGACAATGTCTTCAGTGGACACATACCTATAAAGGAGTTACAGATTTCTTACTGTCGAAGCAGTGGACCGGGCGGTCAACACGTGAATAAAACCAACACTAAAGTGACGGTTCAGTTTCAATTGTCTTCAGCCAATTGGATACCAAATGAGACCAAAGAGAAACTCAAACAATTGGTTGATATTTGAAATGAAGTGATATTTATATTATTTATATTATTTATATTTGTTTTACTCAATACTTTAGCATAAAAACAATATAAACAAAGACGGCTTTTGGATCATTAGATCAGATAAGACAAGAGCACAGCTCATGAATTTAGCCGATTGTTTAGACAAAATCCGCTGTTATATTACCGAAGCGTCCAAACCTATCAAACAGCCGTCGATCGAGACGTTAGAGAAAATCCGAGAAAACAGAGAGAAGGCTGCCATCAGAAGATTGGAGGACAAAAAGAAACGATCGTTAATGAAATCAGATCGACAATCATTATATTAAATCATATCATTAATTAATAGGTTTTTATTAAAATTGTAAAATAGAAAAATATGGCAATTGTGTCATAAAAATTAATAATAACGATAATAAAAAAAATTAAGGCATAGATTTGTCATCACAATTGATCCGTGTCTTTATTATCAGGTAATCTGACGCCCATTGTTGAGAACAGAGCAGTGGCGGGTCCGGGAACACCACACTCAGCGCTATACGACTCTAATATATTAGTCAAAGCATTCAAATCGATGTCAACTCTTTTATATTCATCACTGTTTTGGTCATTACTTCTTCGTTCAAAACTTCGTCCAACAGAAGTTCCCGCCAATTGTTGATCCATAGCTTTCATATAGTCTTTCATTTCTTTTAACTTTTCTTTAGCTCCATTGAGCTCAGGCTTTGAAAAGTCGTTTTCATAGCAATCGTCTTCGCTATCAATAGAATCTTCTCCTTCACTATAATCACTCATTCCTGAAGACGAGTCGGTCTCCAATTGTGGTATTTTTAATGACAAAACAGTACTTAAAGCGTCATTAAACGTGTCTTCATTGAAGTCTATTTTAGACGTTTTCAATGATTTTGGCGCTTCAGCTCCTTTGAGACCCGACTTCTGATTTGAGACAAATGCCTGAAGTGTTGAAGGAATTTGTGTTGAAATCTCTGAGCAATTGTTTGACTTATTGGTTGAGCAAAATTTTTCTGCCAAAAGAGCATCCAATTCATCGCAATCTATATTAAGCCATTCATCGCTGTCTTCTTTTTCAAGATTTTGTGACTCTTTTCCAAAAATTTTTTCATCTATTTCTAAGGTTTGCAAAAGTTTGTAAATTTTTTCTCCTTTTGTTTCAAAACAATCTAATTCATCGATATTTTGATTATTGTAAATAAATTCTTGAAAATAGATTTGCGATCTTTTCAACAGTTCATTGTAGTTCTTGGATCCGTTTCGCTCATTACCAAAATATCCATTTTTAACTAAACTTTTATTAAATGCAAGCCATCGACTATCTGTCTTAAAGTCTAATTGATCATCATTTCCATCAAATGAAAATTTTGAACTTGAAATCAATATTTCAAAACCGGAAGCAATTTTCACTCCCAAATCATGAGATTTAAAATCTCTTGAATTATTCTGAGGTAAATTCCAACCGACTCTTACATCCGGTGTATAAGATTGAGACATAAGTTGGCCGTAAAGACATCGCGTAAATGTTACGCAACACATAACACGATTTTCGGGTGGAAAGTATTTCATGGCCTGACATACTTTGTGATCATCGGGAGTTCGGTTATAAAAGGCATTGACAGCCCATGATATAAGACCCGGATTATGTTTAAGAAGAGCTGCCACTCCTATGGGAACAAAACAATGACTTTTATGTTGATATTCTTTAATACGTTTGGGAAAGCATTCAATTCTTCGCAAAATATTCCTTTGAATTGCTTCTTGAGCTCGAGTTTTGTCGGGATTTCGACGAATATATTCAATCGAGTCTTTAATCGACGGAATTCTGTTCGCAAATGATTTGCAATTAATGGGAATTATATGAACTGATTGTCGATAAATAAAGACTCTGTTGAGACAATTGGATGGTTCGCACCATTTCGGCAAATCATTGGCCGCTTCTATCAACAAAAACTCGCCGTCACTGTCCTCAACTTTGATCACCAAATTTGGATCCAATCGCGACAAACGATACAACAGATATACAATCAGCCATTCGTCGTCTATATTGTCACCAAAATTTGTGATTCCCTGCAAGTGATTATCACCTAATAAGACAATACATCGTAAAGTAATAGTCAAATAAATTGATTGGAAAGACATTACCATCGATTGAATCGGTGATAATCGACAACTGAAACGACTGGTTCTGCCAGATGTGAGTCGATATATATTTTGCTAAATATGTATAACATTTGCAAATATAATCATTAAGTGATCCATTGATTTCACTTAACAATGGATACAATCGATACAAAACACTGTTTTCATTCAAATCTTTATTAAAAGCCATTTATTTGTTAATAATATATGAATTCAATTATTTTTACATAACTTTTAGTTAAATAACAAAACAAACAAACAGTCAATAAGTCAATGAAATTCAATCAACAATTTAAATGCCAAAAGCATTGCAAAACTATACACACCTTAAACTTGACATAAATGATGTCATAATTGACACAAATTATCAAAAGTTTTTTATTCAATTCAAAGTAAAACTAATTTTTTTCATAAAGTTTTTTATTGATTTGTATTGAGTTATAAAAACTATAAAATCCTTATATAAAAGTTGAGGCAAACATTTAAAATTCTTCTCCGGTCTCGTCGTCACCGGTTTCGGTAGAGTCGAGTCCAACTTCTTCGTAGTCTTTCTCGAGTGCAGCCAAGTCTTCGCGGGCCTCAGAGAACTCTCCCTCTTCCATACCCTCTCCAACATACCAGTGAACAAAAGCACGTTTGGCATACATCAGATCAAACTTGTGGTCGAGTCGAGCCCAGGCCTCGGCTATGGCAGTCGTGTTGGACAACATACACACTGCGCGCTGAACTTTGGCCAAATCACCGCCGGGTACTACAGTTGGCGGCTGATAATTGATGCCAACCTAAACAACCAATTCATAGCATTATATTATAGTATTTATTTCATTACATATAATTTAAGACATACTTTGAAACCAGTCGGACACCAATCGACAAACTGAATGCTACGTTTGGTTTTAATGGCAGCAATAGCTGCGTTCACATCTTTTGGCACGACATCACCTCTATATAGAAGACAACACGCCATGTATTTGCCATGTCTTGGATCACATTTGACCATTTGATTGGCCGGTTCGAAGCAAGCATTGGTAATCTCGGAAACAGTCAGCTGTTCGTGATATGCCTTTTCAGAAGAAATCACCGGTGCATAAGTTACAAGAGGAAAGTGAATGCGTGGATACGGGACTAAATTAGTCTGAAATTCAGTCAAATCGACATTAAGTGCTCCATCAAAACGAAGAGAAGCTGTAATACTGGACACAATTTGACCGATAAGACGATTCAAGTTAGTATAAGTCGGGCGTTCAATATCGAGATTACGGCGACAAATGTCATAAATAGCCTCATTGTCGACCATAAAAGCACAGTCACTGTGCTCTAGAGTGGTATGTGTCGTCAAAATGCTGTTGTATGGCTCAACCACTGCAGTCGATACCTGAGGTGCCGGATATATTGCAAACTCAAGTTTTGACTTTTTTCCGTAATCGACGGACAAACGCTCCATTAATAGTGATGTAAATCCAGAACCGGTTCCGCCACCAAAACTATGGAAAATTAAAAAGCCTTGAAGTCCAGTGCAATTATCGGCCAGTTTTCGGACCCGATCTAAGACTAAGTCCACAATCTCTTTGCCAATCGTGTAGTGACCGCGAGCATAGTTGTTGGCCGCATCCTCTTTACCAGTAATGAGTTGTTCGGGATGGAATAGTTGACGATAGGTACCGGTGCGAACCTCATCCACAACAGTGGGTTCAAGATCGACATAAACAGCTCGTGGCACGTGCTTACCAGCGCCCGTCTCCGAGAAAAACGTGTTAAATGAGTCATCGCCGCCGCCAATAGTCTTGTCACTTGGCATTTGGCCGTCGGGTTGAATGCCATGTTCGAGACAATACAGTTCCCAACAGGCGTTACCAATTTGAACGCCTGCCTGTCCCACATGTATTGATATACATTCACGCATTTTGTCTAATAAGGCAATCGGAGTAAAGATTTACTAAATTTAATATAACATTCATTTCAATATAATATATAATATATTAATTTCATAGTTGTTTTAAAAGAAAAAACATTTCTGAACTTGAATTTAATGTCTTATGGTATCAATCAATGCATTCAATACATGTCTGATCTCTAAAAATATCAGACATCAAGAAGTTATTTAAAACCGGTTTCAAAGTCAATGAACGCATCTGTGATATCATACTATACTTTAATACCATATTTGGATATTTAGAGATAATCTATGATTTATATAATATATTACAATATGTCATAACAAATGTCATTTCTTGGACATCATATCACATCAATAGTTAAATTTAAATCAAATAAAACTCAATTAATATATAATATAACTATTAAATCAAATATTTTAGCAAAAAGTTTGCAAAAATTCCTACTTTTTGATACATGAGTTATAAAAGTATTTTCAATGATTTTTGATACAAAAATTAGCTAAAAAACAATAATAACTTAAGAGACATACCTTTGGATCAAATGTTGAGTATTTATATATTAATTGATTGAATCAATTGAATGACAATTAGTTTTCACAAATTGTTTGACAAAACGTAACAATTAGTCCAACAATTCAGTGATGAGTGGAAGCGCTTTAACCCAAACACTACTTATATATGTTTGGTATCAACCAATCATATAACGACTTTAACATAAACCACGCCCTATATTATAACTGTTATTCATTAACCATTGATTTCAATGTTTTACTAAATTTGACAAAATTTACAAAATTATTGATTTTTTAAAATTTAATTTTGTTATGAACTTTGGATTTATTTGTCAAATCAATTATTTTTTATTGAATTAATTATTGAGATCTTTATTAATTTATTACTAATTGTGACCATTAATGAAGATTTAGTGGAAAATCTTAGTCTATATTAATATATTAATAGTAAAGAAGGCATTAATTAATTGACTGAAGAAACAAGTTTTGTATCATTTTTTGGTATTTTTTATTTTTATGAATCAAATTCATACCAAAAATGGATTCAATGTTATACTTCACGCAAACAAATCATTCAATTGGTTGTTAAATCAAATACACACTCATTATATACGAGATTATATGGTTTAACACATTTTTAAAAGTTTAATGTTTACTTCATTTAATTATTAGCATTAAAAACCAGATATGATTTTATCTTATTTTATATTTATTAAATTATACAAATTGAATACACAAAATAAAACAATACAAATATTATAATTTTATAACATGTCTATGACCCGGATGTTATATTATACAGTATATCAAATAAATTAATAAATGGTTAAAAATTTAATAATTGGATTGTCAAATATGTAATTTAAATTAATATTATTAAAAATAATAATAAATTGTTTGATAATATCTAATTGATGTACAATATTAGCATTTCGGTCATATCTTCAACTATTGTCACGAATATCATTTCAAACACAATAAGTTGTATTAGTTTTAATAAAATATGTATTAAATAATTTATATTTATATAATTCAATAAATCAATAGATCATTTGATAAGTATTGAATTATTTAATACATTTCATTGAATATATGCCATACCCTATACTATCATTTAATAGACAAATGAATGCAAACTTTTGAGGTTGTATTCAAATTACCGTAACTTACATACAGTAAATAAAATTATATTTCAATGGGATTCTATATATTTAAATATTACTCCCATGTTTTGCAAATTCCCGGAAAGTTATTAAAAAACTTGAATATTGACCATTGTTTAGCAAATGTAATGTAATAAAATGTAATTAATATTAACGAAATCGACGTTAACATATTGCTAAAATCACTTACAATTACAATAATTAAACTATAATTAATGGCATACATTAAAAATGAGGATTACAATCAATATAGAAATTTATGACAATTTCTTATTTATCCAAACTCTAAAATTTAGTCTAAATACATAAAACTCTATAGACTGTAGTTATACTTTAAATAAATTAATAAATTTAGTACATTATGTATAACATTATACACTAAATTAATGTATAATCTTTAAGTGTTGCATAAAATTTAATAATTATTATTTATATAAAATTATATTGTAATATACTTTACAAAACTAATGAAAATTACATTTTTTGTATTTTGTTTAATAAGCACTTTATTAAAAGTTTATTTATATTACAATATAGTTAACTTTTATTTAAAAAAACAATTTTATTAATATATTGTATATAATATGATTTAAAATTTTATGGTACAATAGTTTGATTGTCTACATAAAACAATTATTTTTATGGTATTATAATACAGATGAGATCAAAAATCAGATTTAAGCAATTTTATGAAACAAACTATAAAATTTGAGATTAACTTCTCAATTGCATTCAATTATTATAGTAATTATTAAAATGTTATACAAATAAAAAGGTATTAACATTAGTCTTATAATTATAAAAATTGCAAATAATTAATACAATATATCAATCAGTAATAAGTTATTATTGGAACAAACAATCAGTGAATGTAATGGTTATTATCTTTTAATTTTCGATAATTTATTTAATCTCTTTTGTTCAGTAATCAAGTCATACAATATGTCTAGTCCTTCATCGAGACCCTCACCGATGACACTACAGGATGACTGCACGTGCCATAAGTGTTTACCATTGAGGTCTGACAGACCCAGAAGTCTAGCGATTTCATTGGCGTCTTTAGCTCCGGGAAGGTCTTGTTTATTGGCCAACACAAGTATAGGAACTCTTGAGTTTTCCGGTGATTTGGCGGTTCTCATCAGTTCCATCTTTGCCTCTTCAAGTCTTTCTTCATCAACACTATCGATAACAAAAATGATGCCATCAGTACATCGCGTGTATGACCGCCAAAGTGGTCGCAGTTTGTCCTGACCTCCGATATCCCAAATGAGGAAAGAATTGCCCTTAAAATACACTAATCGTTAGCCGTCTTTCAATGTAATGACTAGTGAGCGGACATACCTTTGCTTTGCCATTAAGTTTAACTTTTTCACAGTTGAATCCAATGGTGGGAACGGTATTCAAGTATTGGTCAAACTTTAGTCTATAGAGAGCTGTTGTCTTTCCGGCCGAATCCAGACCTAACATAACGATATGTAATGTCTTGTAATTTGTCACCAAATCTATCAACGATTGTAATCGTTTGCTAAACGATGAACCCATCATTTAATTATCACTTTATTGGTTACTAAATGATATCACTTCAACACATCCTATGGTTTATAAAAACATCACATGAAATGAGTGCACCATTTGGTGGCCATTCATGTGACTCGCGATGACTACTTTTTTGGTCACTACAAGGCATTCAATTGGTTATCACTAAATACATCAATCAATGGATCAATTGTTGTGACGATTGTTAAGAAAATTAATGGCAAACCAAGTAATATATCCACAGATTTACTGATAAAATGATATCAATTGACAAATGAGTGCCAAATGAGACACAAATCACTGATTTTGCGCATTAAGTCAGCCATCGATGCCTTTAATGCACTCAATGTTTGGTTCATTACAATACACTTCACTCACTGTTCAGTCACTCAATCGACACATAACTTGTATTTAATATTTTAATAAAGTTTTCTATTATTTATTATATTTGAAGTCAAAGTTGCCGTCACTTAACACAAGTCAACATAACTTGTATTACATTTCTATTGCTTTATAATACATACCAAACATTAACTGAAAAACTTGACTACAGATATGCCATACGTTTTAATATAATATTAAATACAGTATTTGTAACACATTTTCAGTTCATAGCTGTTATTGTTGTCGAAGAACAGGTAGTTCTCCTTAAATGTCGATCAGTTATGGCATGGGATCAGTTGGGGTCACTGTTAGAGGTGTAGCACTACTGTAGTAGACATACATTTAAAGTTTATAATAATAATAATAAAGTTAAAATAGTTTTAAATATTGACCAATAGTTGCCATTTATGAAAATAATTTTTAATATTTTTAATTTATTTTAATATTTAAGGAAAACGGAAATTAATATATATATACAGTATATATATAATATATATAAGAAAAATAACAAAAAATATAAATTGATTTCTTGTGAATCATTTATACTTTAAGTCATGAGATTTAATCATTTTTCTTTATCTTAAAAACAATAATAGAGATAAATTTTTACAAAATTTTTAAAATTTAGCATGGTTATTTTTCTTAAAAATGTAATTTTATTAAAATATTCTACAAATCACATGTAAACTGAAAACTCTGTATCTTTATTGTCGAAAATTATTAAAAATGATTTTGATATTGATTTTGATTTTGATATTGATTTTGATATTGATTTTGATATTAATTTTGATATTGATTTTGATTGATCGCAATTACTTTAATCAACATTTTACACTTTATTTGACTAAAATATATCATACTTTTAAAGTAATTAAATATTTAGATTTACAGTCATTAACTTTACACTCTATACTATACATACCATACCATTGATATAAACCAATTGTGTTTTAGTTAGTTATATAATATTTCTTAAAATTAAAGCCAATTTGAATATGAATGCAATGTCTCAACCATTTATCAAACGATATTTCGGTGACATCTCTAAGAATTATTAAGATTCTTGAGTTGAACTAAATATACATTTATTTTGTAAACAATTTTATTTATTATTATTTATATAATATAATTATGCAAAAAAATGTAGAAAAAACATTAATAAAATTAGTTTTGATTTTTATATTATTATGAAAAATTAGTAAAAATGTTGTTAATAAATTAGAGATCAAACAGTTGGTCACCTAAACGAAAGACATTAGATCAATATACCGATGATTGTTATAACAATTTTTCATTTATTTCATTTGAAATTTTAATAAATAAATTATTAAAAAATGAATTAAATTTAAAAAATACAATTTAACATCTATTTAATGAATTACGAAATGATTAAATATAAATAAGTGAAAAATAAATAAAAGGTTGTAATATTAATACTCTATTATTATTTAATTGTATAGCAAAATGAATTATTAAAATATTTATTATTTGACTGCAAATTTAAAATTTATTATTTGTATACTAGAAAATATATAATCAATTATTTAGATGATAGTCCATATACAGGTGTATTATGTAAACAGCGTATAACTTATTAAAACAAAGTTGATTTAACTATAAATAATAAATGTGAAATTGCTTATGAATTATAAATGCAATAATTTATTAGTAAACTTTCATTTATAATAAAACTTTCTAAGCATTCATAATATTTTCTAAAAATAAAATTTTATATTTATATTAAATGAACTCAATTTAAAAACCACTATCTAAACATTGGTTTATAACTTAAGGTAATTGAAGGTTAATTATTTGACACCAATTGATTGCTGAAATTATTCAATTTATTTGAACCTTAAATATGCTTTCATTGAATTGATATTTACTTAGAATTGTCTAATTAAAGCATTATTAGACATATTATTATACATTAATATGGTATATAATTTATACTAGTATTATATGTATTTATATAATTTTTTACAATTATTTAATATTATATAAATTTATATTATTAGAAATAATGAAATTATAAGTAATAAAAATTGATGTCACAAAATGTAAAGATACTAAAAAAGTGACTATCAATGGGATTGAGATGCGGTCAATGGCTTTCAATCACTAAACATATATTTTTAGGTCACTATTCAAGTGATCTATTTTGAAAAAAGACAGTTAAAACTAGTTTTATTTAGACAATTGAATTTATATTTTCATAATCTTTAATGTGAATCACTTTTCACTTTACTTTAAACATACTATGTTTGGTCAGACGTTAATAAACTTGAAATTTAGTTAAAAAGTTTTTCTGGGAAAAGAGTTTTTTAAAAAAAGTAATGAAAAGTTTTTATTTTCTACCATTTGTTTTATGGGTTTTGTTAGTTAATTGTAAGTATTATATCAATCAATGTCAATAAAATCTTAATTATCTAATAATAATTAATAAATTTGTTAGGTTATGATTATGAAGATTCAAAGAAACCATTGAAAAGACGTAAACGTCAGGTTCCGTGTGAAGTGGGACAGGAATTAGATGAATATGTGGACAGTTTGTTTCGCTTTGGTAGACGACTCATCCGTGTTATGGAACCATTTTCGGTTAGTTTCTAAGTTTTTTTAAAAGATATTTTAGCAAATAATTTAATTATTTGTATTTATTTTATGATCGCAAATGTTAGTTACCTAATGTAACGGTAGAACTGGAAGAATATAATGTTCAGGTGTTTCTTCATAGTGGTGGTGCCAGTCGGGTGTATACATTTGAGCGTAAGAAGCCAGCCTGGGTCCTCTGCCAAAATGATACCATTTCGCTGGGATTAACCATTGGTTTAGAAGAGGCACGAGTTATGTATAAATTTAGAGTTATTCAAGACTGGAAACTTCTTTTCGATGGCGAATTAGAGGCTCAAATCAAACGACCCAAAGTTCAGGTGCAGATCTCGCAGAATAGTCCTCCAGAAAGTGAAGATGAAGATGCAGAAGAAGTACCGGTTCAACAAAGAATCGATAAATTAAAAGTTTGGAGACCGGGACAGATACTGGTCGTCATCAGGGGTTTAGGCAATTTGAGTTCAGCCATTAGTATGATTATCAATAGGATGTTACAAAACACCGATATGTTAGACCCATTCATCCGTATGATTGAAACCGATGGAGTGGTCGCCGCCAATGAACTTCTTAGAAATATTTCAATTCCTATATTTAGTATTATTTAAATATAAGTCATTTATTGTTTTTCATTTTAATGGTTTTTTGCCAATTTTCATCCAAATAAGTAAGTTTTACAAAGTTTGCCAATTTTATAGATTATTTATATTTTATAAATATATTTAATAGTTTTTCACAAATGAAATAATTTGTAAAATTTGTTAAGTTTTGTAATTTTTTAATAGCTTATAGCAAATTAAGTCATGAATAAGTTGTACATAATTTAATGTAACAAAAAACATATAAACGTTAATTACATAATAAATATACAAAACCACAAAAGTTTGAACAATTTGATAGTAATGAATGACAATAATAGTGAAAGTAATTTTAATAAATAATATATTTAATAAATAGGTAAATAGTTTGCTAATTATATAATAAAGTGGTTACTCAACGACCCGCCGGAGGATTATTTTGATTGTTTTGACTGACAGCTGCGGGACTGGCGCCAGGAATGTTAAGGGATGAACTAATGCGACCAATAATATCACTGATTCGCTTCTGGATATCATCGACTCGTTTTCTAATACTATCGATAGCAGTTTGGTCGGCGGCACCTAACGTCTGGGCCCCACCGGGTCGTGTTCCTACCTGAGCTGCTGCCGACTGAATACTTGTTAATTGTGTTTGAATTCTGACGACATTAGATCTGATACGACGGACAGAGTTAAGCATTGGTCTTAACATTGCACTCAAAATATATCGGCGCCTATTTGTCAGTTCAGTTACCGTATCCTAAAAAATTAGATTAAATTATGAAAAATGTCATAAAAATACACTTTTTTATTATAATGCAAACCTGTATTCTTTGCTGAAGAGTGTCGAGTTGTGTGACCAAAGCACCGACACTTTCTCCCTGTTTAGACAGCGCTAACTCAAACTCACTACTGATAGCACTATAGATATGTGGTTCAGATGTGACCGATTCAGTGGTGCCCAAAGTGGTTGAAATTTCGTCGGCATTGTTGGGCACTAATTGCTGAACGTGTGCGTCCAAGTCATACAACAATTTGGTCGCACTATTGATGGTCTCAGAGAAAACTATCGTTGGATCAGTTGACTCTTCAGATCCGATACCGTCTTTGACATTATCGACATTTCCCACATTCTCGACATTTCCTATGTCCTCAACTTTTCCGATGTTAATGTTTTCAACTTTTGCGATTTCATCTACTTTTTTAATAACTTCAACAATATCTTTATTAGCATCTATTGATTGGGAATTTCCTAAAACTTTGAAATATATTGTTTTTGTAAATTTACACAAAATCGACAATTTTTTAATATATTTTCATATAATACCAAAACTAATGGATAGCAAAGCGATGAAGGTTTCCATAAAATACATCTTTAAGTGAAAAAAAAACAATTTAATTATAAGTTAAACAAACTTTTATTTTGACAAAACTTGAGAAATGCGAGAAATACGGTTTGTTTTGGTGTTTATATAGACTTGTGATGCACTCCCTTCACCTTTGGTGTCATGACCTCAACAGTACTCTTAGTTTTAACATTAATTGAAACCATTAAACAGTTATGCAATGACTTTGCTATTGAAAGTAAAAACTTGGAGACAAACTGAACAGGAATAACATGTAGTGATAAGCTATTGACAAGAATTTCAGATAATATTTTCAATGTTTGATATTTTATAGCTGTTTGTTGTTTAATGAAATTCCCATATAATTCGCTATAATTACACTTAATAGACAAACAATATTTAGTTTATAATAATTAATGGAATATTCGATAATATAAAACATTTTATAGTATAGTATAGCGTAACTAATTAATAAAAATATATAAAAATTGATAAATTTACATAATATTCTATATTTAAAAATTAGAAAGTACTTGTCATGAAATTAAATCAGTTTTATTATTATATGATGACAAATGTATCGACAAAACAAATTATGACAAAATTAAATTAAATTATCAAATAAATAATTTAAGTCTTATTTATTAATAAACAACTAAATTGTTATATTTAAATCTAAAGAATAAAATATTTACAAAATTATAACAATTGTTAACATTTTTAGAGTTAGATTAAATTTAACTAATTATCTTAATATCCACTAATTTTTATTTTATTTATCAGCTATGGTAATTAGTAAAAATATTTTTATTAAATTTCAAAAATATATAACTAATTCAAATTATTAAAATTTACAAAATTATGTCCATTTATTATAAATATATTTTTTGCTAATAGTTTACTAAAAAATATTAAATATCATTATTAACTTTAAAGTTATTAAAATTTGTATTTATAATATAAACTAAGATAACAATCTTTCATGTTATCCAATAATAGTGTTTCATATATGAAGTATTATTTATTTGCTTTATTCTAATGTTGTTTTACAATTTTTTTTAAATCAGTTCAATTTCATGACAAGTTCTTTGAAATTTATATACAAAGTAATTGAATTTATAATAAAAACTAAAACAAAATGACAAGAAATAGCCATTTGGTGACAAATTTTTATTCAAATTCATTAATATAATGACCGATAAGCCATGGGTTGAATAGTTGTGAATCCGGTTTCAAATAAGACTGTTTTGACAATATTTCGGACAGAATTCTAATTTGTTATTTGATATCACAATAAAGTTTGTTAACCTTATGCGACAAATTGTAATACTGTTTGTAAATCAAAAAAAAAAAAAAAAAAAAAAAATCTTTTAAAAACTCATTCATTGAGAAGTCATCTCTGGATATAACTCTATCGCAACTTTAAATATTAATATCAATCAAGTTTAGCATTTGATCCATACATTAGAGGACAGTAACATTAAGTTATTACGGTTTGGCGTCAATTATATATAACTTACCTGAGATTACGCGCCAAACATTTTTTAACAATCATTTTGCAAATCAATAGTAAATGTAATTTCGTTGCTTCTGGTGATTAAAGTGTCAATAGTATCGCACATATCATTAAAAAATATGACATTTTAAAGGCTTAAACTATGCAAACTATTTTGGAAATTATCCCATTCAGTAAAACATTGCAATATTGTGGGGTCAATAACATACAATAACAATCTTTCTAATAATTGCTGTCATTTAAAGTTATTGAAATAACCGATTAATTTAAATCAAAAATCAAACCAATTTTTAGACTTTATTATGGAATGAATGTTCGGACAAATGAACAAAAAAGATAATAATGTTTCAAATATTTAAAGTTAATTAATTTGAATTAATAATTAGAAATAATGAAATACATAACTTATATATATATATAATCAAGAGTACGATTGGAGGGGTTGGGGGTGGCGTACACTCAATGATTGTAGTAATTGTCTGATACAATGTTGAGTCCTGACTAGCGTTTAGTTCAACATATCATATACCGTAAAAAATATAAGAGTACTGTACGTCTATTTATGAGGAAATGGCTATCGGCTCAGCGCTACGTTTCTTAAATTAATTTGTCGTAAACAATGTTATCAAACAAACATTTTTTGGTACTTTTTTGTTGACCTAACGTCCAAACATAAGAATTATACATATAATCAAATCATAAGATTCTAATTAATCAAAAACAAGACATCATTTCAAAGAAACATAAATATAACATTATATTCAATATGCGGTCAAATATTGACTTTTATATTATAAGATGTGATTCAATTAAAATAACTAAATCAAGAGCTCATTCTAACGAACTCTTCCTCATCAGTGCCATCGATCCGAACTCGTTTTGCTTGTACTCCAGTGGAGTCGGCGTCTGTATTATCTTCGACATGACTTTCAACCATATCGGCGGTCCTTTTCACCTGAGTTGTAGTTGTTGTAGTAGTCGTTACATTGTACGCATTGGTTGCTTCGGCCCCATAAACACGGGATATGACAGAATTGCCATTTCCTGTTGAGTTAGACAGTGGTGGCGCCTGTACTATGACAGTAGGTTGAGATGCTGTTTGTTGAAGTATTATTGTGTTGTTGTCCAATGCTATCGCACGAGGAGCTGATGTTCGTCCGAAACTTAATTCTTCTAAAATATACAGACAATAAAATATTACTTATTTATTAATCAATTATTTTTCTAATCAATTACCGGATTCTTTGTCACTACAGTTAACACCATTTGTAGACAAAGATAGAGGAGATGTATGAGTGACCAAAAGTTTGGGTGATTTGTTTGAAAATTGATTGGATGTCGAACCTGTAAACAAAGTGATATCAGATGTGTTGATAATTCCTATTAATAAATGTATGTTAAAAGACATGCCATAAATATAAGAAACCAATGAATACAATACCTGGTGAACCGGGGGCTGATTTACTGGTGAATTTGTATTCTAAAGTGGTTGGCACTGTTAAATAAGATGATGGCGGACCCATTGATGATATTATTTCACTTTCTAGTTGTTCTTGAGGTACTGGACTTGACTCTCGTGATAAGTCTTCGGGTGAGGCCAAACCACTGGCCATACCGCTGTGATTAGGAGATGCCGGCGCCGAGCGAGACGCAGATCCTCCCAATTGATTTCGAAAACAAGACATAGGTCTTTGCCGCCGCCTTTTAAATGCCTGTTCAATAAGTTTAGGCTCTGATTGAGCGTCTATTCTCCAAAAAGATCCCTTTCCCGGTTCCTCCTGTGACCGGGGTACTTTCACAAAATAACGATTCAGTGATAAATTGTGTCGAATTGAATTCTAGCAAATATTACAATATTATTCTTATAAATTTTCTAAATCTTAAAATTCATATCAAACATACCTGCCATCCCTTATCTGCTGTTCTATAATATGGATAATGTTTAGTAATATATGAATAAATTCCGCTAAGAGTGAGTTGTTTATCTGATGCACTGGCAATAGATTGGACAATAAGTTGAGCATAAGAATATGGAGGTTTCGAGTCGTCCACTTCTCCAGGACTGTTGGCATTTGAATCGTGTCCTCCAGATTGAGGAACCAAATAATAATCGCTACTATTATTTGCTGAATTGGACACAGATATTGGAGCACTAGTTGAGCCAATACTTGTTACTATTGATTTACCGGTGGTTTCGTTGTGCGCAACCATCCTGTGCTCGTCAGTAGCGACAGCTGCTGCGGCGTACGCCACCATCATTTGCAGGTCACTTGATGTGTTCCGATGCCGCGAACCACCTCTAGGACTGGCGGGGCATGAATTGGCGGCACTGTTAGGTATCCACCAAATTATTAATGACTCTTTTATTACAGTTTATTTTATTTATACCTTATTGTTCCGGCCGGTGATGGAATAGGACTCGCAAAGTCAGGATCTGTTGAATCAGGAATGTTAACCTTCAGCGGTGCCATCGATTGATTTCTTATCGATTCCCGATTACCACTCGACGAATGAGAACTATTCGTGTCATCGACCAGTGATTGGAAGACTAATTTGATGTTTGTTGACGGGAACCGTAATACACAACTGTCCAATAAATACAAAAAAACAGATTCATTATTATTATGAATATTATAATACATTAATCAAAAATAAAAATCTCGTCATAACATTAAGCGCTGAAAATATACTACTAATTGCTTACTTTAGCTTTTCCTCAATATATTTATGTATTTGAAAAACAGCCAAAAAAACTATTTAATATTTTATTTTTTTTGTGTCTGACATTGACTAAAATATTTACACATTTCAAACAATCAAAACAAATATATCATATCATATAAACAATATATTAAATTAATTAGTTAAACTCGTTGTACTATAAAATTAAATTTAGTTATTAACTGCTATTAATGGTAAATTCAAATTTGTGTTATTAGCCTATTAATCAATGATTAACATTTGAAAAGTTATTTATGGTCACATTGAAAATATAATTTGTATATTTATAATTATTTAAAACCAAACATGTTTTGACTATTTTTTAAACAATAATTTTAGCTATTAATTAATTTGTCTGAAATAAGGCCTAAATAAATTAAACATTAAAAACTTTATATTATTATTATTTTACTAATATTTGATAAAATGCAAGCTTTGTTTTGATAAAAAATAGTACTTTTTTAGTTTATAAATATTAGTCGACAATAAATGCAAATATTGATTAAATTAAGTATAAAATGTTATAATATTGATAATAATAATATTATTACAACAACAATGTCATCACAACTTGTTTATCAATGATATGTTTGACTATAGTTTAGGAAATGGTTGAAAATAAATGCATGAATGAAAGCATTTCTATAATAATATGCTTATAATAATACATTTGTGTGTTTTTGTTAAAACAAGTATTGAATGTATAGTCTGAATGGCAAAACATGAGATCCCGCTTTCAAGTCATACCAGACGTCATACAAGAAATAATAAAAAAAATACAGAAAAACTTTGTAAACAAATCTAATCATCAAAACAGTAAACTTGACTTAAATTGCATTTCATTTCATTACTATTATTATTATTATAAATGTAAATAATGTTCAAAATTCATTACAACTCACTTTCATAAATATTAATCGACTAAATGTATAGTTATTTATAATTAATAAAATAAAATTGCAAATGTGTTTCATATTTTGATTAAATGTCAAATCAAATGTACAAACAATGTATTAATTATAAACATTAATAGCTATTGAATTAAAATTAATGAATATTATCTAACAATATATTAAATATAGAAATTCTGTTTATTCAATGAAAATGTATAGAAAATATAGAAATATATAGCAATAGTTGGACCAAACGGTTGCCAACAACCAGGCGAGAGAAGAGCTAAGTTAAGATACGGGGGGAGAGGGAAGACAGGGATGGCATACAAAAAAGGTTAGCTAAGGTATGGCAAAGGGTTTCTCCTGTTATGAAAAATTTGTTTACACAGAAGCCGTTCAGTGGTTTAAAGTCATTTAGTTTTATATTTATAAACAACTTCTTAGAAAATAAATACAATTTCAAGCCATAGCACTCAGGTATGCACAGTGTTGTTGTTGTTGTCGTCTATATAGTAGTATTGACTACACTGTATGTGCCAGTGCTAGAAGTGGTATAACTGGAGAAACACATAACCACTTCATAATGAGGTCACGATATGATCGGGTTTTCAATGAAAACAACATCTTATGAAAGCACACATTGAAGGCTAACTACAATAATATCACAGAATTGCTTGGTTTGGTCCTTATTGTCATCTAAGACAATGATTACCATTTATTATAGACATCGATGGCATGATATGACAATAATGACAACAAATTGTCAATAAATTAATGCATTCAATAAATATAAAACAAATAAAGACATTTCATAAACAATTAGTTTGAAAACAAACAACACTTTCACTAAATAACGGGCAAAACATGTCTTATTATGACCGATGCGGTCGTGTTTGTGAGTCAGGTATGACTTACGTCTTTGGCAACTGAAGATGTGGAGCGCCTTTCCGTTGAAAGACTCCGTCAACGAAGACACCATTCTTGCCGTTACAGATCATATAGAAGTTATGGTTATCGTAATGGATCTCAATATGTCTTCGTGAAATGAATGACGAGTGTCCCATATTGACATCCACTTCACCTCTGGAGCTGTTCCTACCGATGACAATACGGTTTTGTCTAATCATAAACTCAAACTCTCGGGTCTCGAGTCGGGCAATGGGTGCCGACTCGTTATTGGGCGCCCATTGGATCGATGAAGGACTGGCCGGCGCCGACTTGAGCGCCAATAGAGCCCAGGCGTCACTATCGGTGGCACCTCTCGTACTAGACATATGTGTTGTGACAATCAAACAATCAATTGGTCACCGATTTGGTGGTCAGCGATGTGTTTGTTATGAGTTTGTTATTTGTAAACAAAACACGAGAAACACACACAAAATGGCTGTACTTTTATGTATGCATTCAATGCTATCACTAATACACACAACACTATTGCTATAAATGCTATCCAATGCTTGCTCTCACTCTAGCACTACATCTACACTATAGTACACAACAGTGTGTTATGTTTTGCTATCAAATACAGTGTATATTCATAACAATACTGTAAATGTATTGCAAATTGCAATGCTTTCATATGTTATACAGTGAAGCCCACACTTATTATTGTTATTGTTGTTGTCATACAAGCACTGCACCAACACATGGGGCCATCCATTGATTAACACATACCATACATATGACATACACCCCTTCAAAACATTATATGGCATAACCTATTCATACACTACACCTATATATTACCCATCATTAAAGTATTAATAACAGAGTATTGCAAATAACAACAAATTAAATAAAAATATACTTGTATTTCATATCCAATACAATCGCATAATATATTACTAATTTCTAATCAATTTTAACTCAATTCAAATGTTAAATACTATGAAATACTATTAGAAACAATACATTTTAAATATAATATTTGATTATTAATAAATACCGATAATTAGAAATGCTTTTTTTAGATAAAAATTGTAGTAATCTGTAGTATTGGACACCAAATATAAGCAAACAATAATTACTGTACAATATATTGGATGACAAACAGTGTATCTCTTTATTAATTAATATTTTAAAGATCTTAAGCATCGATATAATTGTTTTGATTGATATTTAATTGAGAATCACTGATACATACATACAATGTAAAACATTTAAAGTATTCAAAATTTAAAATCTTAGTTATGTTGGAATGCCATCAATGAGTTGATAGACTGATCACTGTTTCCAATGAATGACATCTGAGATGAGGTTAAGTTCTGCATAACTGGTGGTCTGTTAGATGCCATTGGAGTTGTCATCACATTATTTGATTTAATTATTGGTCTCAATGGTGTTGGATTAGCTGTTGGTTTTGCAGTTAAATAATCGTTAAGAGGTTTAGTTGGACTAGACGTTGCATCGGTACTATTTTTCTCTGAGTGTAACTTACGAAGCACTGATGTCGGCAAAAAAGTTGCCATCGATGGTGACTTGATTGATGTGTTGCCACTATTAGGAGTATTGTTGTCCATCATTTGAAAAGCTTGTAATGTTTGAGCTTTCAGTGTTGGAGACATTTCCCGTAGTTTTCGCTCTAATAATGTTTTCTCTAACATATAGTTAGTATTGTTAATCACCTCTTGATTTGAAGGAATCACATTTGGTGGTCGACTTTGTCTCTGTCTATTCAATTGGTTCGCCATATTCTGTAAGTTCAACAAATTCAACGCTTGTTGGTGATGCTGTTGCTGCTGCTGATGTTGAATCTGTTGTTGTTGCTGATGATGCTGTTGGTGCATCTGATGTTGTTGTTGTTGCTGCTGCTGTTGGAGTTTAATTTGTTGTTGAAGTAGAAGTTGTTGTTGTTGTTGCTCTGATCTCATCATTTGCTGTGGAGGCATAACAAATACATTACCATTTCTTTGAGCTATCAATTGTTGTATTGGTGTGGAAGCATTAGATTGGTTTGAAAACTTCGACTTGTATTCCTCTTCTTTCATTAGGTCCAAAATGGTGGGAGAATTGCCGGTAATTGTTTGCTGTGTTTTAGGAATAACAATATTTTGATTATTGATGTGATAGATCTTAGTTTCATTGTTAATATGATTATCCATTCTTTCGGATGACTTTAATTGACTCTTTTTGTTCAGTTCTTGCATTATCTTTTCAAACGATTGCCTGTCATTAGTACTTTCTCTTACATGCATTGCTTTCATATTACTTTCAATATCGGCCACATTAACAAATCTTCGGGGATCAACCTTATGTGAAGTACCGATATTGGTATCATTTGATATATGATTTGGATTCTTAAGCATATTTAATAATTGTCTTTCATTTGCCATAGAAGTATACATATTGTGTTTAAGATCTGGATGTGCATTGGTTGACAATCTATTTTCGGACTCTAATTGATTAGAAGCGGATCTATCCGTTGACTTTTGTACTGTCTTTTTGTTTAATTCTTGTATTATCTTTTCAAATGCTTGTCTGTCATTATTAACTTCTTTGGCATTATTTTGCTTAAAATTTGCTTCAATTTCAGATACATTGACAGCTTTGCATAGATCCAACTTATTAGCCGACATCGTGTCCATTGACATATGAGTCATATTGTTAGCCGTAAGTAAATTCAATAAATTATGACTTCCATTATATACAGGAGTAAAGGCAGTCTGTGCTTCATTTGTATTTGCCGTCACTGGAAGACCACTATTGGTCACAGTTTTCTCTCTCGAGTCTCGAAACATATTTTGTTGAAAATTATCACAATTTTGAGCCGTCGTTTGGTTGTTTTCATTAGTTTTAAACCAGCGGTTAAATCGACTTTTTTCTGTGCGCTCACCATCAGAGTCAGTGTTGGATGAGATTCTGTTAATTGATGACATTATGTCTTTTTCATCAATTATACCATTTGTAAGCCAATCGCTATTCTTAAACAATGCATTTACATCAAAATCATCTATATTTGTGTTATTCTCTTTGTTTACTGATTTATCATTTATAATAATCTCTTGTGATTTCACTTCTTTAGGTTCTCTTGGTTTGACTTCATTTGGTTCTACAACTTGTTTAGTGTTTTTGTTGTCGGCTCTGTCATCATCTTTGAAACCTTGAAGTTCAATCTTGTCATTGATGTCAATCGACTCAGTGAACCAATCCGGTACTTCTTCCTCCTCGTGCTTATGTCGAGTATTTCTATAGTAATTATCCGATGAATTATAACTTCTCTGATACTTTCGGTCCCTATTTCTGTCATTTCTATCATTTCTATCATCCATATCGAATCGATTGTCTGAATAATCTCGTCTATCTCTTTGAACATTTCGGTGATCATATCTTTCGCGATCCCTATTACTACTATCTCTTTCGCGGTCTCTATCCCTATCATAACTCCTATCCATCCAATCAGATCCTTTATTTACGATTCTTCCGCTTCCAATACGTCTTTGTCGCGGTTGAACATCATTTTCATCTGATTTGTTTCTCTCATTATAATTCTCTCGATTTCTATCTCTTGGAACATCACCACAACCTTTATTACTGGCGGTAGTTGTTGTCGACACGTGACAGCCCGTACCGAAACTTCCTCTCTGTGGACTCAATATAATACTGTTGTCTTCATCAATCAACTTATCTTTTAAATTATTTGACTTTTTCGCCAAACTCTCATTTGCATCGCGTTTACTGTCTCTATGTTTCAAAGATGTAATTACAACCGGAGACTTACTGGACATCCATTTCTCAGGATTCCAGAGATTAGATTCAGAACTAAAAATTTAGTTAAAAATATTTTAGTTTTCAATGTTAGACATATATCGATGAAGACTTACTCAACGAATTCACTGCTCAAACAATTGGGTCGAATCCGAGACAATGGATTTGTCTTTAAGATATTATATAATTGTTCCTATATTTACAATACACTCAATAAATAAGTAATTAATATATTGAATAAATACCTTTGAATACTGATATCTTTCTTTACGACTCGATATGACCGGTGATGTGTTGTCAACGATGATGTGGTCATTGTCTTCATTACTCTTATCACTTACATCTTCGTTCAACTCTTGTCTATTATTCAGCCAATTGTCTTCATTTTCTTGTTGACCCCATTTGGCACCTATTAGTGACAATCATTTATCAATCATCTGTTGTATCAATATATATGATAATACAATATAAACCATTGTTAGTGTGATTATCTTCACGGCTTTTGTGAGGCACTTCTTGGACATTGTCTTCAAAATAATCAATTGAAGCCATTGTCTTATATTTTTTATATTAAATATAATTACAAAAAAAGTCTCTTATCTTATATACAATTAGTAACTATAATACAAATAAGTAATGAAATGAATGAATGAAAACAATGAAAGAGTGGATTCACTGAAAGAGTGGATTCACTGAAAAGTGGATTCACTGAAAATGACTAAAAAGTGTTCAAATGATTGACTTGTCGTCAGATTTGCGACAATAAAGCGATTTAATTGTTGTCAACAAATGTTATCATCAAATACTATGTCTTCAATATATACATCAAATGATGGCAAATGTTAATTGTGTGACCAATTGGTGTTAAATCAATAGTTAATTAATATATTGTTTCATCAAATTATTGGTTCATTTAGTTTGCAAAACAAATTTGAGTCAAATATTCAAACAAAATGTCAGCACTTATTATATGCGATGAAGTAATACATTCAATGCAATCAATGTATTCAATAGTACTGTATATAAGTTGAAAGCATACGAACCAATCGTATGGCAAAAGCGCTCAACACTTACAACACTAACAGTCACTTGAGTTATATGTTATTGCAATCAAACTGTTCGGTCACTGAATCACTAACTTATGAAAAATATATTTCAATATATAGTTAGTAAATGACCGAAAAAATAATACATTATATTATATTATATTAAAACTATATATTTGTCTAATTTATACTAATTATGCTAATAATACATATTAATTATTAGTCAAACATTTATCATTATATTATTATTATTATTATTATTATCGACTCAACAATATATTATCGTTTAGCAATTTGTCAGCATTTTTATCATTACATGTATTATAAGTTATTTAATTAATTTCGACATAATATTTGTTAAAATACAAGTTTTAAAAAACATTTATAAGTTTAATTAAAATATAACATTTAGTTTTATTCATATTATTTGAATTATACTTGAAGTAACTTATTTAACATTTAATGATTTTTAATAATATAGGAAATATCGTAATAAATATTAGTATCAAATGTAAGCTTTAAAATAGCAATAATTGATTCAATAGTTATTCAAAAATAGCGCCATTAAAGTACACAAAGCAATGCATTGATTTGTTTGTGTGTTAGATGTGAGGGTTTATGTGTAGCAGTCGTGGCCGAGTGGTTAAGGCGATGGACTTGAAATCCATTGGGGTATCCCCGCGTAGGTTCGAATCCTGCCGACTGCGTAAATTTTTTTTGGTCATACCTTATCGTAATTTATTTTTTTAAATAATACTATACAGTAAACACTTATTTATTTTTGTTAGACATTTTAAATGAAAAAATTATTTTACGTATTTAATAAAAAACTTAAAAATGACAATTTTTATTTGATTATTTCGATTAAATTATAATAATTCATATAATTGTATTCAAAAAACAAATATTATTGAGTAAAAGGCATCAAAAATTGTAATCTAAGCAATGATTAATCCATTAACTATTATCGACATAATGTGAAAAATATACACAATTGGTTTAATACAAATTATATATATAAACAATAAAAATATTTTTTTTATGAAATTGTGGCTCAAAATCAAGTTATGATGAGTTGAGTTATTTAAGAAATGAGAAACAGATTATATTATTTTTTATTCAGAAGACTAGGCGTTAACTATTTGTTTAAAAGTTAATTTGATTTGAATTATTAAAAATTATTAGAAAATTTAGTCTAAAGTTTTATGAAGAGCCTATTTTTCATTTAGAAACTTATGATTATTCAATAGATTAAAAGGAATGACCATTAGGTATATATATATATATGCGGTAAATAATTGTCATTACAAATTGAATATTATTATTATATATAATTAAAATAATAATTTAAATAATTTGAGTTAAATGTCACATAATTTTTGCTAAAAATTGTAATCCTATCCTATCTGTGAGTAATCCTATCGCCTCTAGAAGTCGATGGTAATAACGAAGGATGCGCGAGAAAATCAATGTTTTGGTCGTTCATATGAGGCACAAATGGTGGTATCTGAACACCGCCTAAATAGCCATCAAAATAATAATTAATTATTAAATACATTTATCCGTATTTATTATTATTATTACATACCAGTGAGTAATCCGTTGTCAACGTTTGCATTGATGGCAGCATTTGCTGAATTATTTCTTGCTCTTCTACTACTTTGTGGAAAATTTCCAGTTTGGACACCACTAGCCACAGGAGTAGCACTACCAGGAGTGCCGCCGCCATTGCCACTAACGGTCGTACCATTTCTGGTCAGATTCAATGCATGTGAATGATGTGATTGAATGTGATTATTGGCCGCTTGTGGTGTTGATTGAGGCAATCCTGTGCTTTGGTTCTGAAGCTGACGGTCTCCGTTTGTGCCATCAATTGCATTGTGAGTACGATTCCCACCCTTTCATCAAATTTAGTAATCATTATTTATCATAATTTCAATTGAAATGTAATTAAAATATACAACTATTATTACGACTACCGGTATATTCAATAATGCATTTTCTAATATTATGTTATCCTAGAAATCAATCAAATATACCCTAATCATCGTATATAGTATTATCAAATATGGATAATGAAATACATTTACTGATAACATTTGAAATTACAATTTGAAATCAATGCTAATAAATTAGTTTCATTAAAAAATAATTATAATAAAGTACATGCACTGCAACAGAGTGATCGATATAAATACTATATATATAACTTATATTAATATATATGTAAATAAAATGGTAATAAACAATACATACAAACTTTAACATATTCCAGTCAAACACATAATCATAAGTAAATCCTTGTCTATGAAATAGATTTCTCAACAATTGTCTTAAATAAGAGTAATCAGGCTTTTCATCAAATCTGAGTGTTCGGCAGTAACTGAGGTAAGAGGAGAATTCTGCCGGAAATCCACGACATAGTTCTTCAATAGGAGTTGACATCTTTTTCTCACTGATTCGCTCATACTTTTGTCGTTTGGTGGCCGCTCTCAATCCTTGCCACGGAAGGCTTCCTCTATTGAAATACATCAATACGTAACCCAACGACTCCAAGTCGTCCCGACGGCTTTGTTCTAAATATAAAGCAATTTATAACACATTCACATCAACACAAATGTTGTGCATAACTCGTACCGATTCCCAGATGAGTGTTAATGGAAGCATATCTGGCGGTTCCCGTCAGGTTCTTGTTCTCCCTGTACGGGATGTGGGCATGTGTTCGGGTATCGCGATATTTCTTTGCCAAACCAAAGTCTATTATATAAACCAGATTTCCCTTCTTTCCCAAACCCATCAAAAAATTATCCGGTTTTATGTCTCGATGTATGAAATTTCTGGTATGAATAAACTCAATACGACTGATCTATTAAAGACAAAGACACAATTGTGACACAAAAATGTTTCATCTCAATTGTTTCAACCAATTTTACCAATTGATCAGCTAATAGAAGAACTGTCTTAAGGCTAAACTTTCGACTGCAAAAGTTAAACAAATCCTCAAGACTTGGACCCAACAGTTCCATAACCATAACATTGTAGTCACCCTCAGTTCCGCACCATTTGATTACAGGTATGCCAACTATTAATCAATAATTAGTGCATTAATTTAGATAAATGTTAACACGTGTTGATAATACATACCTCCGCCGGACATTTGTTTATAAAATTTGCTTTCGATGTGCAGTTGCGGGTGCTTTGTCTTAATGCACTCCAGTTTGATGGCCACCTCCTCAGCTGTTGTAATATTGGTGCCTAAGATAGGTCATTGATCCAATTCATTCATATAAGTAATAACATTTATAAATAGTAAAACAATAGTCTAGACATACCGAGATAGATGTCCCCGAAGCTGCCCGACCCGATTTTGCGGCCCAACCTGTATTTGTTACCGACTCGCAACTCCATTGTTATGTTGTGGTCGACTATAAATGATACATAATTATCAAATTGGATGACAATTAGGTGATAGTTGTATGGTTTGGCAGTGAAGACTTTGGTGATGGTATTGTTGGTCAGTTTGTGGACACTTGTGGTCACAAACACAACACGTATTGCGTTATAACTGAGTTGTGTTTGTCTGTCAGTCAATGAATCACTGCTTTTAACACAACTATTAAATGCTATGTCTTATGGCTATCGAGTCACTCAACTCTACAACAAATACATTCATAACATCACATATAATATGTTTCAATAATATATATAATATATACTACTTATAACTCATTCATATATACTAACTATATATATATATATATATATATATCTATATATTAATAAACAATTGTATATACAATTGATTTCTACTATAATTACAATCAAATATAAACCAAAACAATGGTTTGATTTAAAATGATTGTCCAAACAAACAATATTGACCTTCAAATCAATACATTATAACACATCAGACATTCAATACATTTGACGTTACTTTTGAATCATTGATTGCATTTGATTTCATTGTCAATGCATTCAATCAATACCATTGACTATCAACACAATCATCACAACATCACTTCATTTGATCCACAACTGCATCATTTCTTACACCAAAAGCGATGGACAAGTATTAATATACTTTGATTACCATTTGTTTCACATTGATTGCAATTAATTGATTGCAGAGGAAGTAGTAATACTACGAAAAAGATGACGAAAAGTGAGGCCAAAGCAAATGCAACGACAGCCACAACGGCTACAACACCGACGGCAACAACTTTGACCACATCTTTGAGTAATAAGTCGACTCCAAAGGATGCTATGATTGTCACACAAATACTTAAAGATATGGCGATCACTGATTATGAACCGCGAGTTATCCACCAAATGGTTGAGTTTACATACCGTAAGTTAACTATAAATTGTTGATTATTGATGACATTGTTAACTGATATTATTGGACAATAGGTTATGTGTCGAATGTATTAGAAGACGCCCATCTGTTCTCCTCTTATGCTAAGAAGAAAGCCATCGATGCGGATGACATTACTCTCGCTGTTCAGCTTCAAGTGGACAAAGGCTTTACAGGTCCGCCACCAAGAGATCTGTTACTGGAAATCGCTCGCACAAAGAATAACCAGCCGTTGCCTACCATTAAGTCGCATAACGGACCCCGACTTCCGGCCGATCGATACAGTCTTATTGCATGCAATTATAAACAAAAATCTAGTAAATCAAAGACTCAATCGCGACCATCCATTACCGGTACATCACTTCTTAACTCTAACAATAACGGCTCTGCTATCAAATCCATGTCTTTAACACAAAGAATTACTGGTAATTCATCCGGTCTTACAATTAAAACATCAGATCCTCAAAGTTTGAAGAGAAAGTTAGACGACTCGTGATTGTTGTTGTATTCCTGTAATTGAATTTTCGTTTATTTTAATTAATTGTCTAATGGTTTTTGCCATAATTTCTAAGTGTATATCATATGTTAAAAAATATATTATAAACTATTGCTCATTACTACAGATAATGCCACTTAAAAGTTTAAATTTGAATAATATCGTGTTCATTTAACTTTATGCTAAGCAAGCTAACTTAGTATACATTTACCTTATATTAGGTAAGTTATATAAAGTACCTTGCTAACTCATTACATAATATTACTCAAATTTAAACTTTTAAGTGGCATAAACTGTATAATATTGTATAAAATATAAATTTAATACTTTGCTATTAATTAATAATAATAAATTTAATTAAGTTATTTTAAACTTTAAAATTAAATAACGTATTACAAGTAAATTAGAGATAAATTGTGTGCTTAAAAAATGATAATACATTGATAAAACATACTATTTATATATAGTATATTGTTTTAAGCTAAGAAAAAAGAAAGCGCCCGAGCAGGGGCTCGAACCCTGGACCCTTAGGTTAAAAGCCTAATGCTCTACCGACTGAGCTACCCGGGCTCTTATTGATTTTTAATATCAGTTATTGAAAGCCATTATTAAATCATATTATTTTGTAAGCAAATATAAATTCTTAATAACATTTAATACATTATTATGTATACTATTTTCAATAAATAAATTATAAAAGCATTTATTATAAGTTTTTTATATTATTTAAATTTGTATATATATTTATAGACTATTAATTTATTAGATAAAAAATTTATGCAAATTTCAACAATACACACAAATACTTACATAAAATACTTGTATATAAATCTATAAATATCTATTAATAAAAGTAGCAAATAATTTAAATTGATAGTTTAAGTAAAAACTAAAATTTTTAAAAATACAATTACTGTACTACAGTATATACTGTATATATGATATAAATTTAATGTTGATAATTTTTTCTTTAAAAAATTAATTTAAGTTCAATGTATATAACAATAATGCCATCCATTGGCTTAAGAAATCTATCAATAATTTCTAAAATTATATATTAAATTAGTAGATTTTAGTCTCAAAAATAGATTTTTGTTGTAATTATTTGGCATAATATTAATATTATATCTATTAAACAATTATAAAGCTCTCAAACGACATAATACTCTTAAAAATTGTCTAAAACGGCGAATTCATTCCCAGTTTGGTTCCAAACTCGAGTCGTGCCCTTCGCTGTTGACGGCAATAGACTCTGAAATTATCCAATAATTAAAGTACTATTTATTTCAAATAAAATTAATAGTTAAATGTATACTTGATTTCATGTCTTTTAGTTAATGTATTGATTGAAATGAGAGGAAATGGCCATAAAAAGCCCAGACACCAAACATAAGCCGGAATGGAAGAGACAAATTCTATGACAACACGTGTTGATCGCACGTAAATACTAATTTCAATAATACAAAGCAACGCGTGACTCATTATCAGTGATAATGATATAAATATCCACCACTTATTAGTCAATGGACTTCTTTGCCAAATTAAATGATTTCGATGAACAAAACCAATTGATATGATAACTGAATGAAACTATCATTTAGTAAAACTTCAATAAATTAATGTTTTTAAAAAAATGTTAATAACCTATATATAAAACTAGAAACAGTGAGGCAATGGTCTGACCAATGATTAGATGAGAGGCCCAAAAGTAGTCGGTGTCTGATGTGGATGTGTTAGCTCTACAGTCATATTACATATTATTAGAAATATTTAGAAAATCATTAAATAATTATAAAATCATTTGTTTGATCTCACTTGACATCACTAAACATCCAACAGGGACCTGCTGTTAGTTGTCCCACAGGTATACCACCACATGAGTGTCCAATTATCAGACCAAAACAAAGAACACTTACCAATACAGACGGTGCAAATTTTATGAGATAACACATAAAAAAGTAAACTACACTCTATAAGTGATAAATAAAATATTATAATTATTTATATAATAAATCTTAAAATAACTATTTGTGTTCATTAAAAATAAAACCTCTTTATTTAAATGTAATTTCTTTCCCGTAGCGATAGTCATTACTTTATCGTCCACTTCAGTAGCCATGAGTGATGAACTAAGAATAGGAAGAATAATACAGGCCAACCATAAGACAACTCCTGATGATAACAGTGGCGGTAAAAATAATAATGAAGTTAATAGTTGGGCCAAACTTAGGCTTAGACACGAGCCAAGAAAAAATTGAAAACTATTTCTCATTTTTAACATATAATCGCGTGATTCAAGAATCAGCTGATAAAAGATCATTGAATTTTGACGATACAATGATAAAGAACAGGGAAGTGTTATTAGTTGTCGGGCCAAATCGGTCGGTCCAATAAAATTTTCGGGAAGAGATTCAATATATCCATCAGCTTCCTTAATGGGTTCTGTTATACAAACTTGTGGATACATGGGTTCAACACCAATACTAATAATAATAAAAAGATGATTTAACAGTCAGTTTGTAAATACTGTATTATTATAAACATATACCTGGCATCTGCCTGAAGAAATATAGGAATGTTAGCAATATTGGCGGCACTGCCTATAACACAGACAACTTCTCCGTATTCCTGCATAATTTGAATCATTTCTTTAGTGGCCGATGGATCACAATCAGTGAATAGTGAGACCAAAAGTGGAACGTTATCGACATTTTCAAGATGTGGTCTTATGTTTTCAATGCCTTTTGGAAGTTTTGCCCGATTAGACATATCAAATGCAATGGGAGCCGAGTTTTCAGTCCCGGTGCTCGTTGTGATTCTACTGGGAGAGGGAGACAAATTGGATGTGGCTTTACTCATACGCCGACTTTCGTTACTGGATGTTCTTTCCAGAAGTGCCCCGTTATCTGCATTGATCTCATGTTGACTGCCATCAGAAATATTTTCATCAATTCCCTCAATATCACAGTCATCTGCAAACTTAACGGTTGAGATTTCAAGATTAACAGATCCCGGAGCACTTTGAGACCGACAAACAGTTGCATTCATTGTTATAGTTTGTGATTCTTGTATTAACGATAAATTTGAGCCTTTAAACGGTTGATTTGTACCTAAATTACAATCACTGTGTATGTCATCATTTAGTAGAGATATGTGACAATTCCAGCCCGACTCGAGTCCCATCTTCTCGGAAAAGACACGACTTCTTAGTTCATTCTCTTTGGAGAAGTGAACAAAACGGATACAAGCTTTGGATTAAAGAAATTTGTTTAAAAAATCAATTTAAATGAAACTATTATTTAATAGACAAATACCGGCTTCAAGTTGTTCGACAAGTCTGACAAAGTCAGAACAGGCCTGATATTGCATTGTCGTCATTCCAATAAATACTTCATTACTCATTTGATGCATAAGAACCTCTATATGATAGGTATCATTGGATGAATTAGAAGCTGAAGACTTTGGTCTATTGGATCGGTGGTTAATGTCATCATATTTTGTTAATGAATCAGAACTCAAGTGGTGGCCGTGAATAGCATTTTTTGTGGCCGAAAATTTTTCGCTCATAACTTGTAAATGGTTTGAATGCTCTGATGACCGAAAACTCGAATCTAAGCTCTTTTGTGAAGGAAATAAATGACTTGAATCGGGAGTTAATTCAATGTAACAATCATTTAGAGTAATTGTTTCCTGAATTGAATTGAGAGGAACGTATGAAAATGCTGTACAATAAGAGATTAAACTACTTCTGTGATAAAAATCAAGAATTCTTTTGCGATCTGAGTCCGTGAGAACACAGAGGTCATGTCCGTCCCAATACTCACTACAAGCATCTAATATAAGATCTCCAGTTCCCTGAGAAAATATTTGATTGGTATTTGAATAGATATCTTTAATTACAGCTGAAGTCATGTTAGGAAATGGCATTTTAAGTCGTGGAAAGTTAAGACTTTTGGCAAGTTTTCCCTTTTGTATAACTTCTGGTCTAATATGTCTAAACATTGCAATTTGAGAATTATATTCATAGCCTTTGATGGCATTTTCGGTAAATCCTATCTGTCGGGCCAATTCACATAAACATCTCTTATTGACTACAGGAACAGCTGCTTCATTATGTAGTGATTCACAGGTCACGTGATCACAGAATTGGATAAATTCTTCCTGAGCTTCTTGATTACACGTATTGAGCAAAATGGCTAATCCAAGAGGTTTTAGATTTGGTAAATATTTGTGCCATTCTGTGTCATCAAATTGTAATCCATAAGCGTTATGTGGATCATGTGTTATATCTAATTGTATGCAATCGGCCTTTGAGTTTGACATTAAGGCTAAGTAAAGAACAATCATTTTAAGATAAAAACCAAATCAAATCTATTTTAATAATTACAGCTCTTATGCTTTCTTTTCTTCCTTTTATGATATGAGTGGTTCTCAGAATTGTCTGAATCGTCATCCGAGTCGCTATCACTTTCTTCATGTGAAACGTTTTTATTTTGTTTATTATTTTTTGAGGTAAGGAAGTATACCTTATCAACTGTAGGGTTAGGCCACGAAAGGATACCTTTTTTGTCTACACAACAAAACGCTGTAATACTTCCCAAAACATGCAATAAGTTAGCGGTTCTCCAAAGGTTTGTATCATTGCTTGAAAGCAATTCTTTCATTTTTAATATCATATCAAAACAACTTAATTTTGAATCAATAAGAGGAACGTTAGATCTTTCAGAGTCCAGTTCTTCCATATAAAACTCTTTATTACTTGACTTAAAATACTGTTCTTTATTTCTGCCAATATTACTGCCGGTTAATATACTTCCAGGACTTCCCTGAATGTTAGTAATGTCTTGTTTATCAAAATTTGAGGCACAGATTTGAAATAAATGCGATAAACCATAGACATTGAGCAATAGCCAACATAGAGGCAGTGCTAATGGAAGAAGTGGCAATATTGCCATAACAGGTCTTAGCAATAATAATGTAATAGATGCCGACCAAGTGGTCACCGTTTCGTCGCCCAATGACTCTAAATATCCGTAATGAATGGCACTGACTATCATAATAACGCTCCAAATAATAGGTATTATAAGTCTTTCAATGTATTTATAAAATATTAAATTCAATTCCTTCTCAAAAGCGGTGGCGAACTTTCGGGTCGATTGGACAGAAATGGCTGTTTTGAGATCATTTATAAATGGCGTCTCGAGTAACACAAATTTCATGGCTTTGGCAGCTTTTCGCAGACGTGGTGTTGTGAAAGAGTCGGGTGCACTGCCAGCACTCGGTACAAACAAATCACCAATATTTAGACAATAGTCACTCTTGGATTCAGAGAATGTGTGATTAGCATGACTTTGATTTGCAGCTATATTTTCAATGGATCGACATTTAGCGGGTGCAGCCCTACCGGGACTCAGAAGAATGACATCTCCCGACACTAGCAGTGGAGTCGGCAAATTGATCCGTTTGCTATCCCGATAAGTCCATTGAAGTGAAATACACGGCGAATAAGGAGTGTTTAAGTTCGGGTAATATCGCAATGATTTCCACAAATCAATCAATTGTTGGTCATTATAACTCTTGATCTGTTTTGATAACAGTTTAGCTTTGCGTTGGATCTCTAGATGTCTTGTTTTTGTGTTCCAAAAGGTGATCACTATATTGAAGACTAGAATGACTGCCAAAATCGTGGCCTCAATGAAGAGGGGAATACTGGACGTGAAGTGGCCGTAAGCGTAGGCCATGTAATAGACAAACGTTGAATACAAGAGCAATACAATCGATGTCCACCGGAATGTCGAACTCATACTCGAGTGACCAAAAGATTGCCGAAACACATACCGAAATGTCTCACTACTCTTGGGCTTCACCTGACAATTGACAATATCGTCAACAATCGTATCAAACATCTAATGAATGATAAATATCATCAATTAAGACATACCTGACATTCAGTCAACTGTTGATCTATTTGTTGGTAAAGCTTTTTGAGTGCCTCTTCTGTGGTCAGTCCCACTCGTGTCCGACGGGTCTCGTCAGTCATCACAGGTATGAGTTTGGGATCAGATATGATAAGTGATAGTTAAGTGATAGTCAATGTAAAAGTGTTGTAAATCGTCTGATAAATCCATTTATGACTTTTATTATCGCAACCAAAACAACCAAAACATTAATGTTTTCATATGTTTTGACATAACGTTTGTATTAAGTATTACTATTAATATCATATAATACTTCACACATTCATTCAATGACTTTATATAACTTTATACATGTTTTTACTCTATAACTGTATATTAATATAATTTACAGTAATTTATAGATAAATAAATAAAATTATTCATTGCATTGAATATAATATTTCAAATTATTTATTAAATAATACTTATGTACAGAAAGTTTTAATTATATAAATTATATAATATTTTATAATCAATATATTTTCTATATAATATATATATTTATTTACTGTATATACTGTAGTTTAAATGTTTTAAAAAATTAAAAATAATTGATCATTGAATATATTTTTTTGATATACAGTATATATATATATATATTTAATACAATACTATTTCATTAGGAATTAGACAAATAGGAATTTCAAGGATTTGTTACAAAACACTTAAAATAAACACAATATTGAATGTCATGTATTATTACTATTATTACATTGTTTTTTAACTAATAGTGTACTTAAATATAACTAAAGCTATTTTTGCGTTAAATCCAAAAAATCAATGGATTAAAAATTAAATATTTCTACAGTTATATAATAAAGTTATAACTTATAAGCGTTTATAATAAAGTTATCTAAAAATATATATATATATATATAAATTTTATTGAAATAAATGTTTCTAATTAATATTTTATATTTAATTTTTAAAAATATGAATAATGATTTTGATAAATTTTATTATATTCTAACTGTAAATATAATAATTAGGATAATTGTTAAATATAATAGTTTATATAACAATATTATAATAGCATATACTTTTAAAACAAATTTTATATAATTTCTAAGTCTTAAGCCTTCAAATAATTATTGAATTATTAATAATTATAAAAATTGTATAATTCAACTAATATTGTAATTATCAACAACTAATTGTTAAAATTATATCATAACCAGGGTTTTAAAAATGGCAGGCATAAACAATAGATGCCAATTTTGCCAAATGTCTGCCCTGCCTCTGCCATGCCCTGGGCATCTATTTTCAGGTGGTGACACCTATTATTTTAATTTTATATTATTAATTAATTTATAAAACATTGTTTTTATAATATATTTTCTTGTATTTTTGTTTTGTATACCTTTAAATTAAAAGGTAATATCATTGGAAATAAGTAAATTAATTGTAAATTTAATTAACACGTTAAAATACTAAATTACATTATTTTTATAAATACAGTTGCTTTTTAGCAATTTAAATTGGCAGGCAAATAAAATATATGCCCAAAATGCCAGGCATTTATGGCATCTATTTGGGCATTGCCAGGGCAGGCATTTATTTTCTTAAAACCCTGATCATAACATATTAATTTGCTATTAAATATCTCAAATTCTACAGTATATTGAATAGAAAATTTGTTTAAATGAATGATTTATTTTAGATTAAATATAGAATCCAATAAATTTAATTATTTTATCAAAAATCTAGAAACCTATTTTAGGAAATTTTAAAATTAAAGATTTTCATATTTATATAAATTTTACTATATATCTAGGTAATTCACCATAAATCATGCAACATTACCTAGTTTATTTTGGCATTAATAGAATTTTGTAGTTTTCAAGTTATTGCACATTTCTATTTGAAATGCAAATTGTAGAAAATTTTAGTTTAGTTAACTTTATCAAATATATATATTTTATTAAAATTTTTATCATTATTTATGGTACCAATTTTATCTTATAATAGTTATACAATAGTAATATTTTCATAATAAAATAATTAGATGGTATCAGGTAAGCATAGGTAATAATTACTGTAAAGTCAATTTAATATACATATAAAAGTAAATAAATATGTTTTAAAAATATATAAATATAGACAAAAGAAATATTTTATAACTATTTGATATTTTATAATAACTTAATAATACAATAGTACATTTGTAGTTATTTAATATAATAAAATTTGTTGTCTATCTATATTTTTCTAGTGATTAAGATAATATATTACAGTATATTACTTGTACTAAATTAAGTCATTTATAATAGGTTTAAGATATAAGTGTTTAATATTAAAATAAAATATTTTTATTTATAATATAAATTTATGATTATATATCCTTAATATCACAATTTTGCAGTATTATATAAATATACAAAATACAAATTACTTCATTACAATACCAAAAAGCTTGTGTTGTTTGTTGAAAAATATGTTATTCATTATCAATAACATAAACATAAACTAAAATATATTTTAAATAATTTTTAAAAACAAATATATTACCTGTAAATTTCAAATCCGATATATGGGTTAAAAATTTTAAATGCAATATTGAGTTGACTAAATATAGTAATTTTTGAATCACATATACCCTAAATGAACCTACTGTAGTAAATCCAAATAAAACAATGATATTATAATAAATAAATTACTAAAATATTTTATCGATGCTATCAAATGTTAATAGACATTAATGGTTATGTTTAATAGATGTATATAATTATTAATGATTTTCGTTACGTAAAACAAATCCTTCAATAAATGTCATTAAACAATGTAAGGAAAAAATTGACTCAAATAATTGTATTAATAATCTTTACATTTATTTTTGTTGATAATTTTACTTTTATTTATTTAATAGAATAGAAATACAATAATTGCTATTAATATAACATTAGTTGAAAATTAAATAATTTTTGATTTTTCGCTGATATTTACTTTATCATTGCCTATAATATAAGATGAAAACAAAATTTTAAATAAAATACAGTAATTAAATATAACCAGAAAAATCTAAAAAAAGTCAAATATACCGATAGTATGATCTCGTTTATGATGTGATTGGTGGCCATATAAACCATTAATCTTGAGAAGTGCGTCAGGAGATGGATCTCTTCCTAAAAATTTTCTAAATCTCTCTTCGCTATTATAACTATTGCCTTGAATAAGAAACGCCTCCTTAAAACGGTCGCCCACTTTGGTGATAACGTTTTGATCGTCAAGTCCTGAGTCTTGAAATGCTTGAAATGTGTCTGAAGCTAACATCTGTAAAAATTTTAATTAATAATTTACCGGTAATACAAAAATTTCATGTTTTGAAAAAAAATAAAATATTATACCTGAGCCCACTTATGTGTGTAGTAAGCGGCAGGAAATTCATCAGAGAATATAGCTTTGAAAGAACAGGGATGAGTATCCAGTTTATCTCTAGTGAATGGTGTCATATATTCGTCCCAAACTTCATCCTTTATGTTTAACCAAAACTCTTTACTTGAATATAGAGCTAAGTCGAGAGTCATTTTGTAAATTTCATGTTTAAAATCAAATGAAGCAAAATGATAGTGAGCTAAATAAATATATAAAACCATTAAATTTTATATTATTTTATAAATAATTAATTTATCTCATGTTTTAATAAAACCTTTTCTTATTTTGTCAAACTCTTGTTCAGGAAATGGCGAGCCATCGGTCACATGACTACTGCACGAAGATATGACTGCATATGAATTCAAAGGCCAGAGAGCAAAGAATTCAGACATAAAATGAATGACATCCCACTCAAGGTTTGCTAAACCACTGATTTCATTATATTTTATGTCAGTTAAAGAATTTTGCAAAATAAGACCAAACTTTAGAAAAAATAAATATTAAAATTGCAAAGTTTTACTCTAAAATCATATGTATTTAAAACCTGTTTGAATAATATTATAATTTGAGAGAACGATAATTGAGTCGACTGTCCCTTAACTAAAGGTTTGTCAAAATTTGTAATAAAGAAAGACATCGGTTTGGTTTGTTGGGAGTGACAGTGATTGAGAGCTAACTCTACATAAGACATATTTTTCTTAGAATTTAGTCTGGAATATGGATCCAATAAAAATGAGGCCACAATTCCAGTATTTGGCGATAATATTCTAAAAAGTCGGACGTCTTCATGCCATCCATTAAACTGTGGTTTCATAACTTCTTCAATCTTAATATTAAACAAACGTTCGGCCAAATTAAACAAACCATTAAATACAGAATCAGTTGTAAAATATTGTTTAACAGTTGTGTCTTCAATATCATACGTAGATTTTAATAGTTTTCTTTGCCAATACGGTAGATCCCAGAGCTCTACTTTATCGGCATCAAAGCTACCACTGTTTCGGGCAAATTCATTCAACTCTTTAAGATTTGCATCAAATGCTAATTTACTTTTCGAGTGAAGAGTTGTTATAAAATTCTTAACATTCTCTAAATTTCGAGCCATTTTGGTCTCCATCGAGAGCTCAACATAGTTGTCATATCCAAGAACTTGTGCCTCATTACGACGTAATCCTCTAATTTTTTCAATACAAACACTATTACTTAGTCGGCTGTCATTAAGAGGTGATCCGCGAGAATTATAAGCGATCCACAAATTCCATCGCAACAGTCTGTCCGGACAGTACTCCATAAATGGATTAAATACTGATGAATGCAATGTTACGGTGGCGTTGCTGTGACTGCCAATTGAAGCAATCAGTTCATCGGGTAAGACCTGCAACAGCGCCGGATCATCGATCGCATGACTAAATCGTTTGGTGGCTTCGGTTAAATTGTATTTATATTTTGTTTTTTCTTCTGACAATTCTTTATGTATTTCATTTAATGCCGACAATTCATTTGTCGATAGATTGGCTCCAAAAAGTTTGGACTCCAAGAGATACTTATCCACAATCTTCTTCTGTTGATTATTAAGTTTATCTCTGTTTGAATTGATTTCACGCATATAGTAATAAATGGGTTGACTTAGAAAACGTCGGATTTTTAGCTCTTGAATTCTGCTGAAGAATTGATTGAAATACTTAAAACCAAATGTATTTTTGTCGACATTCTTCAATGTCCTCAATGTAGACAATCCGTAATCTAATGAAACCAATCGGTCTTCAATTTGTTGTATCGTTTCATCCAAAGATATGTCAAAATTTTCTGAGAATTCATTTATAAATTAATTTTAATTAAAAAAGTTATCAAACAATTGTACAAACTTTCATCAAATCTTTGCTCTAAAGAGTTGATACACCACTCAAACTCAATGGACATCTTTGATATCGCTTTCACACATTTTTCGGCCGAAAGTTTTGAAAAGTTGGTCACAGAGTCGTTAATCGGTATACGCAACAACTCGTTGGTCTCGGATGTGTCCGACGGTATATCAGGAAATCTGGTCAGCGGTTAAAAACTATTTAATGTTTTAGTTTTCTTTAACGTAATACAAGTAAAACATTGTTTCAATAAAAAATAATTACAAGACATAAATCCCGGGTTTTGATCGTTTCAGACCAAATAAGTGTCGTTTGCATTGAAATCGGGTCCAACTGTTGGCCACAAGTCGGACACATTTGCCGTTCAAACCAAACGCAGCCATAATTGGCATCAAATTGACAATAATTTAATCAATTATTTAACATTTGTTTCAAAATCAAGTATTTATTGTTTACTAAAAAAAATCTAAAATCATATGTTTATTGTATTTAATGTTTTACACAAAAGTCTCCTTTTGGGGAAACAAATGGTTTTAAACATATATTACTCTATAGAAGTCACCACTTATTTTGAATGTAATTATCAAAGTTATCAGTTATGACTATACTATCAATATTTTGGAGTTTAAATTATCATAAATAGTAAGTAATGAAAAAATGGGATAAATAGAAAAATGTAATTTTTATAATTTAATACAGTATTACTAGTTTAATCATTAATCAATATGTAAATTAATTTTTACAATAAGTAATTTGTCGGATACTGTCAAGTGTATAAAATTATGATACAAATATTAGGATATACTGTAGATTTGTGTAATAATTAAAAAAAAATTATTGTTTTTCTAATGATTTATCAATTAAATAAAAATCTTAATTTTTTTTGAAATATCAATTGTTTAGTTATGACTAATAAAACAATTAGTCAACAAATTAAATAAATTAATTTATTAGTTATTCAATTATAATAATTCCTGTAATACAGTTTATACACTTTATATTTATATTATATAAGTATATAATATAAATCAAATTAATGTTAAATTATTTTAGCAAATATATGCCACTTAACATTGTGCCATATAATACAAGATATTTAAAATTTTACATTTTATTTTTAAAAAGAAATCTACTGTACAATACATAAATATATTTATATTTATATATAATATATATCGGCATTTTTGTAATAAATTAGAAAAGCTATGGATAAAACATGATAATGTTAAATATATATTGAGTAATAATTTTGTGGTAATAATAATAATAATAAATACATAAAATTTGATTGTTTTATTTGCTGTTTTAATGGTATTTTTACAAAAAGGCATTAGAATTGCAAACTATTTTTTTGACTACAAAACTAAATATATTTGAATACAATTTTTATGATTTTTGTTTTGAAAATTGATGGTAAACTCAACAACAATATTTCGGTCAATAAACTCTTGTATATAATATAATATTTATATTAATATAAACTTATATTGTTGTATATATATTATGTAAATGAAAATATTGTCATTTGCATTATATTTTATTACACATTTAAAATATTATTTATATTTTTCTATTATCATTATATATCACTTTTGCTAAATATTAATGATTAAAAAACTGATAGTTTGCAGAAAATCATAAACAATTTAAAAACAAATATGTTTACAAAAATTTTATTTTGTTTAAAACATTTAAACACTCAATTTTTAAACTCAATTAATATAATTTCTAGTTAATGCTAATTTAAATTAAGTATTTAAATACCTTACATAAAAAAATATAATTTCTATTATAAAACATTAGTTTATTATTTATAAATATTTAGTGAAATTGATTTTTAATAACATAATAAATTATATGAAATACTATTTTGAAACAGTTTACCATTAAAATTATTGAAATGCTGTTCATATAATTATTAATAATATTGTTAAACGCATAAAATAATAGTTTGGTATTTGATTTTGAAATATTGTTAATATTTAATAATATCACAGATGTTTTACAAGGGCTTATAATTTAATATTAGTTGTAAAACCAATTTTGCTTTTAAAATCAATAAATTTCTCAAATGACAAATTGTAGGTTAGTTTTATGCCCAGCAGTGGTCTAAATGTCAAATTTTGCAAATATATATATATTTATACGTATATAAGCCATCATTTCTCTTATTACTAATTTTAGGGCTATTATTGAGTTGCCTGTCCTCAACAAGTTATGCATTCAATTTAAAATACCAGTGCCCGACCCATAATCATATCTATGGCTATATAACAACTAAACAACTATTTATCAATAAATACATACTGAGGACAAAGTCTTATATATTAGACTATAGACTAAGGCATAGGAATTGTAAATTCACTCAATGTATTCACTCAATGGATTTACTCTCAATGTTTATAACTAATTATTACTGAATTTTAGATTATATAGAGTGACCGTAATATTAGTACAAACATTCAACTCATACTAAATAATGTGCACTGAATTTAAAACAGTAGAAAGACATACACAGAAATAATGGGGGAAAGAAAGAGAGAGAGAGAGAGAGAGAGAGAGAGAGGAGAGAGAGAGAGAGAGAGAGAGAGAGAGAGAGAGAGAGAGAGAGAGAGAGAGAGAGAGGGATGGAAAAGAGAGAAATATATATATATATATATATATATAATATTAAATAAATTTACTTAACCACCAATTACTTTACTATTGACTGTTGTTTTTTTTATCAATAAAACAATTTGTGGACAAATTTGTATTTGCATTATAAAGAAATATTATGTTATGCTAACGATTATTGAATGCATAGAATTATATTATGAATTCAATAACATAACCACTTATTTGCCTATTTATGTGATGTTTTTATAAACTATGTTTACAATTATATATACTAAATTATATATATATATATATATAAATTAGTATATATAATATATAAATAATATGCATAAAAAATTAATTAAATTTAAATTTTTGTTGTTGATAAAAAATTTAATTTATTATAAATGGGAGATACAATTTATTTAATAGTCAATAAATGTGTTATTGTAAATGTGTTACATTATGTGTTTGATAATAAAAATAGCGATAAAACAAAAGTGGAGCAAATATAATAAGTTACAAATTATAGTATTTGTTTACATATAATATTTATTTAAACAATATTTGTTGTATTATTTATTTATTTATTTTATATTTTATTGTTATTATTTACTATAGTATGTATGTAATTGAAGACTAAGCTTATGAACAATTATGGGGCTCTAGATTTGGGCAACAAATCTAATAATAGGTCTGACTTTTGATGAAATTAATGATCGTTTATATCTTAGGGCCGAAATAACGATAGATTGTTATCCATAAGCTTTTATAGATGTATAGACACATCAAAACACATTAAACACTTATATTCTATAGTACAGTATATTCTATATATTTCTATTGCTTATTTCATTTGACTTTGTTTGTGGACTATAATGCCTTTTGATTGAAATGCTTATAGTTTTTTATTTTATGGCTGAGCATTGGGCACTGGCATATAGTGATGGTACCGGCACTGCTATGACTGGACACCTGAGGCAATGGTATCAATTTGACAAACTAGGAGCGGACATATAAAAATTGTTTACTATATAATAATCTAATAATAAAAACACAAACAAATATTATTTAATGGTTTCAAAAATAAAATTAATAGATTTATTCAAATAATAGATAATTTGATTGAATTCCACAATTCATTACATGAGATCACCATAAATAGGATACTTTGATAACATTGAATTTACACTGAAATTAATATTTGTAAATACATTACTTATACATTTAAGTATAGAGTATATATATATATATATATATATATATATTGTATTTATATATTTTTGTATATACCGGTATATATATATATGATTTGATGCACTTAAGGCCCATAATAATGATGATCCGGTGCTAAGTATGTGTTTATTGTATAAATCAATAGAAAATAGTTTGTCTGATATGTTAGCGATTGGGTCTTATGTACACAACATATAAGACAAGTGGTAATTAAATAAATTATAAATCAAAAAATTATAAATTGAAATTAGTTTTAAAGCAATTTGTGTGGAGACTAATGCACGGAGTGTTGAGTTTGTTTTAACCTTAAGGCTCAGTGAATATTATATAAAATTATATCGTATTATAAGTTATATATTGAATTGAGAAAACTTATAAAAGATGTGAAGCATTGGCCATACAATACATTTCACTAAACAAATGGCTTTTCTCAGTGAAAAACATTGCAGAATGCGATATAAGCTTACGATAAGAAACTAATTTGTGATATCAATCCCTTCAAAATGTTGGATAATTTTTCACGATTTGCTTTGAGGCCCAATACTAATCATTTGATTTGCCTCATGTTTGGCACTGTTGGCTCCATTGGTACTCTCAAACTAATAAGACTCACTCATATTGGGTTAACGATACCAATGTTGGGCTAATTTTAGTAATTCAGTGCAATAAATAATAGCAGTGATGCAAAAAATATTGAATTCATGCCGTATTCATTAAATTGTTGTTTCCTATTCACACATTAAGCTATCATAAAGTGAACATATCTATTGCTAACACCATAAGCCTAGTCAGCACTTGTATTACAGACATGTTGTCAACAATTTACTATTACTTGTTATCAATTTCTTATACTTTCATTATCTTTTATAAGTTATACTTATAATGACTTATTATACAAAAAAAAAAAAAAAACTTGTTGGCTATTATATAGTTTGTATTCCCAGCAAATTGTTATGCATTAAATTGTACAATGAATTAATATTTTACTGATGTTTAGGAAAATTGTATAATTTTTTTAAAAAACTATAATTTTAGTAAAAAGCAAACATATTGAGTATATGGAGTCAAAAAATATATAAACATTATTAAGGATAACAAGGATAACGAGTAAATCATGATAGCAATGATGGATCGATGCATTTATTTTAGGAATCTTCTAGTAATTGGTGGTCTCATTCAATGCACACTATTTTGTGGCCAATTTTATGCACGTTTCCAATGGTTGTCATTGTCTTCACTTGCCTTTTGGTTGCCATTCATTGTCTTCAAGTCAACAAAAAAACTAATTCAACGCTAAATTTTCGATGAATTTCTCTTTTTATGTGAAAACACATAACTGTTTTCAACATAAATATATAGCTAATAAACACTACTATTGTTATTATTGTAAGAATCGGCTAAAAATGTTATGACCATAAAAGTGAAGCTAATTCTGGTGACTAAATCTATTCAATACTTAGTCAATAGCGTTACATATGTTTTGATTGCCAACAAAACATTGTTTAGTTTGATTGATTTGATTTAATTTGTTTTGTATTTACTGAATGGTATGTCTACTTTTATTATAAGTGATGTTACCACTAAAATAGGTCTAAGATATCTACTGTAGTAGTTATTCAGTTTTATTATTTAGAAACA